TAAACAATAAAATAACAGTCGTTTCTATTATAATAAACAATTTATTTTTAAAAACCATAATTTTTACTTTTAAACTTAATACCGTATATACGCGCTTTTTATTAATAGTTATTGAAATAAAGTTAAAACGGTAAAATAAGGTGACCGATATTACCAAAAAAAGGGTTAAAAGGTTTATTAAAACTTGCTATATATATAAGAAGAATAAAAAATATAAATAACAACCTTAAAGCTTTTTATAGTTTTCAATTATAGGGTTTAAACTCTAAGCTAGTATTTTGATTAATTATATAACCGCATTATTTTAATATATGCGATATAAAGTGGTGTATAAGCATATCTTTATAATAATCGATTGATTAATAAGTTAAACGTTTATATGATAATAAATACGTTTATTTATTAAAAAAAGTCGCGTTATAACGCTTTCCAAAGTTTAACTTTAAATAAAAGATTATAGTTCGTTTTATAGTTGTAATTATAGTTAATAAAACGCTTAAGCTTTAAACTTAAGCTTTTATTTACGTATTCATTTTCTATAAATAACTAAATAAGGATTATAAACGCTATATTAAAATAATACTTTTATACTTAGATTTTATTTAATTAAATTAGTTATCTGTTGGATCCATGTGATTCCACAGTCAAACCATCCATACAGAACCCACATATATGATTAGATAAGATATTGGATACCAGATTGTGAGGTCACTTAGTCAGACCTTCAGGTTCAGCTAGACTTCCCAATCCAACCATCAGCAACATCATGACCTTGACTCAATACTCGAGTATTATGATTGATCGTTCAAGCCTGTTCCAACATTATCTATATTATTTACTCCTTAGATGGTTTACTTTTAGTAACGTTTTCTTTAAAAATATAAAAGGTTTAACTTTTTTGAACCATAATTAAAATCTACGTTTTAATTCCCAGCGATTTCTATTAAAGTCAACGAGGTTGTTAAAAAATAAAATGTAAGAATAAAATACAGTTCTTAATTGTATTAAGTTAATAAAGAACATTCTTTTATTAATTTCGTTATAATATAATATAAACATAAAAAGTATTAAATAATATACAAACGTTAGATAAATATTTTTATAGGTAAAATAAAAGATCTAATTTAATTAATGTTTTCATATATCGTTATTTAATAGTCTTTGTAAAAGCTAAGCAATAACTAGCTAAACTTGTTTATATTATTATAAACGTATAAATAAACTTATATTTTGAAATGTAACCAAAAAATTAATCATGATTTTTTAAATTTTTATTACTTATTATTATAACTAGTCAAATAATTAAGAATAAAATATTAAATCGAGATTAATAAAAATAATTAAATAATTAAAAAGCTTTATTATTATTTTAAATAAGTCTAATCGCTTTTTTCGAAAATTCACAAGGTTATTAATAGCCGTATAAATCTTAAAGAAACTTTAATATTCAATAATAATAAAAGATATTATTATAACAACTTATGTATAATTTTTAAAGTTATTATTTCATTATTCATAAATTTTATCTATAAAAAAACCGTATAACTTTTTATTAATATCATAAAAAGAAAACTTTTTTTAAAAAAGGGCTAGTATAAATAAAAAGGTAAAAAGTAAATTAAAGTTAAATAATAACAATTTGAATAGATTAAGTGAAACGTTAAGAAAGCGACGATAACATTGATTTTGGCGTTCGAATTGCCTTATTTACAGTTAATAAGGGTTTAAAAGTATTATTAAAAGGTATTTTATAAATAAAAGAATTATTAATATATATATAACTCCCGCTGAATTAGTACTACATCTTTTTATAAAACAATATATTATTTATCTTTTTCATAATTAACCTTTTAATAAAATAGCTATTATACTTATATGCTTATTATCGTATTATATTTAAAGGCTTTATTAAAGTTTAGTTTACAAGCCTTTTAAGAGCATTATCCGTGAAACGATAAGTGCAATATGAGCGTGACAGCGTTGTTGTTTTCAGGAAAAGGTCTATCGACTGTTTTTTGGTGGTAGAATACACTTAGATGCCCTGTGGGTCCCTGTACGACCCGACAGCGTGGCTGATCCCCACATACCACTTACATATACAGATGGATACTGTTCACACCTTTTATATAAGCCTAGAAATCCGGCTGGCTTAAAGCTTTTATAAAGCTTTAAACCTAGCCGTAGGTATTAAGGCTAGTAAGAACGGCTATATTAAGTACTTAAGTTTTACCTTATTAAACCTGATTTAATAATTTAAATAAAGTTCGGATTTAATTTTTACAATCTATACTTTATAAACATTATTGCTTACGAAAAGCAACGGTTATTAAAGTTTAATTTATCGCCTAGGACTCCTCCTCGGATATACGTATGCTATACTCTAAACGTCGTTAGCGTTTAAGCCGTATACTACAGATAATACTGTGGATCCAGAGCATGGACCATATCGAGTATTCCGATAACCCCCCAGATGTGATGGAGGTGAACGATAAAGGATGCCTGGCAACCCACCTGTTGCCCCAGGTACCTCACCACTGTAATTTAGGTATTTAGATACATCTCGGATGGAATCCTTTCCATCCGACCTTTTAATCAAGCACCACCCAGACCACTGATAGATTACAACAAGACTTGTGATTTGTCAGCATCTGGGAAAGCTACCAAAAGGCACAATACGGCCTTGTTAGACTCACATCAGAGAAGTCGATACCACTCTTGGTCCAATTCGGGCGACGAGTCCTCTACGTATTTGCTCAAGGAGACATCATGGGGACGATCCGAGAGGATTTCAACCCTATGATGAATATGGTCCTGTACCGGTGCTAACAAGGCATATCAGCTCTCTGAAAGCCGTACCTGAGCAAAGCTATATGTTTGATCGAAACCCCACAGAACAGCTTGCCGTGATCCTGATATTTGCTGGTGATCTGCCTTATTAGAACGACAGTCCAGGCACTGTAGAAGATGAACAGAATGGCATGTATCAATAAATGACGTCGGTTACGTTGAAACCAGGATTCTTTTGGTAGTATCGAGCGATCGTGAGACGCGAGGTCGGGATGACGGTCGAAATTGCCATGCTTCAGTATGAATGGCTGATCTACGAACTTCTCTCAATCTTCGTCCATAGCGGAAACCAGAGGAGAGACAAACTTTGTTGAAACAAAATTGGCGAACCAGGCAGAACTTGGAGGAAGAGGACCGTTCGACGAAAAGGAGCAATTTTACCTATTCCGAGTCTGGTTGATCACTGCTCATTGCGCATTCAAAGGTCTTAAAAATGGGCTGCCCAAATCAGGATGGTGGCAAATTGACGTCGCCGGTCGTGGAGGATGACACTGCATTTGGCCTCTTCTGTGACCTGTCCCACACCATCCGGGCATCCAGGTGCAGCAACTCCGAGGCAGAGTCATCGGAACGCTTTAAGACTAACTTGTATGCAACGTCAATCGAGTCCTTTCACATCTGCGCCGTCACCGCCTTGCGTCGAAGACGATGATTTGGTGCTTTGTACCTCAACTTGGGCCTTTAAAGCCTTACGATGTGGAAAAACGGCATGCTGCAAGAAAATCAGTGAGCGCCGGACAATGCAGGTTGCAGCGAATGTCTGTCCTCAAGCTTGACCCTGGGAGTGCTGCATGGTCTCTATCTTGAACCAAGTCACGATAAGACCATGAGACACAGCGGAGGCGGTCATCGTCAAGCATTCATCGCATTAGTGCATTCGCGGATGACAGAAGCAGGCTACGTCGGGCACTTGCCGATGACATCGCGGACGGGCTGCGGCCGAGACGCGTTACGAGAGGGTAAATGACAGGATATGTCCGAACTGCTGCTCCTTGCAGAGGTATATGATGCGTACAGAATGTATCAGAGAAGATTAGTACAAATGAAAGCACACTTGCCATTCTAAGATGAGAAACACTCCAACAACACCAAGAGTTATTAATAGCGGCAGCAGCTTCATCAAACCAGACCAAACATCACTTCGTAAGAGCCCACTCCTGCAAACAAAAATTATTCAAGATGCGTTTTCGTCCCGCCGGGGACATTAAATATATGTTGATACTATTGATTTTTTGGGATTTTTAATTAATATAACCTTATAGCATATATTATCGTTTAATTTGATTTGTTTTTTTATTACAGCTTTTAAACGCGTTTTTAAGATTTTAAGCCTTTTTTACCGATTAGTTTTTTTATTTAAGTGATATTTTATGTTTTTAAAGATCTTTGTTAATAGCTTTATACGTATACGGTTTACGTTAACGAGATCTTTTATATTATTCCGTCTATTTTAATATAAATCTTTATAATATATTTAAATAAGGCTCTCATTTTAAGTTTAAAATGCCTTCTCAGAATTGTTACACTAGCTAAGCCACGCCGCGGAAAAAAGCAGGGTGACAAGATAGGTGAAGGCTTGAGGGGCGAATGAGGACAGAATTCTTGACAGTGCTTTTAATAAGTTATTAAAGAGTGTGAGCCCAAGAGCAGGTGGTATATATATCTGCTATAAGGGAACTGGAAAACCCCCCGTCGACCCTTGAGTATACTTCAACATGGCCCGATTATCGCCGGGCTGCGGGGTGAAGTTGCTCCGAGCAGGCCGAATGATTGAGCGGTCCAAGACCACTGCGCTACATCTATCTCTCCGATCGGTCAGGATCACACCAGATCCGTGACCCATATAAAAGGGAACTCGTCGGTCGGTCGGTCGTGTTCGGGCTGGTAGTGAGTTGTACCGCAACCCGTGCTTTTCTCTCCGTCGCGATGGATAACGAAAGCGCAACCGACTCGACTGTCTGTTGCACAGATTTGCGGCGTGGAATATGACCTCGCCGCTGTCTCGCGCGGTCTGATATAAAAGATGACGATAAGCCCCGTGTCAGGTTGTCGGATTAGTGAACAGTCATCGAGCTTCATGGCAACCCATTCAAGCCTAATCCTGAGATCGACGACCCTTTTCCCCTTATCATTAGATCCGGCCACTATCCACCATGACTTCCCATCTCACTCCTATCCGCAAGGTCGTCATTTCCGAATTTGGCGATGTCTCCAAGGTGAGCGTCGTCGACGCCACCATCGGCGCGCCTCGATCCGAGGAGGTCCAGGTGGCTCCGATCTATTCTGGTTTTGCGGGCGCCGATATCAACATGCGCCTTGGTCAATATCCGCTCCAGAAAAAAGCACCGCTGACACCTGGGTATTGTCTTGTCGGCAAGGTAAAGACCGACGGCGTCAACTTCAATTCCGGAGACGTGGTGTGTTGCTTGACAATATACGACGCAGAAGCAGAGCTGGTCAACCTGCCCGAGAAGTACCTTGTCAAGGTCCCCGAGGGCGTTGACTTGAAGCAGGCTACGGCTCTGGTACTCGACTGGGCGACGGCCTACGGCATGGTCGACAAAGCGGCCAAGGTGACGAAAGGGCAGCGAGTGTTCGTCCACTGTATCAGCGGTGCCGTCGGCTACGCGACCATGAAGCTGTGTCAGCTGCGGGGAGCGACCGTGTACGGGACTGCATCGGAACGAAAACACGAAATCATTCGGGATCAAGGGGCCACACCTTTCACCTACACGAACAAGGAATGGATGAAGGCGATGCAAGACATCGGTGGTGCCGACGCCGTCTTCGACCCTCTTGCGTTCGAGAGCTGGGACGAGTCGTACTCGATACTATCAGAACGCGGAATCCTCGTCGGATGCGGCACGAATCTGGAGACAGTCGGCGCGCGGCCTCCGTCGGATTTCTCGCCCGTCATGCAGATCCTGAAGCTCATGTTGCGGAGCTACGCCAACGTGTTCTCTAAGAAACGGGCGACGTTCTTCGGCATCTCGCGAGACGACCCTTCGTTCGTGCCAAACCTCAACACGCTCTTCTCCCTGGTGAAGGACAGGGGGATCGACGTGGTTATCAAGAGCGTCTGGCGGATGGCCGACATTCAGGAGGCCCATAAGAGCTATGGCAAAGATGATGGTGTTGGTTCAAACTTGATAGAGGTCTCAGGGGAAGATGGCCAAGGGGAGTGATGTCACTCTCCATCTACTTCAGGCTGAATTAGACTTGAGGTTTGCTCTATGTCATCTTAATCTTCTCGTATCCGCGTCATGTCTACATAACTTAATTACATACTGCCCAGCGGGCTATTCCACCAAGACCATGCCCCTCCTGCTCATCGCGCGTGTCTTCTCCGTCCGGTCCAAGGTAGTCCGCGGCATCAAGGCATTCATCGTGGTGCTCACAATCTGCTACGTCCCGATCAAGTCAAGATCCCCATCACCCCTTCTGGAACGCGTCTGTGCAGAAGAACGCCCGCTGCCTGGACCAGTGCAAGGTCTTTATCAGCGACCTGAGCCCTGGCCATCATCCGTGACCTCGTCGTGCCCTTCGTCCCGGGCTCGCTAACGTGTTCGCTGAACATGCCGCTGCTGGAGAAATTATGGGCTTCAAGACCTGTACACAGCCGAGACCCCAACTCGCCGCGCTCTTCGTCGACGTCGAGGACGATAAATAAATATTCCGACAGCACGCACGATGTGAGCATAATCTACCAGTGACGCTTCAATGCTTCCTAGCTCGCCAGAAAATATCTTACTCACCCTAATCCCAAATATCATGTCCAAGAATGTGACAACTGACTCATCCGTCCGTGACACAACAGTGGTGGTGCTCCCGTAGCGACAGATGGACAACCACGCGCGCCGCGTGCTCCGGCCACCGTTCGCACTCGCGATGGACGACCACGACCAGGGACAGCCAGAATCCCACGCGCAGGTCGGCGTCGTCCGACTTCGATGTCGAGCGGCAAATGCTATCGGAACGCGCGATAGAGCTTGAAGCGTGCTGTGGTGGTGGGTTCTAGGGACGGCGGGCCGCCCCCATACCAACGACAGGAACAAGAACCCCGTCCGCCCCATCGCGTTGGAGCCGATAAACTCGCTGGCCGGGTGGCGCGAGGACTGGCTGGCGGGGCGGCATATGCCGGACGGTCGCGATGTCGCTGCACCCGGTCCGAGGCGAGTGGGGAGCAGCTCATCCATACGCCCGACAAGATCTGGGACGGGTCGCTAAATGATGCCGCCTGTCACTATTCGCCGCGGTCGTGACGCTCGCAAATCGCACAACTAGTTCCGTGCTTTACATAATCAGAGAAAAGACCCCCTGACTTGTGTGCTATCGTGAATTGTGCGAAGCAACCTGATTTGCATACTCCTAGACATGCTATCCCTAAACAATGCCATGCTGCCACCAGATAATACAAGCAGATGCCGAACTAGACCAGACCCAGGGCTCCAAGCATCCATTACCCATACTGCAAGAAACTAAACTAGTATATACCCCCCGTCAGCTCATTGAGAATGTCTCGTGAGATGGGATTCTTCCTCAGGAGCGCCTTGCCCGTGATGTTGCCCCTCTTCGGCCCAGGCCGCTGGTTCTCCTTGCCTCCCAGAACCTGACTGCTCCTCGCAGCAGAGCCCTTGCAAATCTTCTTCGGACTCCTTTTGGTGGGCGACGGCTGGCTTCCGGGCGCGCCCGTGGCCGTGATCTGCGTCGCACCGTCTTCAAAGAAGTGGCTTTCCAGCGCGTCCGACGGGAGGTCGTACACCCAGTCGCGCTCTTCCATCAGCCTTACGAATCTGCTGAGCATCTCTTGCTCCCCGCTGCCCTTCAGAGTGTCGCGACTGCCGACGACCAGGAGCTTGGTCTTCGCGCGAGTAAATGCGACATTGATGCGTCGCCAATCTTTAAGCAGATCGCCGATGCTGCAGGCCTCGTTGCTTCTCACAAGGCTCAGTATCACGACCTCCTTGTCTCGTCCTTGGAAGCGGTCGGCGGTATGTAGTTCGATGCTGCTCCCGTAGCCACGCAGCCCGTGTTTCAGCAGTGAGAGCTGCGAACGATAATGGGTCATGACACCGATGTCACTAGCGGCTACCCCGGCCGTGAGGAGGGCATCGACCAGCTGCACCACGATGCGCGACTCGGTCGGATTGACTGTGCGGTTCCCCTTGGCCTCCTCGCGTGGCGAGGGCAGATTGTCGGTGTTGACGAAGCGGACGCGAGCCTCTGGATCCAGAAGATTGCGTAGCCAACAACCCGCGTTACTCCAGCTAGTACAAAACGACCGCGGAGTGTCAGGGCGCATGATAGTATTGGCGTCGTAATGTCTCTGCCGCAAGTGGTCCATATGCGGAATCTCAAGCTTCTGGTGGCGTAGGGCTTCGGTGCCGCACTTCAGGCGACCCTCGTATATGAGGGTATTACTGAGCGTCATGACATCTTCACACATACGATATTGGTGCTCAAGGTTGACGACAGAGTCCGGGTGCGTGTCTGAAAGCAGTTTAAAGAGACTGATATCCAGGCCGCCGGCTCGAGCAGGTTCGTTCTGGACGAGAGGGGGCAGCTGGTTGTGATCTCCAACCAGGACAAACGTGTGTGCCATGCGGATAGGACCAATGCAGATAGGTAATGTGATCTGCGACGCCTCGTCAACTATACAATAGTCAAAGGTGCGTTCGCTGAAGACGGGGTGGTTGACACCCAGGCATGTCGTTGCCACGACAGGGGTGTCATGCCAGGCACTTCGAATCTCTTCAAACGTGTTCATCGGCTGCCCACCCAGAATTGCGAAATCTTGCACTACGGGGTGCACTTTGGCAGGCGCACCAAGCCGCAGGATTGGGTACTTCTCATTCTTCAGCTTCAGCAAGATGTTGTCGACAGCAGAGTGCGTGTACGACGTCAAGAGAACACTTTTCCCCTGGCCGACGAGTGCGCGGATGATATGGGCAATCGTGGTGGTCTTGCCGGTTCCAGGCATGCCCAGAACGAGCGCATAATCGTTGGCACTCATGACTTTCGCGATGGCTCTTTTCTGGTCGACATTTAGGCTTGCTTGATCAGCAACTGAATACTGTGTTGTCGTCGCCTTGAACCTGGGAGGTGCAAGGTCCACCACAAGGCGTCGGATTTCCCTCGACCCAAACACACCATCCGCCATCACTTGAACAAGGTTGTTTCGGACAGTGGCCATCCCATTGCTGAACTCATCCTTGTCAAGTCGATATCGCACAGGCGCTTCCTTGATCTTGCCCTGAGACTGGGCAGGGGTTGCCCCCTCAGGGACAACTTCCATGATGCTGGCGAAAACCTGATTGTCGATTTCGTCAAAGCCAGGACGTCGTATACGAGCGTTGTGAAGGCGGCGGTCAACTGCCACGCCGATTCTCTGTTTTCGTACAGAGGTGACATAGCCGAGGGCCAGGGCAAAGTGACCCTTCTCGTCAGATATGACAATGGGTTCTCCAACCACAAGCTGAGAGTCGAGGAAGGAAAAGCTTGAGCCTGGGTTTTCCTTTATGAAGTTGTAACTATACCGATTGATCTTCGGGGTTTCGCTGTCTTCAAAGGCAGAACCTTCCTCGGTGATGACATTCGCAAAGCATCGGCCGACCTTCTCCCTTTCTGTGCTGACCATAGTCCACAGTTCTCGACGCATCTTCTGACTCTCCCTCTCTTCTTTGGTCAATAGATCTTCCCATTTCAAAAAGAACTCCTGGTGAGTTGGCGTCAAGTGCTGGACGACTTCGTCAAATTTCCCCTTGACGCCACTGGTCTCCTGGTCTCCATTATCTGCAAGCTTGTGATATATGAAACAAGACACCTTGGCGTAGCAGTTCCCGCAAGTATTTGTACTTCGCTTCATCGGAGGAAGCTGAACACTTCGGTCCCGAACATAGCAGGCCAATTGATTGCGCTGCATGATCATATGCCGAAGCTCGTTGCGGACCGTCGGTATTCGGACCGTCTTGGAAGTCTCCATGTAGTACAAGATGCCGTAGGCGATCTCAACATCATATCGATCTGACAACAAAAGATTGTACAGTGATGTCTGGGCATGGTGGTTGGTGGTCTCGTTCTTGCCCGTCTTCACTTCGAAAGGCACTGTGAGGGTGCGTCTTTGCTTCCCATCCTTCATGGTGACTTGAACGGTGGCGTCGATATTGCCTTTCATTCCGTATAGGGGAGACCACACGTGCTCTTCAACGTCGAGCAGCTTCGTGACACACATGTTTGCATTCTGTCCATTTCGTCCGTTCATACTTTGGACGACGGCATCCGGCTACGAACTATCAGCAAAAGCTTCCTGACTGGGTGTAGGGACTCATACCCTGGGGAAAGGAGAGACGAAAGCTGCCGCCCAGCACTTCAGCTCGGGCATCTTTGATCGCAGGTGCTCGCGAGCACCGTTGATGGAGACTTTGATGGTATACAAGTCTTCGACATGTTTTTCAGTGATCCTACAAATTATGCCGTCTAGAAACTCGAGGCTCCATTGGTTTGACATGAGGGCTTCTTGGAAGATTTCGTGTAGGAGTGTCCCATAGACAAGGGGCGGGGTCTTGTCGCTGGTCGCTTTGACGCGGTCTTGAAGCACAGCTCTGCGCATGCAAGTGAAGCTGTCCGCTATGACGGTAGCTGATATCAGCTGATCCGGGTGCAGCACTATGATATTCTGAGAATTATCTATAACGCATTGTCCAGATGGTTCGAAGGCGCCCAGTATGTGGATATATGCCTTTGGGCTGGCGGGAGTATCCACCCAGTCTCCCCGGAGGTGGACGGTCTTCATTACCTTGCTCCGATCGACTTCAACAAAGAGTATCTGTAACAGTCAGCGACTGCGCAGACACTTGCTCGAGGGCCTTACCTTCTCCGGCGACTCTCTCCCGCGAGGATCAGTATACTGGCTTTCAAGGACCTTAGTCACGAGATATCGTTGGATCGCCTTAGGCTTATGGGCTGGCTGGGCTGGCTACGAATCGTCTTAGCAGAGATACAGGGTCGTTACTATTGCGACCTACGTACAAGAGGTAACGATGCGTCTGTCTGTTTGGCGAATTGTGTAGCAGCCATTTCAGCGGCTTCGAAATCAAAATCACCACCAAAGTCATCCCCGTAGAGGTCTTCCGCCGTGTCCTCAGATATAACACCTTGTACCGAATCGCCAACAGTAGTAACCGGCAAGATATCCGACCTCTGACGGGAGGCATGCGTCGAATCGACTTGTGAGACGAAAACCTCGGCGGCAGCAAATATGTCGTCATCCAGGTCAGCAAACTCATCGTCATATGAATCCAGCTCTTGGTTCATTGGGGGTTGGTGAGCCGCTTGTCCTGTGTCCAATTTCGGTTGTGGTGGTAATATTGGGTTCTCGTCTGGTCGCTGCACAGGGTCGACGGTCGCATCCAACTCCATCAGGGTGTCATCGTCGAAGTCATCGTCCCCATAATCAGACGAGCAGTAGTTCTCTATCGCAGGGGCCGGTCTTAAGATCGTGTCCGTAACCGCCTCGGTGGAAAGAGGAGGGCTAGACTTGGTGGGAGTTTGCCGTCGGTTTGGCGATCCTGTCAATTCCACCGCCGGTTTCTGCCGCCTCTTGCGTGGCGAAGGGGATCTGAGGGCGTCATCATGTACTTGAACAGCACTGGACCTGTTGATCTCCCCCGTCACACTCTTCAGCAAGGCGTTGACCATAGATGACTTGGAATGGCCACTTGGACTCTCCTCAACCATGACTTCCAACGAGGGAGCCGTTTCTGCTCGTTCCACTCTTCGGCGTTTTGGCCAATGTGCTCCGCAACTGATGGCCCTTCTCAGTCCACTCTCAGCCGGCACGGCCCCCAGCACTCTAGACGGCTGTGGGGAGGACGGAACCATGATCTGGGCAAGGGCTGGGTTTTGGGCCCCAAGAGGTGTGACTGACGTAGAGCCACTCAAGGAGAAGCGGTCCCATAGTTCGATAGCAGGATCCGCATGTGGTGATTTGAGGGCTCGAGATAACTTCTTGACGTTGACGGCTGGGGTGTTAGGTTTCGGATGGGTCGCTGGTGACGAGATGGGAGAGGAACTCCGGGCTCTCTTCTTGCCTCTTTTGCGTGGCATCATAGGTGACAAGGTGTACATGGGCTGCTTTCTGGTGTCCCATCCGATCCTTTCGTTGGGGCTTGTATCCTCCTCTTCTTCCTTGACCTCGGACACGCCTATGAGATCCTGCCATGCTAAGCGGCTCACAGGCGTTGACGTGCTGTACTTGGATGCCGGCAGAGGACTCGTTACCTCTGTCCCCAGCTCGATGGATGGCTTGGGCCCAGTATGGGCGCGGGCGTCGTTCTCATCGTTGGCTTCCGGGTTCGATACTTTGTCTTCGGGCCTGTCAGTCGTCGGGCGAAAGTTGAAGGCATTGAGCTTGTTCTTCGTGACTTCGGAGACGGGTTCGAGCAGTTTCGTGTTGACTTTCACCGTGGTGGAAGAACGGCTCGCGGCAGAATGGCTGTTGAATTTGTGCCAACGCTGTCGAGGCTATAGGATGCGTTAATCAAGACACGGGGATTTGAAAACGCGGAGGGTCCTTGGGTGGTCACTCACTCTGGAGTCATTCTGCTCGGAGAAGGACTTCTGCAGAGGCATAGTTCCGTTGTAAGATTATTCGATCATTCTTCAAGTTTTATATCAGGAGCAGACTTGAAGTGGACGCAAAGGATGGTGGGTTGGACTCGTTTGAGGTGGGATTGAAAGCCGGGTCGTTGTTTAGCGTGTATTTCCAGGGTAGCAAATAGTGAAAGGGAGGGGAGGCGAGTTTGAGCAAGGGATCAATGGCAGAGTTCAGTATGCAAAGTGGTGTGGTGGTGGTGGGTGACCGGGTGGTAGAGCCGGTCAACGCGTTACGACGCGTCAAAATCGCGAAAACCAAAGTCAATGAAGCGTACCAAGCCACAATGTCAAGCCCCAGTGACGCATGCATGGTAGCTGTGGCTTGACCGCATCTTAGTGGCCCAAGCGCCATTTCCATGTCCTGGCTTCCCGATCCACAAAGTGGACACACCAACATCGACCTCATCATCGACCGACACATGGGCATTCATCAGGGCAGAAGGCGCTGCCACGTATACGACTCTCAACCACGACCCCTGGCTTCGGAGGATACTGCAGTTTGTTTATCAAGGGGATTGGTGCAACCAACTTGAAAGCCTTAAAGTCCAGACATCCTCCACAGACTGGCCCCGGGTGAGACATGTCGTCTTTCGATGATCCGGGCGACTCATCATCTTTTGACGGCAATGACACCACCAACCACAAGCCCTGGCCGCACGTACTTCCCAGTCAGCAAGCGCAGGTCGAGAAGAAGTTCTTCGAGGATGGGGCGACCATTCATTTCGACAGGCTGCCCCAGATGCAGAGCTGGGCTTCCTTGCTCGGCGTTGGCAGCCCCTTCCAGACCATCTCTATTCTCCGAGATGTCATGTCGCACGCTACCGGCACTCATCGCCGCTTGACTGCTGTTGAGGTTCAGGCCCTGAGCGAGCATACTGCTAAGCGCGTACGCCAATTTGCTTGGACTCAACCTGTGTCCATTGCTGGTGCCATCGCAGCGACTGTCATCACCAGAAAGACCTTCAAGTTCCCCTTCTACCAACCCAAGATGACCAGGTTCGATCCTTACATGTTCCCCACCAAGTATATGCCCTTTCTCAAGGGCGCCAGAGCTGCTGCTGTGTGGCATATTGTTCGCTTTGTCACTTTCCAGCCCCTGGTGTGGATTCCCACCGCATTGTTCTTCACCTCTACGTCCTCTTCTTCCTTCAAAGCACACGTCATGAGAGATCCACGTCTCTCTACCATGGTGAACGATATCAGCAAGAATCATCCAGATCCTCGTGAGGTAGCGCGTCAGCAGGAGCGGCGGCGACTGGGCATCCCTGATCCAGCCAGGAGAAACACACCACCACAGGCAGAAGGCGATGCCACCCAATTTCCATCGGCTGAGCAAGCGTCGCAGCCGCAAAATTCTTTTCCCCAAGAGTACGGCAGCGAAACCATCTCCGAGGCGTCTACTCCAAGTGTAGACACATATACTCCACCACGGCAGTCGAGCTGGGTTCGAAGTGCGCCCCCACAGGCACCATTTAGCAAACCCCAAAGGAACAACTTCCCAGACGCTAGCTCGCAGAACGCAGCTGATGACCTGGATTTATTCGATGCCGACGATGCTTCGCCAGTGTCTGCTTCGTCCAGGAAAGCCGATACAAGCCAAGCCCAGAGCAGCTCGGGTGGGTCGGCCTGGGACCGCGTTCGGCAACAGTCACGCCCAGAAGTGCGAAAGTGGCAGCAAGGGGACTCGTCCGGACAGGAAAAGGGGTGGGCTCAGTTGAGGCAAGACAAGACACCCAACACTAGAGATGCCACGCCCAAGACAGAGAGCTTTGCCTACACCAAAGAGGAAGTCGAGAGAGAGACGAGGGATTACGAAAAGGAACAGGCCCAGAAGGAGTTTGATGCCATGCTCGAGGCTGAGCGAAGCGGTCAACCTGGCGGTGCTGGTAGTGCTAGTGGATGGCGCCGGTCTAAATAGTCATGTACTGTTATTTGCGAGCGAAGCCATCAAAATACTGCAGTGCAGAACAACGTGTAAGATATGCTTGGATCGATTCACAGGCGGATTTGCATAGTGTGCAACAATGCACCACCACTCCCTGCCTTTCCAGCCCTACTAAGCTGCGTATCAAAAGGTAGCCTGAAGTGAAAGCTACCCAGGAAACCACAGCTGATGAACAGGACCATTGTCCAACTCGAGCACCATGTAGACCCACGTATGAGCGGTGGGGTACCTTGAGGATGACTTGCCAATTATATCGGCATTTTCCTGAAGAACAATGTTGGCGGTTGTTTGAAAATGTCACGCCGCCACCATCGAATGTACATTTGATGCCATGCTCACTGCCTCAGCCAGATTGTAGATACCACATTACTGTATCCAGTCTTCTAGAAACAATTCTTCTCTACCTACAAACCAACGTCTCCATTGCCTCCTAGACAGTACCTAATCTCACCCCTCAGCCTTAGCAATGCCCTCAGCGTCCACCCCCAGCTCCAGACTCTCCCACTCTTCCCCCCTCGGCAGGCCCAAATGATGATGCCCACTAACACCCCACTCAACCCTTCCCTCACCCTCCCCAACCACGAAATCAAGCACATGCCCACCTCTCCTGGCGCCCTGTCCCTCGTCCTCGATAAAATGCCCATGGAACCCCGCAACCGAGATGCCGTTACTCCATGCAGGGCTCAAGAAGCCGAAAATCGTGCCCTTCGCACCTTTGATGCGCCATTGCGGCGCCCGCGCCGTGACCTGCGCCAGCGATTCGGAGTCGTCCTTTATGGGTCCGCCGATGCGGATTGTCATGTCGGCGAAGGTCCCGCGGATCAGGAAGGGCAGGAAGCTGTTCTGGCCGCCTGTCGTGCCCTTCAAATCCGCCGGCGGCAGCGGGCCCCCGGGACTTCGCGGCGGCGAGGAGAGCGTGTTCAGCAGCGAGGATTTCGACAGCGTCTTCGATTGCGGTAGGGGAAGAGGAAGCCTGAACTCGGGCCGGAACAGCGTGACCTGCACGAACGGCATCATGGCGTCGCGGGCTGCTTTCTTGATGACGGGGTCCAGCCCGCGGGCGGCGTCGTTAAGCGCTTCTTGATCATCGGCGGCGCCTTGGGTCATGCTCTGGCTGCTGCTTTTCTTGGACGGAGAGGTCGTGATGTGGTAGGCTACGCTGTCGAGGAAGAGGACTTCGCCGTTGAGGGCGCTGCAGGTTCCCAGCCCGTGAGTGCCGTAGCCGGTTAGTTGATGTGCCAGCGGACCGGAGGTGCAGAGGCCCGCCATCAGGGCGGAGACGGTGCTGAATTGGAAGATGTCGTTGGGGATTCTGGAGACCATCTTAGCGAAGGGGGAGTGTTTGTGATTTGGGGGTGTGTTCTTGATGTAGTCCCACTGTCCTATTTGTGACCGAGCTGCCGGGTCTCCCGTCACTGATGAGGTGGGTAGCTAATGCCGATGACGAGCTCCAGCTAATTGATTCCGTAAAAATGGTAATATTTTCTGCTGTAGGTTATGTTCACAAATATGGTGGTTAGATGCAGAAGAACACAATTGCGTCAATGACAATGTTCAATGCTTTCGATGTTGCTGACATACCATCCCCTCCCTAGTTCTCGGACACCCCCACTACTCGTACACTCCCATACAAATACAAAATGCGATCGACAACAAGGCTCTTGTCATTGCTGGTGATCCGCGGGCGAACAATCTTCCCGCCAGCCAAAGGGTCCTGGATCTGGTGGCTCGCGCGACAGAGCCTAGAAACCTCAGCGTCTGCGATCCTCTCTGGATGGCTCATCTGTAGACGAAGCAGTGTACCAGGGGAGATAGAAGGAGAAAAAGTAGGTATGTACCAAGGGTCTTAAATAGCTCGAGTCGACATTTCGATTCTTAGATGTTACCCCAGCGCGGCGTTTAGAGGTTTTCAAACCAATATTAGCATAACTTACTTGCGTTACAATCGAAATGTCAGTGCCTTACTTTAAACCGCTAGCACTTACTAGGTTTTTTAAAACGAACTTTTCAATAAAACAAGCCGTAACATAAGCACATTAATAATAATTAAAACCTTGATAACTATAAAATATATAGTTTTAAATGAAACTTTTAATAAAAATTAAGAATTAAACTATATAAATATTATAACTAAGTTAACGTAGATCAAAAGTAAGCTGCGAATATAAGCGAGCTGCAAGGTAGGGCTTTTATATATAAAAGACTCGGTGCATAACCGTGCGTCTACCTTTTGGAAAAAAAAATCGGAAAATAATCGGACCTGCTGCATTTAACGTAGCCTTTTCTATAAGTAATAATAATATGTAGCAATTGTTTTTCACTAATATAATAGCCTGTGTATCTTAAAAAGGCTTTTTTATAAACGTATTTTTAACGTATTTTGAAATAAATTTTAAAATAAACTAGCTATAAACTTAAAAAAAGTGATATTAATGTATTTTTCAAGTTATAAACTTTTAAAAAAAGGTCCGAGATTTTTTCGATTTTTTTTCGTTATGTTAAAAATTAGCGCACCGACTTTTTTCATATAAAAGCCCTACTTTGCAGCTCGCTTATATTTGCAGCTCGCTTATTATCTACGATATTATATATATATATATATATATATATTATAAAATAAAACTTAAATTATATTATTTTAAAGTTAATTTAGTTTTTATTTTTATTTTTATTATAATCGTTATAAATTTAAAACTTTAATAAATGTTTTATTATTTTTATAACTTATATTTACTTAATTATAAATTATCCTTTATAAAAACGTTATAAACATTTTTATTACTTTTTTTTCAATCTTCGTACATTAATCATCAAAATAAATCTAGTTAAAAAAATTACGTTTTTTACGATCGTGTTTTTACTTTAACGTTATAAATCTTGATATATTTATACACTAATAATTTTAAGCCGTACTTCTTAATATATATACGAATTATAATGTATTACTTTAAGATAAAAGCACGATTATAAAAAACGTAGTTTTATTAACCGGGTTAAAAAGCTAATAGGCGCTAGTAATTTAGAGTAGATTTATTAACATTCTAATTATAAACAATCATAATATTAACTTTCATTAATACTTATATAAAACCCAATTATATTTTATCACTCATTATAACCCTCTCGCATTTTAATAAGTATCATCGCGTTTTACAAAAGACTATTTATAATAATCTTACGTTTATATAAAAACATTATATTACGATTTTTACCATAAAAACTATAAGGTTAAAATGCGATAATGCGAGTGTTTATAAACTACGGGCAAACTTTTTATAACTATTAATATATACGTAGTAACATAGTTAGGGTTAGAATTTATTGGGTCTACCTTTATTAAAATGCGACTTTACGTAAGCGCGTTTTAACTACTTTTTTTTAATAATTATAACTGTTGGATCTATGCGATTCCACAGTCAAACCACCTATACCAAACCCACATGTATAATTAGATAAGAGATTAGATACTGGATTGTAAGGTCACTTAGCCAGACCTGCGAGTCCAGCTAGACCTCCCAATCCAACCATTTGCAACATCATGACCTTGACCCAATACTCGAGTATTATGATTGATCGTTCAAGCCTGTTCCAACAATAACTTTTAAAATCTGTAATAAATTTTGATTTCTTTTACGCCCAATCAATAGCTAATTGTGAAAAGAACACCGATTAAATTCTTAAAAAAGCTATAATTGTAAGCATATATTACGTTAAAAAGTTTAAAAACTTATTAATAAAGCAGTTAAAAACGTCTTATAATTATATTAAACGTATTATTTAAAACTTTAATATAACACGCTCTTTTAAAAAAAACCCTTAATAAAGGTTATAAAAGGGGTTTAAAGCGTTAAAAACGATAGATAATTTCATTTATAAATAAATAAAAAGCGACAAAAGTTAATCTTTAACGCGGTCATCTTTAAATTTTCGGTTTTTATTATTAAGAGTATATTACGTACTTATAATCTTTATAAATAAAAGTTTTAAAAGCAAATCCTATCAAATTAAAAAACTCGATAAGGCTTATTATACCTTTACTTATTTAAAATTTAAAAATCTCGAGATTTCATAACGGTACGTAGTTTTGAATTTTTTTTACTAACGTCAATTAAATAACCGATTTTTCTTAATAAATCTTCTTATTAAAATGTTATTAACTTATTAATTAATTAATACTTTTACTTCCCTTTAAAAAAGTCTTTAAAAAGTTTGTAAAACTTAAAAATCACGTAAAAGTAATAATTATAGTTTCAATTAATATTTACTTTAAAACCGGTTGAAAATATCGCACGCTGTTAATAATATATGAAAACAAACCTCACCTTTCTTTTAAAGGGCTATAACGAATGGATTTGACAAGTTAAACTATTGAAAGACTTTATTAAACCGTTTACTTTTTAATTATGAGCCGTAATTTTATTTTTAATAAAATAACGGGCTGATATACGTCTTTTGAAATACGATAAATTAAATTAACGCGCGTAAGATCTCGGTATCAAATAAATAATTAACTTATAGCTTAGATTTTAATTTAATCAAAAATATATAAGCTTTTTAGAAGTAAATATTGGAAGGAAATATTAAAAGGGATATTCAAACCTTTAAAAGCTTAGAAACCCAGCTAGATACTGAATATTTTATTAGATTATTAAAAAGTACATTAGAAAGAACTCAAAAGCTCACATCCGGCGCTTGATTCTTTTCATGAAAAAGCGATTATAAATCGTTAAAAAAGTACGAAGTTAATATATAAAGATATAATCGTTAAAAATAAACAAATACGCTACTTATTTTTCTACATTTTTAACTATTTAATTAATCGAATTACGTATAAGTAAAATTCGGGGTAATAGTTAAGGATTTTTGTATTAGAAGGGGTGGACCCGATGAATTCTTACCTTAACTATACATTGCCGAGTGTGTTTACAATGTTTATAAAGGGCTCGGTCGAATGCTAGCGAAAAAAGTCGAAAGCGGTATCGAGTAGTCCATCTGCAAGCTCGTTGTTGTGCGATCGGATCTCATCTATGCTGACTGTGAGTCGTCGAAGGCTTCTGTTGAGCACGAGGACAATTTCAGCTCTGTAGCTTCGGGCTTTCGGATTGCTGTGCAACCGGTCAGTAAGAGCTGAAGAAAACGCGCATCACAGAAAGTATTACTAGGATCCAAGAACTCCTCGACCGCTCTGATGCGATCCCTCGTCGCTTCATCTCTCAATTGCATGCTCCCATGGCGGCTGGCTAGAGCGCTTTGTACGTGAAGGTGGGGCGAGCCGCTATGAAGGATTTGGATTCAATTCTAACGCGACGCAAAATTGATGGGTTTTGGTTACTGTATGGGTTGGTATTCTTGAGAGGCAGAGCGATATTGTGGTATGCATACAGCCTCACTTAGGACTTTTTATACCTTATAACGAAACTAATAATAAGTAATCGACACATTTAATTTGCCTACGGTTAGACGAAGTTCGCTTCGTGATTTTCCCTCTCACTTATTAAACGACTTGAAAGGGGAAGATTGGTACATATACCTATTTATATAAGAAAACAATATAAGCTATACTAGCCCCTTACTCAACAGTGATTATAAGGCATATACTAAACATAAGAGAAAGATAAATGTACTTATAAAGCCGCTACGCCACCCCTAGCAGATAACAGCCTTTAACTTACGCCTCCTCGTAAACTGATCCGCGGGTGGTAGTAAACATCACGAACAACTTCCCGGGCGAAGACGGCCTATCTTTCCGCCAAGTTACAAGATAAAGCAATCTCAAGGGCACGGAATTCGCAGGACTAATGACCAACGGGGCTCATGCGGTACACTGAACCCTCATAGGTCTCCGTACACCATCCGTCTAGTAATCAACGGTATGTCTACCTTCGAATCTGAATAAGCACACTGCAATAAGTATAAAAAGTAGCGTACCAAATTAGAGCTACTTATTCCAATATTTCGATATTTTAACAGGTGGTGTGGAATCTCATTGACATGGCGCGTACGGAGACTTGTGAGGACTGAGTGTACTAATACAACATGAACTGATGGATTGGTGCAACGAAGATATCCTCCTACACAGACGACTTTTTATTACTCATCGCCATGGTTCCAGGCGGCCTCAGAAGCTTTTACACGCCGCCGGTTGAAGAGGCCACTACATGCCATCTCCGATCCACAATCAATCTGACAATCGTCGTACAAAGCCAGGCTTTAGCTTAATGACATGGTGGCAAACAAGTGTCAGCAAGTCCGTGGCAAAAGCCAGCGGTCCAAGGCGCTCTGCGGTCCGCCTGGTGTTGGCCTCACCAGCCGCCGGCACTTCGCGGCGTGTAGCCATCGCAGAACGCCCACGGCCCTCCCGTTACCTAATTCCCTCCTTTCTTCTTCTTTCGACGGTTCTTCTTCTTTCCATTGCCTTGACTGCCAGCTGCTGCATCGTCACCGTCGGAGTGTGTCGTGGAGCCCTCTGCAATATCTTCCAACGCGTCCTCCAAGTCCGACACACTATTGGCCTCGAGAACGACTTTGCGAACGCCCCCGGCTTCAACAATGTTCTCTGTAATGCTGCCGCTGCGCGCATATCCTTTTATGCGTCCAATGGCATCTGTCTCTGCCCCATCTGTCGGCGATGTATCATCCTCATTAGAATCCTGGCTTTTTGACTGAGCACTACGGTCTGCTTGCTCCCATGTCTCGCTTCCACCATCAGTCTGAAGTGTGATCTTCGGTTGGCCATCGATGTTGGTGAAGGAAGGGCCATTGTAGGTCTGATGAAGAGCCTGGATGCCATCCTTGGCTACGGGTCTGAGAAGGCTGGTGCGCTCATTCACGTCAGCGTCTGGGTCCTGTGTAGTGGTCTCCGTCGCTACAGAACCTGTCCGCCCCTGGCCGGAAGGGCTGGAAGATGTGCCAGGTTTAATCTTGACTGCCGAGACCCGAGTGGCCTTTGGATTGGATGCTTTATTCGACGGTCCAAGGTGTTTGAAGTGGTCCCTCATATCTTCAAAGTTGGCCTTGACGGGTACGTTCGTGTGTATCATTTGGCCGTCTTGACCAGCCGAACTTCTGCGCATCAACAACTTTGCCATATTCGGGCTACTAGATAGCCCAGGTGTTTCGGCACTGCCAGTGGCCGAGGCAGTTCGCTGGTTTGGACCTGGTCGTACATTATCACCTTCGCTTAGATCGATGAGGGTGCCATCCTGGACTGCCGTGTCCTTATTCATGAGGTCCTTTCGCTGGGCCCGAATCTTGGGAGCCGGGTGAGATCTTCGTATGGCCTTGTGGATATCAACGTATACATCGGACTCGTCGATGATCTCCCTAGCAATTTATGATCAGCAGGCCGAGCTTGAGTGGCTCTACAACAGATGACTTACTCCCCAATGAGCTCTTCTATGACATCCTCGAGAGTCACCACTCCTATAGCACCTTGGTCCTCGCCAGGAGAGTCGGAAATGAGTACCATGTGAGACTTGCCTTCCTGGAAAAAGTTGATGATATCGAGGCAGCTAGTCTCCGGTCGGGTCTCTGGGAGGGTTGCGAGAGGGAAGTCCCTGACTCGTTTCCCATCCTCGGGATCATACGTGATGAGAATCTTGACAAGGAGCATGCCGACGTAGTTTGTTGGGTTTCCCGTCTGGTGGATTGGGATGCGAGAATAACCGGCGTCGAGGATCTGGTCAATAGTCTTCTCGTCGAGCACGGTATCCTCTGCCATAACGTACACGTCGTCCATTGGCGTCATGACCTCGCCGACAGGCTTGCGCTTCAAGTCGAGGACGGCGCTGATGATGGTGACTTCGTCCTGGTTCAGCCTCTCGTCAACCTCGCCCAACGACTTGTGCAGAGTGACCAGTGTCTTCAGACCACTCTTCTTGTAGACTGTTCCATGGTCTTCACCCAGCAGCCAATCGAGCAGCTTTGCAGTGGGCCAAGCCACTGGGGCCATTATCCACATCAATATTAGAACGGGCTTAGACATGGAGCCGCCGATTTGCAGCCCGTAACGAACACATAAGGACTGCGGTATGACCTCGCCGAAGATGACGATCAGGACAGTGCTACCAACAACAGCGGCAATGCCACCGCCGAAGCACCTGTCCAGAACGACGGGTAACGTCTCGTTGACGATGACATTGGACAGTAGCAGGGTCACGAGCACCCAGTGTTTACCCTTGTTCAGCAGGTCGTGGACGCGCTTCGCGTTCTTCCTTTGTGGTTCTTCGTGATCGAGGGATATGACTTGTAGGTAGATCTCATCCTGGCCCATGAGAGCTATGGTCAAACCAGCAAAGGCACCCCCCATGAGCACAAGGACCATCGACACGACGTAGAGTATCCATAGCGCACCTCCCTCGGCTTCGGGCTCATTGTCGTGGTGACCGCGAGTCTTTATAGGAGCGGCGGCGGCAAGGCCAAGAAAGGTAGCCTTGGCCAGGCCCAGGACAGCTGTCCTGATGCGTGGGATGTTGTTCCCGTTGCCGTGATGCATCGTGGGATGGGTAGGTAGTTAGGCGGGCTCGGATGCGTTCAAGGCGGATCGGGGACGTTGAGCTCTGACACTCGTTCAGTCAGCGAGGAGCACATGTACATCTATGATAAATGGGATAAGCGCGCTGGAATAAGCATCAAATGTGACTCGTTAGATCAGAGCTGCTCATTCCAGGGCGCTTATTCCATTGATACAAATGTAGCACTCATATTGAAGAGTTGACTGGAGTATGGCGGACAGAGACGTACGAGTGGTGACTGTACCTGTTCGGCTTCGGATGGATTCGAGTGGTGAATCGAAGACGCGAATGCCTTAAAAGGGCTGTCAGGTATACTGCTCGTCCATCGCAGTCTCGCAACTTTGCAACCTGACTAGAGTGGTGAGGCTCGTGGGGTCAACAACACTGGAAAGTATAAAATGTGGTTGGTGGTCAGAGGCAGAAAGGCAGAACCCTTGGCGAGAGCTCAGGAACTGGTGGGACGGAAAAGCTGAAGTGGACGAGGCTAAAGGGACATGGATCGGAGCTATGACGATCATCCCGGTCTGGCCTTGCCCATGCAGCCCATGCAGCCCATAACGCGGTTATACAAGTCTACTACTTCGGCTTCGCCTCTCCAATAGGTGTGCCATAAGGTACCTAAGAAGTTCTCGTTGCACAGAGACACAGAATGCATCTGAAAATGCATAACATCTCATGAATGCATCCGAAGTACGAACATCATACCGGTAGTGCCTATCGGGTGGAAGCTTAGGTATTATCAGGTCTCCTCTGAACATCCTGTAGAGTCGTCATGTTGGTTTGAATCGTTTGGACACAAGACTGAATCGTGACTCCGGAGTTCAGTGATGGGGACGGATCGCTTGCTGGCTGAGCGTTGTGCCCTTTTTTGTTCCGAGCTGCCCGAGAATATTTACATTCCCGAGGTCCATTCTTGTAACAATACGGAGGGTTGCCTGTCACCACCCTGTCAGCCTGTGGGCTGTGGCCTTGGGCCTTGGGCCTTGTGCGCCATGCATCGTCATAGAAAGAAAGCAGCCGTTCAGTTAAAGGTTGGCGGGAGAGCTAACGCCGGTCGGTCTTAAGCACTGAAGGGCCACATCAACATTGTATGTTCGGTCAACATCTCGAGGAGTTGGTGACGACATTGAAGACTCGGTAAACTACCTACTGGGTGAATACGATTTGTTCAGCTACCACGTGGCACGCGTCCCGAGACATCAAACAGTCGCTGCATCATATTGCTCTCCCAATCAAGCTCCGTTGGGTGGCCCTTTAGAAGAACGCGCATAGACTGACGATAGACTAACAACTAGTCGTACCAGATCGCGTTCATGCCAAACCCAGGCTCGGGGATCCGACACCTCGCGACGCGCCCGAGAAACTCGTCCTTCCACCGATACATCTCGATCCAGCCCTCCTGGTCGTCCGTGATGGCCAGCCACTCGTCGCTCCAGTCGCACGGCGCCACGGCGTTGCTGTGCCCGCCGCTGGTCGGCGTCGGGTTGAGGCAGACCTGCCGCTCGATGGAGCCGCAGTCGCGCAGCCGGAACGCCGCCACGTAGCCCTGGAGGTCGAAGCTGTTGGCCCGGCTGCTGGCGAACAGGTATTTGCCCGACTGCGTCAGCTCGCACACGTCGCTGCGGTACATGGTGTCGTGTCGCGGGATCCCCGGCGGGATCAGCGGGTACGAGTGGTGCGTGTACACCGGCATGTGCGTCGCCGGGTCGATCACGTACTCGCAGAGCCGGTTGCCCGCCTCCATCAAGGCATACAGGTAGTTGCCCGACGGGTGCATCGCCACCCAGCGCGGGTGGTCCTTCGGATCCGGCGCGTCCACACTGCCCACCAGGTCCACCTCGCCTGACGGCGCCTTCTTGTGCACCCACAGCTTGTTCGCCTTCAGGTCCGCCGAGTATAGGTAGCTCTCCGTCGGGTCGAACACCATGCCGTGGATGCCCGTGTTGGGCTGGTACGCGTAGTTTTGTATGTTCTCGGCGAGCGCACCCGTCGGTGACACGGAGAACACGGCCCCATGGCCGGCGTGCGAGTAGAAGGGGTTGCAGTAGACGGCGTACGGCGGTTGTTTCGCGGCGAGCAAGAATATCGCGCGAGTGTTGGTTGTGGACAGGCTTGCCTGGGCTACATTACAGGCTAGGTATAAGTCAAGAGACCATTGAGGCAGAGTGTCTGTCTCAACAGTGTAGGTCCCAGTCTACTTACGGTCATGGTTCATGGGATGTGAGGCTTCGTGGACTATCTCGGTCGGGCTCTTGACGGCAAAGGTCGACCACTTCTTCATGGCCGAACCGTATATGTTCTTCTTAGCATGCTGTAGCAAGCGCATGTCAGTCGCATACAGCCAAGTCAGAGGGCGACCGGGTCCTTTGGCTTACATCGAAGGCCATCCACGAGATGGGCTCATCTTGGGGAATCTCTGTGCGCTTCACCAACTCCAGCGTCAGTTTCTCATCGTCGAAGGCCACAGTGAAGATGGCTCCGGGTGGGGTCCATGTCCCTATCATCAGGTGGTGGACCGGCATCCTGCACGCTTTCCGGGAGATGGGAGGATATCTTTTGAAGGGAGACGCTGCTCTCAGCATGTGCGACAAACCAGCCGCGCAAGGTGCATGTGCTGTATGCTACAACCAAAGCCCTCGATCGAACGTTTTCACTTCCTAGAATGCACTCGATCGGGCACCGACGATGGCTTCATCCGAAGGAATTCCGTCAGTTCAAAGGTGGGTGGTAATACTCTCTCTCCTGGTGTCCTTCTCCGGCGGCTCGAGGAAATGCAGCTTCTCATCGTCATCCCCACATCGGCTTGAGGGATATCTCACTGGCCATGAACAGGCTTTGGCTAGTCGAAGAAATGGACCCGAATAGGGATTGTTCCATACAATACGCAGTGTTGACAATGTGTGTCTACCCCTCCTTCAGTAACCACCTCCACGCGCTTGCGGTACAGGACAGTCCATGAACGGTCCGATCCAAGTGTGGGGAAGAATGTTCTGCAGTGCCTATCGGTTCGGCACCAGCGGCGGTAGATGGCGCGCCTTCGCGGGTCAATTGGTGTCCACAGGTACGACCATTCGGATGGCAACATGCTGAATCTCGATTTGCCATACTGCGATGCCGGGTAAACACTTTCACGCCTATGTCCACTTCCGACTAACCTACTCCCCACCACCTGACATGTCCGTCCACTGTGTACTGTATAGCACACTGTATAGGTGAGGCTACGTTCTGGGGCTACCGTAGGGCCACGGCACGTTGGACCCTGGAATGGGCTCGCTTCCGACTCAGGTCTGAGGTCTCGAAGCTCGAAGTGGCATTACCCCAGCTTTCGCTACACGATGAAGCAGTGCATGCATCGAAGCAACTACTGCTGTACATGTGTACCTCCTATCTACCTAGGTATATCGACCAAAGGGTATCAGACGAGGCATCCCACAGGACGGCGTTCATGTTGGTTTGATACGTGCTCAGGCGGGTACAGGTTTGATACTTGATTTGAGAAAGAAGACTTCCACAGATGACCTGCAGCAGCCGAGACGCAGCCCAGGAGTCTGCAGGCTAGGGTCGGGATGGATGGATAGAATCCCCAAGCCCAGCACTCTGTCGCCCACGCGGCGAAGCATGACTAGGGCAAATATTGCCCCGGCGAACTCTCCGGTCCACCCAACCAGCCGGCCCATGGATATTGGCGGGGTTTCTACTACCCTCGGGGAATCATGCTGCAGTCATTGTGAATCGCCCACGGAGTGTGGGCGTGGGAGAGGGAGAGTTGAGCTTATTTAAATGATTCATGCTCCTGCCGACACTGCCTCTCTCTTCGTGTCACTTCCCTTCCCCCTCTCATCCTTCTCCTCACGTCTCCTATATACTATACCCGGCCCAGGCTGTCTGTCTTTCTCTCGTCTGTATAGAAGCACTCACGATATCTCTCCGCGTCTCTGCGTCACACCACCCCTCATAAGCTTCAAATCAAGCTTAAACTTCATCACACAAACCACGTTCAAGATGGCACCTGCTGCTACCGGTCTGTCCAACGAGGCACAAGCCCCCAACCCCTCCCGATTCGACCCCAGTTTCACCCAACATGTCCTTGACACCATGGGTCCCAAGACCACCGACAGGAATCGGGTGGTCCTGGGCTCACTGATCAAGCACCTACACGACTTTTCGCGAGAGGTCGAGCTTACCATTGACGAGTGGATGGCCGCCGTCCATTTCGTCAATGATGTTGGCAAGATTTATGCTGAGTCGGGGAAGACGAGAAACGAAGCTCACAGAGTTTCTGATATCCTCGGACTGGAGACGTAAGTCATATTGGCTCTGCAATGTCGTTGTTTTTGTTGTGAGATAGAAAGTACTAACTCATAGCACAGACTGGTTGATGAGATCGCTCACAAGATCGTCTCCGAGTCAGGCGTCGACCCGACGTCATCGGCGATCCTGGGCCCCTTCTGGTCGCCCAATGCGCCCTTCCGTGACAACGGGTCGACCATCATCCAGAACCCGGCGCCGAACGGCCGGGTGTGCCTGATGCACGGCGTGATCAGCGACCTGGTGACGGGCAAGCCGATTCCCAACGCCGTCTTTGACATCTGGCAGGCTTCGTCTAACGGCAAGTACGACTTCCAGGACCCAGATAACCAGAGCCCCAACAACCTGCGTGGCAAGTTCCGCGCCGACGAGAACGGCAAGTACTGGTTCTACTGCTACCACCCGACTGCCTACTCGCTGCCCACCGACGGGCCTTCGTACACCCTACTGCAGATGATGGACCGCCACCCCATGCGCCCGGCGCACATCCACATCATGGTGAGTTGTCTTCTTTGATCTAGTCCTCACTCACCAGTAGTATTCTTCTGGCTAACACGCCCTGCGAAGGTCACACACCCAGAGTACAAGGGCTGCACCACACAACTGTACCCCAAGGACGACCAGTGGCTGGCCACCGACACCGTGTTCGCCGTCAAGGACGACCTGGTGGTCGACTTCAAGCCCCTCAAGGGCGACGACAAGGCCGTGCTGGAGCTGGACTACAACGTCATCCTCGCGCCCAAGGACTACACGGGTAAGACGTTCTGAGTCAGCGGCGCCAAGGATACGTTTGAATGAATAACCATTTCTGCGTGTGAAGGCTTGACTGTATCGAAGGCAAAGCTATGAGGCGAGGTTGCGGCTCCGGCTGTGAGTGGTTGGTCGTTGCTTTCGCTACGGGCTAGGCTAGGACAGGGGGGAATGGAAACCTGACACCGGCTTGTGAATTGATGATTAGGTGGTATTCGTGATCGATGCCTTTGCACATTTACTGTACCCCTATTGCAGGGTCCCTACGCGGATGGTATTCTCGCGAGCATAGCAGTGGCATAGTGGATAGAGGCATTTGCCCAAATCAATCGGAGCAAGTGAAAACTTTCAACACGCATTCGCCGTGTGTTACCAAAGCAGTTTTGTCTCACATGTCAGTTATCTCTGGCGCTTGTGGAATAGGGACTCAGCCAACAAGTGTCTTGATGATCCGAGTAATACGGAAAAGCTACCCTGGCCTTACTCTTTGTCTGAAGAGAACACTCTCGCCAAGCCATCACTCTTCTTTGACTGTAAGCGAGACTCATCGTTGGGGAGCTTCATTAGATGGTTTCGGGCGATGAAGGCCAAGAGAGTCGTTCTCAATGTCTTCGTGGTTCCGGATCTCATCTGATCAATCGATCCATCGAACCGTCTCCAACGGATGCCTGTACGCAGACCCGTCCATCACACCGTCCAAGTCGACCTTCCTGCCTGGTGCCGTGCTGTAAGCCCAACCGTCTCGTCGAATGCCCCAGCGTATCTCGACTCCAGAGACGTGTACCGTCGTAAGCCAAAGGAGTTGCGAATAAGAGGAAAGGTACGAATGAGAGACACACGACAGAGGCGAGCATGAGTCACGGGCCAAGACCCTTCTTAAAGACTTGTTGCAGATCCTTCTTGGCGTCCTCAGAAGCCAGCCCACCCTCCCCAGGCAGCCCAGGGCCCAGATTCATCCCAGACCGCGTGATTCGTCCGGACAGGCCGCTCGCCGCCTGGCTGCACTGTACCCGTCCGCACGATGCACCCCAGGCCCGGGCTGTGTCCGGGGACCCGCGCCGGTCAAACAGGCGTCCCAGACCTCGAGTTATTAGTTAGTGTTGAAGGATGACGGGTGCTGGTCCCAGCGTCTTGGGCTACCTCACGGCGTGACCAGCTCGTAGTGAACAACGCAACAGCTATGGGCCGTATAGAGTTATTATTAAAGACCGTCGTAGTTTTGTCTGATAATACATCAACCGCCAACTACATCGGGATTAAGGGCTCCCAACCTGGGAGTATCCGCTATTCTACCTAAACGCGTTCAAGCACTCCCATGTTCCTCCAACTCCAAATCCAAAGCGTTCTGTCCCGGTGACAATCCGATGTATCATGTACGCAACTACGCACAGTGTCCCGTGAATGTTTCGATGTTTCGGTCGGGATGGCTGTCTGAGTCCTTGATCCACCGTCCATTGCATGTCGTACATTTAGAAAATGTGAGGGAGCAATCACTGGCGTAGCTGCATTGTTTAGATGTATCGCACTCTTTCCACTTGAACAAGTTCCGGATACTACTGCGACTAGGGTGAAGCCCACGCTTCTGCTTAGGTAGCGCCGCGGCTTCGAGTTGCGATGAGTATCTCTGGGACATGGTGTTAGTGACTGTTGCTTAATAGAACGAATGGCGGTGCTACCTTGATAGCTGGGGCGGCGGCTGCCGCTGAACCCGGTTCTCCCGTCACTCGAGCGCTAACCGACAGAGCTGCGAAAGCCAGGGCGATAAGGGTTGCCGATAGGGCTTTCATTCTGGGCGGTGATGAATCTGTTTGTTCGTCTTGTGGGTGTATGGATGCGTGGATGCGCGGGTGTGCGGATGTGTGGATATGAGGATGTGCGGATGCGTGGTGGTTGGTGATGTGGAGTGTTTGGTTGGTAGTAGTGGATTGCCTTTCTGAATGATTGATGCTGGAATGAAGTTGACCTTCTCGCCTCAACCGTGCCCCCTATCTATATTCAATCATAGCTCCTCAAGCACCCTCGTGATGTCACGCATGAAGCGCATATCAACGGACTGCCCAATGGACAGGCCATGCCACCAAGATCCGCCAATATTTGCCAGCGTGTTGTTCCTACACACAGGATGGGCTGTGGGATTCCGTGCCGTCAAACTGTGCCTTGCAGCAGGCTAAATGAGCGGCGTAGGGAGAAGTTCAGGGTTTGCTGGGCTTCATTAGTGACTGATATCATGAGGACGGCCACAAATCGGCATCTCCTCACTGGCATCTCGCTCCTGCACCTGGCACAGCACCATAGCTCATTATCTGCTTGGATCGCTGTGCCGTATAGCGTGACTGATTGCGACGTCATTGGGAAGGGTCTCCAACACTTGCGGCGCAGCTGGGTTGGTTTCCTAGCTGAAGACACGGTGGCCAAGAAAAGGTTACTGCGCGTATATTCCTCTCCTCCGAGGTGGCCACCATTTATGATGGTAGATCCTCCATGTGGTGTAGGAATATTTATAAGCTTGTAATGTACTATCGGACTGCCACATAGACGTAGGGGCCTGGTTCTCAGTCCAGTGGGTAGAGCTGCTCTGCTGAGGAACGGTACGTACCAAACCCATACTTCCCTCGCCAACAAAAGTCGCATGCCTATGGCCCCTCGGACGACCAATGATGCGAAGGATGGCGGAGGATGTGAATGGCCAGTCAGGCAGTCTTGTATAGAGTTACTGGTTGGTTGGCCTAACCGGCAGCCTCGACAGCAATGGATGCCCCCACAAGCGAGGTAGGATCGCCACCCTTAAGGTATTTAAACTTATAGTCTGCGGTGTCAAGTGATCGGCGCGTCACTCAGATGGTTCAAATGTTGGCCGAAGTGAGCTAAATTTAGTTTATGTCAATATCCATGGTACCATGTCCGAAAACCGCAGCAGCAGTAGCTGGCTCACTTCAACTGATCAACATCTTCATCAATGGGAAGAGTGGCCAAATATAGATCTGGAACGTCACCCAACATCGTGTCAATAATGTCTCCGGGAGATATCGATAGACCCAGGTAGCCACCGAAGTCCAGGGGACGTGGCTGACGTTGTGTCGACGAGTTGCAAAGACCCAGTGGTTGTCCATATATGTGGTGTTAAGTTCGAATCCTAATAGCGCTAATGTGGCTTCACCTTTTGGTGGCTCAGCTATCTGCTGAGGCTATGGTCAAGCGGGTTGGGGCTGATCGCGAGATGGGCATGGGCCGCATGAAGCAGAAGATCTTATATCAATCCTTATACCCATATTGAATCCGACTCGGAGGTGCGTTGAAATTTACTTCAACATGCCTTAGCGTGCAGCACCGCAACGGCACGGGTCAGGTCGACTGAACTGTTTAATCAAAGTTACTTTATTAAGGCTTTAATTTATTTTTCACGATATATCTAACATTTTTTAAGATTGAAAGTAATCGTTTAAGCGTAGTGTTAATAATTATTATTAATATATCGTACTTATTTTTATTTTTACCTGATAATTGTGAGGGCAGTATGAAGGCACACACCAGCGCAACCTACTGCGCCCCACATCACACCCTGGCCAGGGGTTCATCTAGATAGCTCTGTCTCCCACCTGTATCTAGCTCTCTTTCCTTCCTTTCTTCATCTTTGATATTTTCGTCTATAGAGTCGGTTACCCCCTTGTCGTCTGCTTTGTCTCGTCTTAGGTGCCACTCGCCGTGACAATAATTATTGTACCATTTTTATAAAAAAGATTTTAAGTAAATTTATCATAGCATTGATAATAAAAGTTGGTATAAAAAAAGGTTATGAAAAAGTTAACAATTGCCGTTAAGTTCAAAACGATTAATAATAGTAATCTTATATACTAAATAATATATTAAGTATTTCGTAATTTAAAATGTTTTATATAATATTTACTGTTATATATTAATATTAAGATTTCTTAAACAAAGTTATTAGAAAGATATAAACCATGATTTTTTAACGATTAATATTATAAAAAAGCTTATTAATTATAATAAAATTATAAATAAGTTTTAAACATTCGTCAACGTTTCTTTACGAGTTGGATAAATTATTATTTTTAGTATTTTTAACGTAACTGTTGGAACAGGCTTGAACAATCAATCATAATACTCGAGTATGGGGTCAAGGTTATGATGTTGCTGATGGTTGGATTGAGAGGAATCTAGCTGGACTCGAAGGTCTGGCTAAGTGCCCTCTCAATCCACTATCTTATCTTATCTAATCATACATGTGGGTCCTGATATAGATGGTTTGCAGTCTGGAATCGCATGGATCCAACAGTAACTGTTTTAAAAAATGAATTATATCATTAAATATAACGGCTTTATTTACGAGTTAAACGTAACTTAAAATAAGTTTTATTTTATTTGTTACAGCTTATTTTTTAAAAATTGGTTTAAACGGTATATAAGCGACTTAATACGTTTATAATTAAGTTAAAACTTTAAGCGATATAATATATTTTGAACGATCAAACATAATACTCGAGTATTGGGTCAAGGTCATGATGTTGCTGATGGTTGGATTGGGAAGTCTAGCTGGACCTGCAGGTCTGGCTAAGTGACCTCACAATCCGGTATCTAATCTCTTATCTAATCATACATATGGGTTCTGTATGGGTGGTTTGACTGTGGAACCACATGGATCCAACAATTTCTTTAATTTTTTTAATAAAGTAGAAAAAACCAAAGACAAAACGGTTGATTATATATTCATTTACATTAAGATTAAAATTAATTTTAATACTTTCATTACTTAAAAAAGTACGAATTATTATTCAGAAATACGTATAGTTCAATAATAAAACTTTATTTATAAATATTTAAAAAGGAGCTTTTCATACGAAAAATATGTTAAGGGTTCCGGAATTTTTTTTCTAAGACCAAGTTTTATTAAAAGGTTCAAAGTTTAATTAATTTTTAAAAAAGGTTAAAATTTCCGTATTTAAACATGAAGGTATTTTTAAAGTATAGAAATTAATTAATATAAAAATTTATTTATTTATAATAAAAGCTATATATACGTTTATTAAAAGGCTTTTGAAAAGTTATAACGTTTCATTAATTTTAAAAAGCTCGTATAATATTTTTCATCGGATTATATTATTATTGTCACAGTTCAAGGTCCAATATTCGGGTGAATTGCTTGCGTAATTGTCTATCGGATCTGAGGCCCAAATCTAGTACTAAATACACATCAAAGCATAAAGATTCGCCCATCTATTGATCTGGCAACCAATCGAGCCTTGTATGTCACTCTGAAAGCCACCACTTCTGGTGCCTTCACCCCTTTCATCCTGTGACCACCTATTCTGGTAAGATAAAGCTGCCTGAACAGCTGATAACACACTTGTACGGCACCTTGTATCCCCCAATTATTAAACAATAAAAAAGGTTGAATAAAGTTTAATACTGTAAAAAAATTAAAAGCGTTGTTTATAAAATAAGTTTAGTCTTTATTTCTTTCTTTTATTGTATTTCTCTTTATATTTTAATTATTTTAATATTTATATTTGTTAAAGCTATTGGAACGGTTGCTTTTATTACGTTACTTATTGTAATCGTAAAAACTTTTTTATTTCTTTAACCTTTAATTAAAACGGGGTTTTCATTATATTTAAAATTGTCATAAAATCAAGGTTTATACAAATCGCTTCTTATCTTTTTATCGTTTTCATATTTTTAAGACTTATATTTTTAACCGACAGCTGAAAAATATGAATCAAAGATAGCTATTTTATAAATAAGCTTATTTTAATTAACTGCCTTCACATATAACTCAAGAATATTAATAAAAATCAAACTATAAAGGAATTATTTGATATTTAGCTTTATATGAAGAAATATTTGAGTTAAAACTTTTAATTAATTAAGATTATTTTTATTTCAAATTTTTAGAACTTCAATATATTAAAGTTTTTATTAAATAAGTAAACAAATTAAAAGTTAGTGTATTATAAGCAACATTTATGAAAATGAAAATGAAAATGTTTTTTTTACCGATAATTACTTAAAAAGTAAAGCGTTTTCTAAGGTTATTAAAAACGTAATTAAAGCTAGCTTCACGCATACTGGAGAGCTTTTAAAATGTAAATTCTTTGTTTTATTATATAATAGTAGGCTTTTTTGGTAATATTCTTGAAAAGAAAAAGACGTATTTATACGCGATATTTCTATATTTATTTTATTTAACAAAGGTGTTAATGCGTTTAATAAATATATAAACGTTAAAAACATACTTGTATTACTTAAAGCGAATATGTTTATATTTTTAATGTTTTTATGGTCGGGGTCAAATTAACCGATATTGTGCTTTTTGATTTTAAGCGTTTAATATTTTTATCATAAACCGTTAATTCTTAAATGCGGTATTCAATTATATACGGTACGTTAATTTAATACATAAATAAAAGGTTTTATAGAATAGTTAAAAAATATAAGCTCTTATATGATAATTTTGAGTGGTAAAAGGCATATTAAAAAGAGCTTAAAACTGAAGTAAAAAAGTTTAACTAAAATAAAATATGTATTAGAAGGCCGCTTAATAAGTGAGGGTTTAATTCTTTTTAAACTAATATATCGAAAAATATAAGTAACGGTTATTAAAATAAGCGCTAGGTAAGGTATATTTACGTAAACGGTAAAGTTAAGAATTATTCAAATTTTTATTTTATTAAACGAGTCGACTTACAAAACTATATAAGATAAGAAGTACCGTACTTTGTAAATTTCATATTAAAATAAATCCAGTTTATTTGATAATAGAGAAATAAATAAGTTTATTTTAAGCTCAAAATAATTTTATAAAGGTTTATTAACCATGTTTGAAAAGGTAAATTATAGAAGTAAAGCGGCAGTTTATGAAATCAAAATTCAACGAAAGGTTGATTATTTTAATTTCTTTATAAGTATTATCTTAATATTAGTAATATTATTTTTAATATTATCGAATTTTTAATCAAGCTTTATTAATCCTTATATGATCTTTATTTAAAAAGCTTATTAATTAGTGTTTTTGTTTTGTATTTAATGATTAATTTAACTTATTAACTTTATCTTATTTATTAATTCAAAAGCTGGCTTTTTAACAGCGTTAAGCTTACTTTTAACGTTTAAAGTTTGTAATAGCTCCGGTATTCTTATTAAAAATGACGTTTATATAAAATTTTTAATTGTTTTATATTAAAAGAATGATATTTATTAAAACCTAACAATTTTTTAGCGTTATACCGTTTAATATCTTAGAAAAGACAATAACGAAAACTAATATAAAAGGCCTATCAATTGTACAGTACTTTTAATATTTTTAATCTTATATCTTTACCTATCGTGTTAATTATTGTAAGTAAATAAAATATTATATGAATAACCGTTTAATTAAATTCAATATGCGAATATAAAGCGAAATAAAGTAAAAAGTACGATTAAATTACGTTATTAGAAAGGTAACGTTATCATAATAATAAATACGTATAATTGATATGAATGGGTTTAAAGCGCTTAAAAAACGTATTTGTTGGATCCATGCAATTCCATACTGCAAACCATCTATACCAGGACCCACATGTATGATTAGATAAGATAAGATAGTGGATTGAGAGGGCACTTGGCCAGACCTTCGAGTCCAGCTAGATTCCTCTCAATCCAACCATCAGCAACATCATGACCTTGACACCATACTCGAGTATTATGATTGATCGTTCAAGCCTGTTCCAACAGTATTAGTTATAATATTTTATTATTAAAGTTTCAAAGGTTTAATTTAAGTAGTATTAAAACGCGAAAGTATCTTAATTAAAGTTGTATTTTTAATATATAGTATGGTATAATTAAAATACTCCTAGTATATAATGTCCGACGTAGAACGCGTTAATTTTTTTACTTCGTTTAAAACTATCGAGTGTATAGTGTTAAAATATGCCGTAAAGTAATACTTAACCGAATATACTTGCTAGGAAATATAAAATAAAAAACGTAAGATAAATAAATTAGCTTTTATTATAAATAAATGCTTACCGAGTTTCATTTATTCAAGTACATATTATTTGCCGAATATAAGCTGTTAAAATAATACATTAATAAGATCGATTGGAAATGTTTACAACGAGTAACATTTTTAAAAGACGTATTAATCGTCAAATCTAGTATTATATATATCATAACTGCTAATAATTAAATTAAAACTTGAAAAGAAATGCTACTATATAAAGCGTGTAACGTAGCTGACAAGCGAGTTGACATTACAAGCGAGTTGGCACTCGTCATGAACTCTCCAACTGCCATGTCAAATAACTTCACCACAACGCATTCAGTTCAATTCAATCAATCGGATTCCTCTTCCTCAGAGGTTTCTATCTCTATTGTACAAGTTCGCGCATTATGGCCAGTATTGCCGCAAATACCACACCGTCGCCCACGCGCTGCCGCCCGCCTCGGACGACGACTACCTTCACCCATTTCCTGTTTTGCCAGCTCAGTACCATCCTTTGCAGCCTGAAGATCTATTGTATCTTCAACAGAAAGTACTCCTCCTTTTACTAGACGTTTGTTTTTCGTTCTTTGGTGTTTACTTAGTAGGTGATTGGCCTCTTCTAGTTTGCAGACCCGGGAATCAACCAAAGCGACCTTATGCATAAGACCGTATGTAGCCTTCGAAAACGAGCTCAACGCATCAACTATTGATGTAGGTGAGCTTCCCTGGTGGTTTCTGACTCGGTTTCGGATATAAACCGATTGGTTTACCGCTTCGTTAATGGTGGTAGGCGTCTTCAAAGTCCAAGTAGTGGGTGGCAGATTGGGGTCTGGCGACGGTGTTCGTATGACAGCGACAGCATCCAGCTTTGAAATAACACTTTCTGGGTCAAAAGGAACAAGCCCAGTGGCACTGAAACCTGCTCGAATGTTTCCTGGCGTCATAGCAGCGTTGTGTACTTCACAAAACGCTGCAATGAAGTCCTCCTTCGAAACATGGGTTATATGACGCCGGATGAGATCCTCAATCATGCGACCGTAAGCTCGTTTGAGCGGGCTAAAACAGCCGACATCTAGAGGCTGGAGCCTGTGTGACGAATGGGCAGGCATACAAAGGGTGATAATGCCATTGTTCTGACAATAATCTTCAAAGACCTGGGAATGGTGGCTTTCGTGACCATCTAGGATGAGGAGGCGTTTACCGGCAGTCATACGCGGTCTGGTATACTTGTTGAAATGCTGAATCCATTTCAAACCAATCTCATTCGTGGTCCACCCGTTGTCGGACACGGCCACCTTCCAATCGCGTGGTAATATCGTGTCGCGATACCATGACGCGAAGTGGGTTTTGCCCTGTAGAATGATGAACGGCGGGACCACCCAACCATCAGCATTAACAGCAGAGATTGCTGTAGACCATTCCCTGTTGCCTTGCTGAGCTTGTCTAGGCCTGCCACGTCTTTTGGCGCTTGTAACGACCATGCCGGACCCAATAATGCCCATCATAAACCCAGTCTCGTCGAAGTTGTAAATATCCGCGTCTTGGATACCATGTTTCGCGACTGCCGCTGCAACTTGGCAAAACCACGCGCGATACGCGTCTGGATCCTCGTTCAAGACCCTCTGGTAGTCTATCCTCCGATGAAAACGCGTCCGGAGGCCTGGTGTACGTTTAATGAAGTTCCGCGTCCAGTTTTTTCCAACGCGTCCAGCCCCACGCGCCGCCAACAATTGATTTGCCATATCTTCAACATAACTGTACCGGGGCGGAAATGCTCGCGCATCCAGGTCGAGAATGAAGGAACAAATGGCATTCTCTTCGGAAACCATAAGTTTCAAAGTATTGGGCATGCTGTCGTGTCGTGATGGCATTCCTTTGACTCTATTGCTCAAAGTGGAACGAGGGACGTTGAAGAGTTTCGCAAGCTGAAATATAGGAATATGAGGGTCACGTCGTTTAGCTTGAACAGCTAGCTGCAAGTCTGATTCGTTATAACGCGGTGCCATTGTTGTTGGTGGAGATATGATGGTTTGAATCGTATTGGTTGGAAAGTTCATGACGAGTGCCAACTCGCTTGTAATGTCAACTCGCTTGTCAGCTACGTTATATGCAAGTATATATTAATATAGAAGTACGGGTTAAACATTTTAAATTAAAAGGGTTAAAATAGTATATGCTTATAATATCATACGGCCTTATCAGCCCTTATTTAATTTATTTAGTTGTTATAGTAGGTCTTTTCTACTACTACCTCTTAGTATTACGTATTGATTTAACTTTATAAGCGAAACTTTACGCGTATATTATTCGACGTACAACGTATCGGCTTAAACTTATAACCGTTATTCGTAGTTAAAAATTTAATAAATTAAAATAATTTCTAACGTTTCATTATAATAAACTTCGCGTATAGTATAAAATCTATGTTTTTTATTGTTTTTAAAATATATAGGTTTGGCTTTTCCTTTCGGTCGAAAAGCTTAAAAAATAAAAACAAATCGAAACACTTATCCGTCCGTTGTAGACTTTTTCCTCGTCAGGGCATTAAATCAAGCCCTCGAGGGCAAAGCTGATTGGGCGGAAGCGCATATTTCACGTGTCTTGAAAATCACCGACGCGGAGGGAGCGCCGACCCTGCGGCCGCGCTGACTAAGAACCTCGCTAGGTAAGCACGACAACGGACATCGCGAGTAGCCAGGACGAGTGCAAGTCTGTTATCCTGCGGGTAGTAGATCGATGCTGTGTACTGTAGATCATGGAAGGGGGGAAGATGGAGTCTCGCTGGAAGAAGCGGCGGAGGCAATCTGCCGGCTGAATATTGCCTCAAAAGGGGGCTTGGTATCAGGGAACCGGGTCAGGGTGGCTTCTTGCGAGTGTTAATCGGTCGCTTATAATGAGAAGCAAATCAAAGATATTTTTGGTGGCTCATGGTTCAACTCTATTTATCTTCTCCCTTAACTTCAACGCTGGCCCTAAAATGAAGACAAATTTTCGCACGGGAATCTCGCGCAGATTGAGAGTGTTGATGTCCTGCTGGAAAGCGTGGACGATCGCAGTGTTGAACAGGCATCGTATGCCAGTGTAGCAGTTGCCTTTGGCGACGTGGGAATGTGTTGACTGTGTCGTTTAGCTGATGTGGTGGTTTACTTGGCTAAACCTAGCTGCTCCTGGGCCCGGGTGTGGGTGGTTGGGTGGTGATTGTGTTGCTCCGGGCGGGTAGCTGTTGCTGTCTCTATACTACAGCCGGGGAGAGTGCGCGAAGAAATGTATCTCGAAGGTGGTTAGTAGGCTAGACATATGTTAGGTGCACGTTCGCTGCGAGATCGTAGTGATAAATTTGAGACCAATGTAAATAAGATATCTAACTTAGAAACATTGGAATGATAGTTATTTGTGCGTGCCCCTTTTGTGAAATGCAAATAGAAACTGCCAGTGTAAATGTTGGGTGCCAAAATGTTCCCCGAAGTGAAACGCAAACCGAAAATAAGAATGTACAGTAGAATAGAGTCCAAAGAGTGTCTAGCCCATCTCTATAGAGTATGTCGTAAGAATCATGCAACAGTTTCAAGCGGGTACTGTCTGTTGAAGCGTCCCTCCCCTTCCCTTCCTGCCTTCTCTCAATGCTGGTGTTGTCGTCGTCATCTATTTGATGTCTGCAAGGATGTCGTCCCTAGCCTTCGCGGCGAGCAACATAACACCAACAACGGGGAAGGTGCCCACAATCTTGGGGAAGGCCGAGGCGTCGACGACGCGGAGCCCGTCGATGCCGCGGACGCGGAACTGGCCGTCGAGCACCGCCATCGGGTTATCATCGGCGCCGATGGCGGCCGAGCACGAGGCGTGGTGGCCCCAAGCCTCGTCAATAATCCACTGCTTCAGTTCCTCGTCCGTCTGGACGTCCTGCGGCGGCCAGATGCGCTCGAACTCGCCGTCGAGCGGGGTGATGTGGTCGTAGAAGCTCATGGCCAGCTTCATGCCCTCGACAAGCGCCATGGCGTCGGCGTCGGCGGCCTCCGTCGTCTGGCCCTCGTACAGGTTGTGGAAGTCGATCCGGGGCGTGTCACGCGGGTTGGTGCTGGCCAGCTGGACCGTGCCGGCGTTGTTGGTCGTGTGCGCCTTGAGGATCAGCCACGACCAGTGGTTCTTGGCGTCGGGGGTAGCGGCGACGGTCGAGTAACCGGGGAAGAAACCGGGGAACAGGGCGGAGAAACCACCGAGCCAGAGGTCGTGCTCACCACCCTGCGCGACAGACGATGTGGTGAAGATACCCATAGGCACGCCGTTGGAGGCGTAGGTGCCCTTCTCGGAGTCGTGGTTGTCCTCGCTGAAGTACTGCGACCAGCAAGGGTCATCCTCAGTGCCGAGGTAGGTGCAGTTGAGGATTCTGGTGAAGTTGCTTGTGGCGTCGGCATGGACACCAACCTCGAGGCGGTCTTGCATGTTGGTGCCGACACCGGGGAGGTCGAGGACGACGGGGATATCCCACTTTTCGAGCTCCTCCTTGGGACCGACACCGGAAAGCTTCAGAATCTGGGGAGTGTTGAAGGTACCGCCGGAGACGATGATCTCACGAGTAGCCGAGACGGTACCGGGGATACCGGTGTCCTCAGTGAGGCTGGATCGGGGGTCGGCGCGGTACAAGGACTCGCCGAAGAGGTAGTCAACACTGATGGCCTTGGGCTTGTCGCCAGTGGTGTCGAAGTTGACCTTGGTGGCAAGGCTGTGCAGGGCAACGTCGAGCTTGTACTTCTTGGATCCGTCGGGGTTGGTGGCGGTAGCGACGTCGTAGACCAGGTCACGCGGGGACGCACGCCTGTAGTCGCCGGTGGTCATGGTCATGGGGAGACGGGCAACGACCTGCTTGGTGTCACGGTCCGGGGTGTCACGGTTGACGTCCCATTCCAAGATGTCCCCAAGGGCATCGACGATGCCTTGGGTCACATTCAGGGGCAGAAGCTGGTGGGGTTCGTTAGCGTTGAGAAGGATATTTCAAGGGGACAAACAGGTACACGTACCATCTCGGCGGTATCGCCAACCTCTTGAGAGAATACATCGGTGGCATCTGCGATGGCGTTGGAGAGAGACTCGGTCGAGTAGCCAAGGGCCTCCATGGCACCAATCATGACCGACAAGATCTTCAAGTCCTGAGCAGCTATGCCCTGAGGATTGATGGACACGCCGAGCCATCCGTCGGTACCGTGGGCGCTGGTGTCGTTGTTCGGGAGCGGGTACATGACTTTCTCGATCTGCTTCCAGTATTCCCTCATGTTCTCGGCCTGGAACTTCACATCGCCAGTGATGTTTGCGATGTAGTCCCAGTCATTCTCAGTGGGCAGGACACCGACCAAGGCGTTGTGCTCGGAGCAACCACCCAGACCGCCGTACCGAGGGTAGAAGTTACCGAGCATGGTGGAGCCTTCAGGCACATTTTGACCACTGTAGTAGTTGCCATCAGGGGTCATCCACGTGAGTTTTCTGTCCCTGAGGGCCTGGGTCTCGTTTGCGTAGTGGTGGGTGAAGAAACCCCAGCTGACTTCGTTTCTCTCCGAAGCAGGGTTACCCAGCGCCGGAGTCTCGACCTCGCGGAGGTGACCGTAGTCACCACCAGCATCGATGAGCAGGACACTGTGGCCAGCAAGAGCAAGATCGGCCGCCAGAGGGGAGCCACCGGCGCCGCCACCGACCACGATGTACTCGTAGGTCTTGTTCGGGGAGGGAGGGGTGACAGGGAGAGAAGGTCCAGTGAGTGGGAAGGTGTTCTGCTGAGGGACACGAGGGATGAGCACATCGATGCCGTTAGCTCCAGCACTGTGATGATGGTTAGACTATTCTTCTGGACGAGTTGTTCATGTCTTGACTTACCCAGCTTCTGTGAAGGGGGCCAAGGCGCTGATAAGCGCAAGGTAAGAGAAAGACTTCATCTTGTCAAGTTGTCTCGACCAAAAAGGGAGTGAAAGTAAGTATAAGACTTGTAGCGTTAGAATGAATGAAGCGCTAGCAAGACGGACGAATCCAATGAGAGAAGCGAGGGAGTAGGAATACTACTCTTGCTCGTGCTGATCGAAGAGGAGAGCTGAGTGAGGGTGGATGGGTGCTGAAGCTACAATCCAAAGGCACCGAGTCGACGGCGGCCCTTATATACAACAGTCCCTCAGCAGCAAGGGCCGACTGAGTCGCTCGCGAGCCCATTCCGGTAGCCGTGAAGACCCTTTCGAGCTGATAGTCATCCCGGATATCGAAGTGGTGAGATGCTTACGGTCCAACTGTAGCTGAAGGAAGCTTACGGGCTTGAAGGCGAGGCCGAGTCATGGAGGCGCGGAGATCGGTGTTGGCCAGAACGGACCCAAATGCGAGGCTGTAGCTGGAAGAGGAAACTGGGACTGGAAGAGGCAGCTGGACGTCGCATGAGACATGATCCTTTGCGTCTCGCCTAGCGGTTCGGGCGAAGCCACGCGAGCTCGACCATGTGACTGAGTGTGTACCTGCTGGGTGGCTCTGGGGAGGCAAATTACATCGAGCTGTGATTTGACATGGTGAACAGTCAGTCTAGACGAGGTCAGCGTGTGGCTGCATATGGGCGGCTCCGACCCTGGTAGATAGGGACTCTCTTCTTAGACCTTGTGTAGTTAGAACTAAGCCTCTTGCTTACATGATAGGGCTTTGCCTGCCTGGTACCAGCAAAAGACTCCTGAGTCCAAGCCAGGACTGGTTCTGGGGCCTTAGCCCCCCCAGAGGAAGCACCAGTTACCCTCAGCCGCGTACGGATGGATATCTTTCCGCAAAGTAGGCCTTTGGATCTGCTGCAGGTGAAAGACAAGGAGGCTCTGTGGGTCACGGCGCGAGACCAGAAGGCTTGGATACGGAGTCGGCGTCCTCAGCTAAGCACAAATTATAGCTGCTAAGGCTGCTAAGGCTGCTGACCAGCTATTTCCAGACGGCATGTACGAAGTAAGGCTGCTTACGGTTGTGCAGGGTTCCTGCATGAAAAACGTGTGCATGAAAGCTTGGGGAGGAGTCAGATAGAGTGGTACAAGGCAATGCAACCCTACCAACGGTCGCGTAGTATATCGGCGACAGGACCACCTGCAGGCAATGCAGGCCAAAATCACCGTGTCCTGCCGTGTAGAGGTTCGATTAGTACCCCAGCCTATCAGCTCGATATCAAAGTGGCGCATTCAAGCTGAAGGAGGATTCAACACATGGAAGAAGATAAGATGGAAGAAGTCAGCAACGAGCCCTGCGGACATGAGCATCTCGACAGGAACCTGCAATTTAGGCAGCATTGCCTCTCCGGGCTGCGAATATGGGGGTGAAGGAGCTTCGCTTACCTTAAGGTAAGGTAGGTATATTGTCTGGCCAAGGCAGAAGTTGAATGCTCAGCCAGACATACCAACGGCGGCATCGGGCGACACACGCAATACTTGAAAGGCTGAGTCAAGGCTAAGCTCCGGAAGGGATAGGGGGCGCCACAAGTAGCGTTTGCTACATATACAAATTGTAGCTGACGCCGTCAACGATGTGGGTAGACACGTTGTTATTGAATGTGCTCACGATTCGTTTCGAAACCAGGTACGCTCGGCGAGGAATTACCGGCGAGATCCGTCGGGAAGCTCCATGCACCTCTATCTTTTGAGACTACCCGATGAAACACCGGCAGGTACCTTTCTGATAGAGCTGGTACATATAGCCTTGTAGGGAAGGTCACACTAGGGCCGGTGCGGGTGCACGTGGTGGGTGTCAGGGACTCAGGGTGAGGTGAATGAGTGAGAGCGATTGTAGGTACGAAGGACAAACGCGTAGACACAGCCATTCGGTTCCACTTCAGCCGCGGCGAATAGTCAGTCTTAGTCCTCGTTGTCCTGACGGAGGCTTGAATAGACCTTCAATACTGCAACCAACCAAGATTGAACCAACCAACCACATTCAGCTGACAGCCGCGGCCCCCGGGCCTTAAGATGACTGGCCTGCCAGGCTCAGGGGTCATGATCCTCGTAGAAGGGTCGTGATCCATCACAACCTTATTAGTATTGCACGCTACACAAAGATCCTCCATAGAATCCCCTGCAGATGAGCATGGGTCTTGTAAGATCCCAGGCACACACACCTGCAGTCCTCCCGCGCCCGGAATCCTGAATCATCACTTTGTATTCTCCACTTGAGATCGTTTCAAGGGATCTTATTTATAGCTTAACCATCGCCTTACCTGGGCCGTAAGGTCATGGGAGATGCCCCTCGAGATGCCCCTAGAGATGCCCCTACTATCATAGTAGTACCATGCCTCTGCTGGAGACATATTGGTGCTGAGTTGGGTAGATAGCGAATCTCATATCCACCAGACCATGACTGGCGACGTACTACTAGAGCTTGAAAGGGGACGCTCATGCACTTTGTCGCTGTTGTGGTAGGTAACGTGTGTGCTTACTACTGCTGGACTCGTCCGTTTACTGTTCCAGTCAATCAGAAGCCCAGACGCGTGGGCGGGGCGCTCAGCTGGGGGCTTCTCAGCCCTGTTTATGAGCATGGTACTTTGCAAAATGCATGTCGGATGCTGCAGTCATCGTCTATGTAGGCTTAGAGCTGATAGCTAAATCCGGTAGGTTGTTGTTTCGTTTCGGGTGCCGCCGTGGCTTGTGATAGGCGAAGAAAGCAGTATTTCAAATCATCCAGCTCACCCCTGCTTACTCTGACACACCAAAGCGGTATAACGTTACTCAGCCGGACTGCTGCCAGATTTAATAGTGAACACGCGCCCAGCAGAGGCAGTAAGCAGGGGTCTGTCTAAAAAGAGGTATAAGCAGCATACCAAGCTCTGTAATGCACGTGGCGAGGCGCACATAGCCCCAGTAACCTCTGCATGTGCTCACTGGAGGCGTTCTTAAAAGTTATATTTACCCCTGGGCCCTTGCGGGTATCGTTATCGTACGATCCTTGGCGTGAGACTCCTTCGAGCAGATCTCGAGGAACTTTCGTCGTTCCGTACGAAGCAGAGAAGCTTCATGGGGCGAGGAAGATGACAGCGCAGACCGCCCATTAAGGCTGTCTAGACCCTCACAGACCTTCTAGGACTTTAGCTAGTCATGGGAAAAGAACCACCGTAAGCTTGCATGAAGGATCAAAGGTGAGCTAGCTTGACATCTGCAGAAAACCATTGTTCTTGATGAGCTAGTTGGAATAACCTCTAGCTGCTTATCTAGAGCCTGACCGCTCTTAACGCTTCTCTTTGCACTGTCATGGGGCATGGGCCCAGTTAAAAAAACGAACAAGATGCTCAAGATTAGTACAAAGACGCTTTAGCTACAAAGTCATCGGCGCCAGGGGGCCAACATCACCAGCGTCTAGTCTTGTTTAGAGAACAGCCATGAGACTATGCATGGGCTAGAAGACAGCCCTGATCATACAGCTCGGTTTCGGCCAGTGACTCGGGATAGTTTTTATTGATTTCGGCCAATGACTCGGGATAGGGGTTCTTGATTTCGGTAAGTGGCTCAGGATAGAGGGTCCTGCTTGCACAGCTCAAGATTGCAAGATCCGCAAGGGAAGAATGTACACCCTATCTCGTGGGGTATGACTGACCATGTCACATGTCGCTTTACGAGATCAGATCATCTATGAGTATTCCCGCGTGGCGAACGTGGTTCGGGAGGAAGTATATGCTTGCTAGACCCTTGTAGTTCGGGAATCCTGACCGAGACCCTGCTGATGACTGTGTAGTCTACGAATGGGGCACATAGGGACTGTCAGACAGGGTCCCTTACTGAGGCTGTGGTTGGCAGTCGAACGTGGAACTAGTCATTCGTGGCTGAGTGGAAAATCTCCACGGACATGCGGTAAGCAGAGCCAGCTTACATCGCATGTTCGGCCCGTATTACTACCTGAATGAGTACTCGACATGCTCGCCATGATATGGGGTGTCGCCAGTGCACATATCCATTGATAGAGGCCAATGAATTACGTGTACAAGGAACTCGAAATGCATTTTAAGTTCTCAAAGTTAACTACTTGAAATGCCGTTGGACTCATCCAGCTATATTCCTACGTGACTGCAGATTGGAGTAGCTTCTTTTGCTAAGAGGATTTTTTTACAGTACGGCGCAGCTTAGCCAGGAGTGACAATTCTGAAGACTACATGTATGATGTAGGTATATTGTTTCCATAGAGAGCTCTAGAACCTGTCAAAGATCGCGGACGTCAAACTAAGTTAGAACGTTAATACACTCACTCATCATAAGTGTCTATTCCGCGCCCTTTAAATCCTCTACTACAGCAGAATAGGCACCTTAAGATAAACGCTTATACAACAATAAGCTATCCTTGATTCTTATTCCAACACCTTTATCACAGATTTGAAATAACCTCCGGATGTTCTGCACCTTGAATAGTAACTGGTGTACGGAGACCTTTGGGGCTTCAGTGTAGCATTATCTTCATTGACAGTGGAAACTTTGTCCTTTCCACCTTCCGCTCATCCGATCATATCTCGGTATTGCTCCCGGACAAATAGGTCAGAGGATCGCCGGCATATACACGCCACATGATACTCGTATGATGGGAAGTAAGCCACCCCTAACCATCGTCCAACTACCTGCGGACCTTATTACAGCTAGTCTCACGACCAGTTCCCATCATATGTGTTTCATCTTCTGTTTTCCTTGCCTTCGCTACACCGACGTCAAAGCTTCATGGACAAATTTCCACATGAAGTTGAATAGCCCCTCTGCGTTTCCATCTAAACAAGGAGTCTTGGACTTGGTATCCGTTTTGAACTTTCGAAGTCCGATAATCTTGGGATCCAGCGGTGAGTGATCGTATAGGTGCACCAGTGTCCCCGATACCCCCCTTTCCGATACTATGTGTCATTCAACTGAATTGTGTAGTCCGGGTCATCAGCACGACATGTTGAAAGTTAATGATTAGCTAATGCTGCGTCATAAGGCCTCACCACCTGAGTCACTCGTCTGCCGTTACTCCTTCTAACTCCGGGGAAGTTGGGTCTTCAAAGCGCGGAGTGAAAGCACCCACGTGGTAAAGTCCCAAGGAGTTCCCGTTGCGCCACACATGATCTGACGGTTTCCTTGGCGGCTAGAAGTGTGGTCACACGAAGTCCCTTAGCGAGCACACGCATCAGACCAGCGTCGTTGACTTGGCAAGCAGCCTCTGCCGGAGGTGCATCTCGGTTAAGTGATGTTTGAAAATGGACAGGCGATGTCAGCCATATCCCGAAAATAATGTTGCCGGAGTTGAGGCGCAGAGGACTTGCTAGGTTAACGGTCCTACGGCGTCAAGCAAGGGGCGGCCTCCCACGTTGTCCGAAACTGCACATGTGTGCATGTCTCGTATGCCACGTCGCAAGGGGCTGGCCACAGCCCTCAAGATGATCTGCCACATATAGCTGGCCCCTACCTTCGCTCAGTCTTCTTTTCCCACACGTGGACAACCTCACAACAGTAGACGGAAAGAGTGACCACGTCGTGCGTCGGCTCGGCTTGACATTTCCAAGCCTTACTTACGGATCAGGAGATAGGGTTCGCAGATGTGAGTACCTCACTCATCCGCTCTGCTAAGGAAGAATTGCGACACCACAGTGACGTCTCCCAACGAGCCGGCACCGTTCCTCCCGCCACTCGGATAGCAGCCAGAAACAAGCATTCCCCGCCTTCAGTCCGGCAGTGAAAAGTCCCGTACACTTCAGGTTCGTGTGTGGGATCTGTTTTCAAAAAAGGCACGCGAAGCTACATTCCATACCTGGACCGATGAACCCGAACCTGTCCCGAGGTCGCCAAAGATCAGAACTGGAAATGCACCTGACGTGCGAGTTCCGCATGCCTCACAGTGATCACAACGTAACATGCCCGTGATCCTGGAAAGGGGGCCGACTCTAAATGAGGGTCTGATCCACACGTAGATACCTACTACCCTCCCATCAATCCTGCGATCACTTTGGTGATCCGGAATGTGCTTACTTGTATGCTGCCGAATCCCGCGTCAGGGCCATGACGTACGATGCAGAGCAAGACAGCGGCAGCGGCTGGAGTCATGCGGTGTTCGTGTCCCCGTCACAAGACTCGGTATCACACAGTAAATCGCTTTTCCTAGCCAATGCTTACAGGTAGGTATCTCACCTACTACAGAAGGGTTTTGTGTCTTAAAAGCTAAATCGGGACGAAGCCTTTTGACGAGACGGGACATGTAGGTGCGTGTTCACGACAATACACGGTCAGTAGCCGTCAACATTTCGATCATTTCATTGACCAAGGTAATGGTTTATCCCTTGAACGCTAGCTGATATTCTCCACTCATACAAGGAGCGCATCTTCTGTGTCCAAGGGCCAGCCTCAGTCTCAAACCCGCAGACGCTTCCCACCAAGCAGGCCGACAAAGGCAAGTACCCTGTAGATAGTGCCAATGGCGAAGAGGATGAGCATGTTTCGCCAGAGCCAGTGCAGGTGGTAGCCGGTCGCCTCCGCAGCCATATCGACCTGGTAAAGGTACCGGAACGGCTCCGTCATCTGTCCGAAGTATACCTCGGCGAGCCACGTACCCGGAGATGCTCTCCACAGCCATTCCATGTGCCAATCCTTGACCTTCGATAGCGGTGGAGCGGCACCGGAAAGGATTCCGACAATCAAGCTGATCATGGTGGCAAGGAGGGGCGCGTCTTCTCGGCGGACGACCATGGAAATGCAGCTCGCCAATCCGTAGATACAGTAGAAGTATATCAAGTTCGCGAAAAATGCTATGCCCCAGTTTATGATCGGGACCGCAAGCAAGAGTATGACGGTAGTAAAGTGAAAACACCCCAAAATCATGCGGGGGAGCACCGAGAGGTTCTTGGCAATGAAGTAAGAGAACCGCGAGTGGCCTGCTTCGGCCTCGCGGCGATACAGCAGCATCTCCTCCGAGAAGACCTTGACGCCCGGTGCGCCAGAGACTAGGCCGATGGCAATAGCAGTCAAGAGCGCCATTTCCGGTACCGATTTGAAGTCCGTGGCAATCGACAGGACCTCGTACGGTTCGTTGTATATGCCAGTGAACAATACTCCCTGCTTCCCGTTCTCGGCCAGGCCCAGCAGAACACCTGCCAGCGAAGCTAGTCCCAGCTCAAAAAACAGCGTGGACTTTGTACGCCATTGTTGGAGCAGCGCACGCTGTAGACAAAGCCCAAGCTGTCTCATCCGGGGCGCACCGCGTGTTCTCAGCAGCGCCCGCTGTTGCGTGGTGGTTTCGATGATGGAATTGCGGTCGGGTCTGATTTCGGAGCGACGTTTGAGATTGGCACTCTCGCGAGAAGAGGCCCAGCGAGATATCAATGCGTCTTTGGAGATGCTGCCAGAGCTCTTGTAGGCTCGTCCATTTCCCGTGATGATATCCGTGACGACGTCACCAGCATTGCTGTGCTCTGGGAAAAGGTAGCCGAAGTCTTCGAAGTACTGCTGCACACCCCTTTCGGTCCCCTCGTAGATGATCTGGCCGTTACCCAGAAGGATCAGGTCGTCGAGCATCTCGAAAATTTCCATTCGAGGTTGATGGATGATGACGATGACAGATATGCCGAGGCGCGCAATTGCTTTCAGCGTGAGCATTATAGAGGACGCCGCTGTAGCGTCCAACCCGCTGGTGGGTTCATCCAGGAATATGGCCATGGGAGCCGCCGCAAGTTCCATGCCAATGCTGACCCGCTTCCTCTGACCACCAGAGATGACTGGCTTTCCGACGCTGCCAACCATGGAATCGCGCACGTGTGAGAGCTCCAAGCAGTCAACCACTGAATTGACATGGGCTTGTATGTCTTTGTCCTTCCAAGTCCGCGGCAACCTGATCCGTGCCGAGTGCAGGATGTTTTCGTAGACGGTGAGTTCGGGTAGGACAATATCGTCCTGCGGAACGTAGCCGATAAGCTTCTTGTATCGCTTGATTTTGCCAGGAATATTGTTGATGGCTAGATCATGTATGGTCAGCCATAGCTTGGCCATGAAGGCATGTAAAGGAGTGCCGGAGGGTATTTTGGTCGAGTCCTCAGGCAAAATGATATCCAAGACCGACCACCGGGTCTGAACAGACCGGAGACACGAAAAGGAAGCACGAGGGATTAGATGTCACTTACTCACTGAGCCACCAGTATTGGTGGTTTTACCCATCAAAACATTCACGAAGGTGCTCTTGCCCGCTCCAGAGCCACCCATCACGGCAGTGAGGGACCCGCGCTCAATGGACCCTGTGACATTCTGCAGAATGGGTTTCACAGCACCTTTCGGATGGAAGCTCAGATCGGTGTAAGTAAAGCTTAGACCGAACTGTGTGGCATCCGTCGCCTTTCGCATGGACTCAACGAAGACTCGAAGTTCGGGCGAAAGCCCGCTGTCGAAGTCACCCGTGCGTGAGCCAGGGGTTGGCACATCGAGCGCAGCCTGAAAGCCGGTCCAGGTTTCTGAACGGGGCATCGTAGGCTGCATCGGCAGCATCTCGTTCTCGGCTTCATCCGAGAGTTCCTTGTAGCCGGTCATTTTGACTGTGAGGGCTCTCATACCCTTGGATTTGCCTTCTGCATGCGACTTGCAGGTGTTCCTGAACCTCTTGTTGACCGTGTACCAGAGCAATACGAAAGCGAGGATGCAATCGACTACAAGCAGCACGGCAAGGGGTACGAGATAACGTTGGGATGTCGACTTTTTGGGGCAATAGCTTCCAACAGCACATGGTGTTGGCGTCGATGCGCCTGGTTGGCAGTACGTGCCAGCCGGGCAAAGGAAGGTGTCGCGGCCACCGGATTCGGTTGGACAATACCATCCTTTTTGGCAGACGACGGGTTCGAATGGACCCATGCCGATGTTGTTGCCTTGGAACGAGCACACTTTACCTGCTAGTCGCCTCTCCTGGCATTCTGCGACCGGCGGGCAATACTGCGGCAGAGAGTTCGTTGTCGAGTTCGCACCTGTAGCAAATTAGTACGGGAACACTTGGATCTCCAAGACAGAGACTGACATAAGAAACCTTCACTGCAGCCGTCGGACTGCCAGGAGGTCAAGTTCTGGATTTCTATTGGGACGGCTTCGGGCCTCCAACAAGGTGCGGCGGCGATGGGTGATTCTCCCGCAGCATTCTGTGCAAAGGCCTCATAGAAGGAGGTCGAGAAGAAGGTTCGATTCAGACCAGTGCAAGCCTGATCATAGGGACTCAGTGCGTTGGTGTCAGCGTCGACCAGTGCCTTCGCACCCGAATCCCATGTCAAGGCTTTGCTGGTATCAGGGCCGTTCGAAGCGTCATAGATTGGCAAAGCGACAACGCTTCCGCCGTGAAGGCTTTTAAACCATTTCCCAGTAGTCACCTTGTAGACGCCCTGTGTTTGGTTTCCGATACATTGCCACGCGGCCTGGTCGTCCCTCTTGGTCTTCTTGCCGTTAGTGCTTGTGTTGTCAGTGTCGTCAGCATCATTGGTGCTCTCCGATTTCGTGGTCTCATCCGTGTTGTTGGTGTTGTCTGAGTCGCCAGTGCTGTTGATGTTGTCGGCGCTCTCCCCGGTGGCCGTCTCTGGTAGGCGAAGAGAGCAGAGACAAGCTCCATCATCAAGGAAACTCGGCCCGTACTTGTCCTCCTCCGGGAAGTAGGGGTCTTGGGGTAGACTCTTCAAGGCATATTGATAAGCGCCTTGGTTGACCATTGTATCTCCTTCGACAGCCCCGGTCTAACCGACGCAATGTGAATACTAGATGGCTGCGCGTAACCGAAAACCGAACGACGATGAGGAGAAGAGTATGGACTCGGCCTCTCAGAGATAGGAGCGGCCATGCTGACACTTTTAATGATATGGACGCACATCGCCAGACGGGCCCCTGCCAGGTTGCACGGTTGGTTATCCGCAGAATGTGGCAGGGAAATTGACGATGCGCCGATGCGGTGAGTAGTGGGCACGGCACGGCGCGGCTGTGAGGGTCGTAGGATTCTCCTGGAAGCTCAGCCCTGATACATTAATACTGCAGCCTGGAAGCTAACCACAAGAGCCCCGGTACGATATCTCAACGAACCAGTAAATAGCTTGGGCAGCGTCGATCCGGTGCGCTCAGCAACTGCCACCAACATGAAAGTGGTCTGAGTCTGGCACTTCTGGGATGCCATCATACGGCACAGCAGGCGCACTGGTGTCTTGTGATGTAAGATGCCTACCAACAGTGCAGGGCTGTAAGCCCTAGGCAAAACCGGGGACGATACCCAGCTGCTGTAATTACTAATAAGGTAATGTTGCCTTGTACAGTATGATCAAGCGACCCGTTTCACTCGGTCAAAGCTTCTGCGAATTTCCCGTCACAAATGACTTCATGGCAGCCTAATAGCGACGACAAGGTCGCATGAGGCAGCAGGAATGAAGCACAGCACGAGGACCTGGTTCGCTAACCAGGTTGTCGTCTAGGACCTCTGTCGCCTCCCCGGTCCCGGTCCCGGCCCCCGGGCAGCCGGGCAGTGGTTGATGCCAATGGACAGGGTAGGTGCTTCAGCTCGGCGGAGCTACCTATTCTTAGGTGTCAGGATGGAGCCAGCAGCGGTCAAGAATGGCAGGACTTTGTCCGGGTAGGTGATGATAATAAAGAAAGTGAAAGCTTATCATGACAAGTGAGTGAAGCGAGCCTCGGCGAGGTCCAGATCTGAAATCAAGGAGTCTGAAGAGAGTACCTTGTTTGAAGAGGTGATCGGGGTTTCAAGAAGGACACTCCTCTCTCGCCGTCAACGTGGACAACATACGGCATCTGGAAGTACGAGATATGCGATTCATCTTGAGGTCATTTGTCAAGTGCAAAACTCAAAGAGTTCATTGTTGGGCAACCGAGATCGGTTGACGATGGCATTATGTGTAGAAGAATCCAAGCACGCGTTATATGAATATGCGAAGCAAAGGATATGTATTGTTGCGATATTCTAGTACACCTAGATCAGTCGTGCCCCGCGATGCACCCCTCCAACAAAGCTGAAATTATGGAATGACCCCGCGATTGAGTCACAGAATTTAGAAGAAACCAGCAACACTGTTGTTGGTGATCGAGTCATCCCGCCGGCAACACTTCTACACACAGAGCCGCCAACTGCCAAATCTGCATTCCGACTCACAATGGCAGACGCGCCGCCTACCGAGCAGGTTGCGAACCTGCACCTCGACGAGGTCACTGGCGAAAAGGTCTCCAAGTCTGAGCTGAAGAAGAGACAGAAGCAGCGTGAGCGGGATGCTAAGAAGCAGGAGAAGGTTGCCGCCGCACCTCCCAAGGCAGCCAAGAAGACCAGTGCCGAGGACGAAGAGAAGGAATTGACGCCCAATGTAATTCACATGGCCCCGTCCGAGCCTGCAACTCACTAACACATGCAGCAATACTTCGAAATCCGGTCTCGCGCAATCGCCAAGCTCATCGAGTCCAAGGACCCCTACCCGTACCCTCACAAGTTCAAGCGCGACTACGACCTCAACGACTTTGTCAAGCAGTACGGCCACCTTGAGTCTGGCGAGCACGACAAGACGAAGGAGCTTCGCATAGCAGGAAGAATCTACAACAAACGCTCCGCCGGCAGCAAGCTTCTCTTCTACGACATCCGCGGCAACAATGGTGTCAAGGTCCAGGTTATGTGCCAGGCCCAGGAGGTCCGCGAGGGAGCGCCAGCTTTCGAGAAGCAGCACGACCACATTCGACGCGGTGATATCATTGGAATTGTCGGCTACCCGGGCCGAACAGCCCCAAAGAACAAGATCGAGAAGGGCGGAGAGGGCGAACTCTCTGTCTTTGCCACTGAAGTCATTCTCTTGTCGCCATGTCTGCACCAGCTGCCTGACGAGTACTACGGGTTCAAGGATCAGGAGCAGCGGTACCGCAAGCGCTGGCTCGATCTGATCATGAATCCCAAGACAGCCGAGACCTACCGCACCAGGACCAAGATTATCAAGTACATCCGTGACTACCTGGACAATGCTGGATTTGACGAAGTCGAGACCCCTATTCTCAACATGATTGCTGGCGGCGCAACTGCCAAGCCTTTCGAATCGCACCTGAACGACTACAACATGGACGTCTTTTTGCGGATAGCTCCCGAGCTTCCCCTCAAGATGCTTATCGTTGGCGAGTATGACAAGGTGTACGAGATTGGGCGCTTGTTCAGAAACGAGGGTGCTGATTTGAGTGAGTGAAGCTTCGAGGCACCTGCGATGAGCGAACTAGGCTGACGTCTTACCAGCTCACAACCCCGAATTCACCACCTGCGAGTTCTACGAAGCATATGCCGACTTCAACGACCTCATGCACCGGACTGAAGAGCTCGTCTCTGGCCTTGTGAAGCATCTTACTGGCAGCTACGTCACAGAATTCACCACTCAGCATGGCGAGAAATATAGCGTGAACTGGGAGGCACCGTGGCGAAGAGTCGAGATGATACCCGCCCTTGAGGAGGCAACTGGGGAAAAGTGTGAGTAAAGCTCTGTTTCAGGATGATATAACAGGCCACGGCCTGACGGCTTCGCCCCAGAGCTCTCTCAGTAGTAGGCTGTTTCGCTGTCGAAGGCGGCCTGAAGAGTGTAAAAAGGAGGTAAACTAACCACGCGAGCCTCGCAGTCCCCCCTACCGATGAGCTACATACCGATGAGACACGCGAGTTCCTCAAGGGAGTGCTCAAGAAGGTCAAGGTCGTCTGCCCCGAGCCCCAGACTACCGCCCGAATGCTCGACAGATTGACGGGCGAGTTCATTGAGGAGACTGCCGTCAACCCGACCTTCATTACTGAACACCCCAAGATTATGTCACCATTGGCGAAGGATCACCGCAGCAAATGTAAGCCGTTCACCCACATGGGGCCCGCCTGATAATGACTAACTGAGTTCGCAGCCGGTCTGACCGAGAGATTCGAGGCTTTTGTGTGCAAGAAGGAGATTGCAAACGCCTACACTGAGTTGAACCAGCCCTTTGAGCAAAGATTGGTACGTATTCAGAACACTAAAACACATTTTGTGATACACCTTTTCCCTATATGAGACTCGTCGGTCCCTCTCCAAAGCGGTCGCCGCAAGTGCAGCGCAGCATGAGAGCACAGTGTCAGCTACCTGGGACGTTCTGGGGCTCGTGATGCAGGACACCACACAGTCCTATATGAAATACAATTTTTTTGGAAATGATTTGGTTGTGTCCTCGCTAACACATTTGCCGGTAGCGATTCGAAGAACAAGCCCGTCAGAAGGACCAGGGAGATGACGAGGCGCAGATGATTGATGAAGCTTTCTTGAACGCCCTAGAATACGGCTTGCCCCCAACAGCTGGCTGGGGTTTGGGTATTGACCGTTTGGTCATGTTCCTGACCAACAACTATAGCATCAAGGAGGTGCTGCTTTTCCCCTTCATGAACCCGGAACAGAAGAAGGGAAAGCAGCCTGTCGATGCTCCTGAACAGCCACAGGTACCGATCGAGGAGATCCGTAAGCAACCCCCAAATCTTGACTCGGCTTCTGGTCCATGCTAATACTGAATATTAGCTCATAAATAAACCGACGTGAAGTAGCTGAAGTATACAATTGTAGACCTGCGTCTGTCTGTATGACCAATTACAAGATCGTGGAAGGAATTGAGAGTATTGTCAACATTTACGTATGGTACATGGCTTCTTGTGAACCCAGCTTAGTAGTACAGTTGCAATCCACCACGCCTCAATGCTTTGCAGCCGATGCCAGTCTCTTCTGGATCATAGCTATGGTGGGCTTCGGCACACGTAGTCGATGGCCGAGCACAAGAACTCCTGTCATCAAAGCGAGGCTACCAGCTTGATGTGCCGCCGCCAATGGGACCGGGACCATGTATATAAGCGTGCTGATTCCCAAGGCGACCTGCAGAGAAACCAAGTGCACAACCCCCAGCATTCCCTTCTGAGCCTCCTTCGGCAACACAGCCGCGACCCGTCCCCTCCTCGCGTAGGCGAACAAGGCCAGCACGGCGCAGAAGGTCGTGGTGGCGAGGATGCGGTGGTCCAGCTGCACTAGGCTCGGGTTCTCCAACATGTTCCGCCACCAGAGGTCGGCGCCGTCTTCGCGGCGCGAGTAGAACCTGTCCCACAGCTCGCCCGACGGCGGCACGAGCCCGAGCCCCATCTTGGGGAACTCGTTGTAGATGAGGCCGGCGTCGAGGCCGGCCACCAGCGCGCCCGACACGACGGTGGTGAAGACGAGGGCCGTGAGCGCGGCCACGGACCGGCGGAAGGGCCGCACGGCGGGGCTGCGCAGCGTCTCGACGAGGCGCATGGCGGCGGCCGGGTCGGTGGTTAGTAGTAAGCGCCGCGCGCGCAGCACGCCGAGGCCCGCGAGCAGCATCCACGAGTAGCACACGAAGGCGGTGGACAGGTGGGCGGCGAGCCGGTACTGGCTCACGCGGGGGTGCGACCCGGGCGCGAACAGGTCGTCCTTCAGCCCGGACTTGACCATCCACCAGCCGATTATGCCCTGGAACCCGATCAGGGCCGAGATGCCGCCGAGGTGCGCGGCCATGCGGACCGAGGTGCGGCGGCGCGCCACGAAGTAGATGGCGGGCAGCACGAAGGACAGGCCGATGACGCGGCCCCACAGCCGGTGCGTCCACTCCATGTAGTAGATCTTCTTGAACTCGGCGAGGTCCATGTGCGAGTTTAGTTGCTTGAACTCGGGCGAGGCGCGGTACTTGGCGAATTCGGCTTCCCAGTGGTCTTGGGTCAGGGGCGGCAGCGAGCCGGTTACGGGTTTCCATTCTGTGATGCTGAGTCTGTACGTGCGAGATGTGTTAGTCAGCTGGACGGTGTGTGTGACGGCTAATAGAACGGGGTATAAGGGGGGCAAGCAAGAGAAGCTCTTACCCTGATTCCGTCAACCGTGTAAGTCCGCCGAACACCACGATGCCGAAGACGCTGGCCGCACTGCCGATGAGCCAGTACGCCACAGACTTGGAGCTCGTCTCGGGAAAGGCCCGCTTCGCTGCTTGCGCCGGGGCGCTGCTCGCAGCCATGTTCGCCGCTGCGGCGGCGGCATTACTGCTGTAGAAAGCGACGGGCGGGCGACCACCTCGTGGCGCGGTGCTGGCGTACCGTCTCGACTGTCGGAGGGAGTTGAGGACTTGCGACGGAGCTGCCCGCGGTCGCTTGTGGAGGCATTGGCGGCAGACGAACGGTGCAGTCGGCAGCTTGAGAGCCGCCCTGCGTATGCCCGGGAGTAGGAGCGACATCTTGGGGTCTGCTGAGAGGGATTGCCTCGCAAAACGAGGAGGGACGAGTGCTCGGAGGATATGGGACTTTTGTCGCGATCATACGATTTGGGCCGGGGAGCGACGGAGCTTTCGCCACACTTGGCTGGGCCACAGATAGATCACCAGCCACAATCACTAATGAACGTCTGGTCGAGTGGCTCTCACTTTCTTCTTCGTGGAAAGGCTTCAAATGCTGATCGATCACTTTTTCCGGGCTTTCAAGCTTTCATTCCTTATCGGACATTGTAAAGTTGTAAGCCCAGTCCACAGTTCTACTTTCACCCATTTCGATTGACATCGAATGATGTGTTGTCAGGAACACTCGCAGTCACCGTTTCCCCTTCCTTCTTTCTCCATAGCAGGATGTCCTTCAGGCTCCGTCGCTTCTTGTCCTTCTTCTGCTCGTACAAGGGTTTGTGCTCTTCATTAATGTTGTGGTCGTCGTCGTAGTCGACATGGACGAAGGCTCGCTCGACGTCGCTCAAGCCTATGCCGTGTCGGTGAGCTTGCTCATCTAACCGGGTCCGAAGTTACACGTACCTTCGAGCTTCCTCTGCAAAGTCTGGCTCACATCGTGAGAGATCTTCAATGGGACATCCGGGTCCATAACAATATCCACCTCGACATAGTACTTCTGACCAGCGTGGTACGCTCGGCACTGTGTGCTGTTAGAAACGCGATTGCGGTCGCTGTGTGTCCATTACTGGCTTACCGTGTCGACTTTGACGATTCGAGAATCATGGGTCATGGACATGTAGATGAGCTTGGAGATGAATTCTTGCGGCGCTCCTTTCCCGACCAGAAGCCATACTTGCTCAAACGCATTGGCCACCCACGAGAAGAGGATGAGGAGGGCGATCAAGATGGCACCGACGGGATCCAGATACCAAACGAATCGGTCTCCCACAACCGACATGATCAGACCAAATACGTTGACAACCACGTCATTGCGGTGATCGATCTAGGGCTGGTCAGACTCGGTTCTTCTTACTAGGGCAAGACCACTTACGAAGAAGACGTGGACTGATGGGTACTTTCGGTATGCAAGGCAGTACAGCATCAAACTACCCTTGGCGAAGACTGTAGATTGGTCAGCAACCTCGAACACTTGGCCGTGCAAACCACATGTTCTTACTTGCTACGCCGACAATGACGATGGGGACGATCTGGAGCTGTTTGGACTCGGTTGGACCGCCTGCAATGCTTCGCCCAGACTCGATCTAGCAGCCCAGAGTTAGAGATGGTTGCACATGAGCGGCTCTGCTACGACATGAGCGCTATTACTCACGAGTAGTTGGATGGCGACGGTAGTCATCAATGCGCAGAACAGGATGATGCCTATGGTCTCGATCCTCTTACGCCCCTATACTGCCTTTGAGCACCTGGCTCCATCATCACCACGACGGAGGCAGACATCACCTACCACTGGATACTTATATATGCTGGCTCTCGCAGCTATACGAGAGGTTATCAGCATTACGAAAGACGAGACGAGATCCATCTGTCTCCATGGTTAACCGGCAGCACTTCACCAGGGCGGCGGTGTTACGAACAAAGGCATCCGCAGCGGTCGCGAACAGCTATATACGCGTCAACATAGTCCATGTGACAGAGGTATCGCACCCAAGAGTCATTTACCGACAACGAACCAGTCGAGACGGCAGCGTAGATCTGGATCACGAAGAGGCAGAAGTTCACAGTGAAGGACGCGTTGACGGCGAACTTGATCTTCGGCGCCACGCGGACGTCCTCCTCCACCTGGAGGCGCTCCTCGTCGTCGGCACCCAGGAATCGGTCGATGAGTTCGTTCTGCCGGGTGTAGAACTTCTTCAGCTTCTTCTTGTCTCCCTTAGGGTGTTGGATCTTCATCTGGCGTCGTGTGACATTGTCACGGCGATGGCGGCCAAAGTTCAGCGGATCTGCTGGATCCGTCTCGGCACCACTGGATGCGGCGGCGGTAGATTGTACGATCAGGTTTGGCTCTGTTTGCGAAGGGGTCGAGGGCTCGCCGGCTGTGGTAGTCCCTGCTTGCGGTGGTACCGACGAGATGTCTCCCTTCTTGGCCTCGCTGGCTGTGGTAGTCCCCCCTTGCGGTGGTGTGTCAGGTGCAACGATATCCTCGGTGGCAGTGATGGGTATGCCATCCTGGGCAGCGTTCTCTTCACCGACGGTCAGTCATCTCATAGTAGAGTGATTATACCATCGTGTTGGCATGGGATGAAAGACTCAAAACACTTCCGTCCTCGGATGTCAATGTTTCCTCGAGTACAGTCGCGGAATCAATAAACAAAGCAACGTACCTGCTGGCTGAGCGTTGTTTTGCGCTTCCGGATTGGCCATGATGGAGTTTATTATGCTGTGGGAAAGGGTAAAAGACAAAAAATGTTTCTGGATGAGAAGACGAGGGTCGATCTCAGTCCAGAAGACTCGATATTTTATCCAGGTCTTGACCGGGCTGAGGGAACCGGCCATGGTCTCCCACTACGACGCAACGGGGCGGCCCATTGATGCAATGACGGCATTAAGCTTCCGTTACTGAATCTGGTGAGAGATCTATTGCCACGCATCCTCTAGAAAACCTAACTCCCCAGTCTGCATGCCCCTGGTGAGGACCTGGGGCTAGTCATGCCGGGGTCGTGAACCAGCTCGAGTAAACAAAAAGCAGCAAAGAGCATAAGATGGGTGCTTGTGTGCTACGGGCCACTATAGAGGCTCGGGAGGTGACAGGTGAATTTCCCCAGAGTATCGATTCCGCCGCTCAGACCGCCTCACCTCGGCCGCCAAGCTGGTGTTGCTTGTATGGGTTCAACAATTCCGATTGGCCCAAGGCTATCTTCGATGCGGCCGGACACCGGATTGCCGCGACCATCACGTTGCATGCTACCGCAGTGCGACGGCACTCGAGGTCTTGGTATAGCACGGCGGGCCAAACAGAGGACTGCATACTCCCCGCCGTACCCCGGACCCGACCAAGCCAAGCCTACATCGTTTCGGCCAAACGCCCATGTTCCACGTTCATCGTCAAAGCACAAGCGGCCTGTTTCCGCTATCATCAACCACATCATATGTTCCTTTGCCTGCCCGGCCTGCTACCAAGTGCCAAGGAGCCTCACGTTTACCGTGCCCTCCCGGGCTTTGATTTCCCAACGAGCAATGACGGTGGCTAGGGTGGCCAGGGCAAGTGCTCCGGCTCGCTAGGACCACTACCTCTGTCATCACCCATAAACCGTTAACGGGGAGCTATGGGATGAGATGGCTCTCCCGCAAGCTTACTCATAGAGCTTCCAAGACAGGCAGGCCTGTTTCACGCCTCCTGTTACCGTTGGGCAGTGGCTGTTTGGCCTCATCCTCAGCCCCGGGGCGCCTCCCAGTGATGCAGATGCGCCGAGGCGAGATCTACTTGGCTTCCATAACAAGCAACAGAGGTGGTATTGTCGGATCAGCTCAGGTGAGGCTCATGCCAAGCTCCCACAAGCTTCATCAGCATGATACTCGACATCGTGCTACACCCTCCGGTACGAACTGCTGCTACTGGTGATGGCTTTCTACCATCCAGCTCCAGACGTGAAACGACATGATGGCGATGAATATGTCGACCTGTGGTCCGCTACAGACTGACCAAGACAATGTCCGTATCCGATCAAGCTTCGAGTTGCCCTGTGTTTGGTGGCACCAGCCATACCCAGGCGAGGAGCACAGCTTGGGACGTTCTAGTCTGAGGATGCTGGCACTGTCCTGTGCTCGGAAACGATCATCACGGGTCTCCATCTCAAGGCCTCTGCGATCGTCAGGCAAGTCCTGCCGCATAGCAATGCGTATTAAAGCAGAAGGGCGCCGGATCTTCCAAAAAAAACCGAGACCAGCTTCACTTTTATGCGCCCTGCCATGACAATCTTTTAGGGGGATTTCTTTCTCTTTTGTCTCTTACATTTCCTACCTTCTTACCTTCTATTCTCTTGGCGTAAGGATAGAAGCCTTTTCGTCTGTTCTTCGAATTCACCAGTCGCGGGACGACTTTTTTGCCTGTTTGTGGTGATTTATCGTCTTTAATAGATGAGATCAGCAGTCGCCGGACTCTCGGCTACAGCATCTCCCTTTCGCTTCTCACTCTTGGGATTTTACCAAACCAACTGAATACCTTATCAACATGGCGGAAAACATGGCAAAGCCTGTCTGCGGAAGCGACGGCGAGACCGCACAGTACGACCTTGCTCTCCACACAGTGGGACTTTGTGAGTACAAGAGATCCAGCAACCGACGGCAAGAAAATAGATATGCTGACCGTTCATCGCAGTTCTTGTCTTGGGCGCCTCATTGTTTGGTAAGACTGGAGACCTCATGGTGGTGATAACTCCATACTGACTTGGCTTTCAGGGGCTGGCTTTCCCGTGGCGGCGAAGAAGATCAGTTGGCTCAAAGTACCATCGAAGATATTCTTCGCTTGTAAGCACTTCGGTACTGGTGTGCTCATAGCAACGGCCTTCGTTCATGTAAGGTTACCGGTCAGAATTTGTCAAGAGTACCCCCAGACTTATCGAACTTCTAGCTTCTCCCAACTGCTTTCTTCAGTCTTTCGGATCCATGCCTTCCGGATCTCTTCACCGAGCAGTACCCACCCTTGCCCGGTGTCATCATGATGGGTTCTCTCTTCGCCCTATTCTTCATCGAGTTGTGGATGAACAACAAGATGGGCGGCCACTCGCACGGTGGTGCGAGGGGCTTCGAGGACGGGCACAATCACGGACCGGCGATGGGGACCATGGCCATGGCTGCCCCTCCTCAACGCCCAGTTCGGAACCCCGGCGCGACTTGCTACGAGACGGACGGTGAAGGGAGCTACGACGAGAAGACGGCGCAGGAGATTTACGAGGAGAACGCCCGGTTCCACCAGGAGAACCCCTTCACCGGAAGCGCGGAGTTGGATCTGCCACCGAGCGAGATGCCCCCGTGGTTCATCGTCTTCTACGAGAATTACGTCCGACAACGACTTCAGATGCTGAACATGATCAGAGCGAACGCGGCAGGACCTCCGATGCCGATCGACTCCAAGCAGCAGCAGCAGCATGAAGTCGTGGTCGGTGAAACAGCCATGTATGACGAGGAAGGCCAGCCCGTGGACCCCCTGGTGTACAAGAAGATGTCGATGAACATCACGCTCCTCGAGGGCGGTATCCTCTTCCACTCCGTCTTCGTCGGCATGACCGTCTCCATCACCATCGACGGCTTCGTCGTCCTCCTGGTCGCCATCCTGTTCCACCAGATGTTCGAAGGCCTGGGTCTGGGCTCCCGTATCGCGGCTGTGCCGTACCCCAAGGGAAGCCTCCGGCCCTGGCTCCTGGTCTTTGCCTTCGGGACCACCGCCCCGATCGGCCAGGCCATTGGACTGATCACGCGCAACACCTACGATCCCAACAGTGCGTTTGGTCTCATCATCGTCGGCGTGTTCAATGCCTTGTAAGTTCCACCCCAGCTCGTCAGAATAAAACGCCCGAACGTTCTCTGACAAGCCCCTTCCCAGTTCCTCGGGTCTTCTCATCTACGCCGCACTCGTCGACCTGCTGGCCGAAGATTTCCTGTCCGAGGAGTCCAACCGCGCGTTGAGCATGAAGGAGAAGAAGATCGCACTGGTCTATGTGCTCCTTGGAGGTACGTAACTGGCCACCACCGGGCGCATTTCACTAACTTGATCCAGCTATGGGCATGGCTATCGTCGGTGCATTCGCCTAGACGATTGGGTTGCATGCGGGCGATGTTGCTGCTTGCCAACTGCAGGCGCATTTCTGTGACCCTGGCCCCGGTTCAAGCAAGGAATTAATGGGCACTATTGTTACGAGACTGCAAACACCCGGCGTTGGTTGACCACGACGGTTTCGCATGGTCGACCGTTCCTCACAGATTATAAAAGCGATGCACAGGCAAGATGGCCACCAGGCATTTGAGCGGATACACTACGCAATTTGCGCGGGAATGTTTTGTCGATCACGCGACTCTGGCACGCACGCAAATAATTCACACACAGTCTTTACCGCGCCGTCCTTGAGCGCATACGTCAATCACCGGAGCGAGTTGGTTGTTGCCAATAGGGAATGACCCGAAGTGGTCCGAGGTGGCCGAGCCGATCTTTCTGCACGTTGGGATCGACCTGCACTGGCAACTTCCATATTTCTCCTGTCGGACTTGTCGGTAGAGCACTGGGGCACTCGGTGGGAGACTTGGAGGCTGGATCTCGCTTCAGGATGAGTCATGATGTCGGGAAAGCACCGCAGAAGTACGAATACAGTCACCAGTGATACAGCTGCAACTTTCCCTTTCCTTTCTAGATGGGCAGTGTAGCAATAAAGCGGGTCGAATGCATATTCCATGTATTATAGGCACGACAGATAAACCCAAAAAAAATTCGACATACTTACCCATCATTCTCCCGTTCTCGTGAGTCTGAACTGGTGTGCTGCATGTACGATGTTGGTTTGTGTTTATATCTTAACCCCCTGCAGCAGAAGACGTCCACGAGGATCTAAGACGTTCTAGGCTTCCAGAAGACGGTGTCTGTGACCTTCGCTGGATAATCAAGCGGGCTATGATATCACAAGTGTGTTTGTTATTCACGCCCAGGGCCTTCTGCGGCGACATGCTACAGTACCAAGCTTTCGAGCACACTGTCTAATTCACCATTGATCTTCGGTTGCCATTGAAAGAACATAATCGGGGGCTCTGAACCCAACTGAATAGACGTACAAACACACGAAGCAGATGACTAGGTACCCAGAAAGTATTCCATTCCGAGACCCCCTTATATATATACACCTGCGTTACCCTCGCAACTGCAAAAGCTCCTTATCGCCGTGACACGAGTCCCGACAAAGAGGAATGAATACGTGGGCGTGGCGACTATAGTCTATATATAGGTGTCCAGGATGGTAATGGTTAGCGGTTCCACCTACTAGGAACAAGTTACCATGGCATAAAGTTCTGTAAAGTTCTATACAGTGGACCCTTGCAGATAATCATAAATCAGAACTTTGAGTGTTAGAAGTACGGACTTGGAACCGCTGACGGGCATTAGCTTCCTGGACACTCACAAGCCGCCAGCATTAGAGGTAGAGATATCGACCCCCAGCATATAGAGGCACTACGAAATACAAACTGGATAGTATATTTCATTCGTCCTTCACCTAGTGACCCCGGTGGCAATGGTGACACACCTGAAATCGACTGTCAAGCTTTTGGAGCCTAACCAGCTAGATGAGCCAAAAGCCAAGTTACGTTACCAGCTACTAGGATACTCACGGACCAAGTGAACCTTCTTCGGCTTGCCTTCAGAGGGCTCCGCCACGCCACGCGAATCCTCTAGTAGCGCTGATAGGAATCGAACCTAAGTCGACTTTTGGCCCAAATCAGTCATGGCATCTAAGCTGATATCGTGGCGAAACCCCCCTGAGGGCCGCCCAGGTTGGCTACATGGAATACGAAAATAGCCTGATGTACTGCACCTGATTCCTAGCCGAATGCCGCTCAAGTGGATAGCTAGTCCACATAAACTATCCCCCCTGTATAAATGTGCACCGGTACTGGTACTGGCACAGACCTGATGAAGGTATTGATTTTTGAAGGAAATGGTATAAACCTCCTCTTGAAGTGACGTCTGGCGCTTGTTTAAAGGCCTGTGATTGACTTCTTCCTGTCATTGACTTCCTCCTGTCATTGACTTCTTCAAAAAATCGGGGGGGGGGGGGGTAGCGTGGATTGATGTGCAAAGGGTCGCCTCTCGTTCTTCCACCGCACAGTACGATGATATGTGCTCCATGAGTGACATCACCAGTGCTTGAGAAGCCATCACCGAATATAAATAGAGGGCATGGTCGAGGTGAATAGGGTCAACTTCATTCCATCATCAATCCCTCAGAAATCCAAGCAACTACTACTACTACTACTACTACTACTACTACTACTACTACTACTACTACTACTACTACTACTACTACTACTACTTATTACTACCAACCAAACACATCTCAGCACCAACTACCACACATCCACAAGACAAACAAACAGATTCAGCACAGTCTAAGATGAAGACGTTTTTCGCAAACCTTGTCACTCTGGCTGTCGCAGCTCTGTCGGTTACCGCTCGACAAACTGGAGAACAGGGCTCAGCCGCTGCCCCAGCTGTCAAGGTAGCATCCCTATTTGTTATGTTGAGCAACAGTTACTGACAACATCTCCCCAGAGAGAATCACTGTCTGAGGTCATCGACGACATGCACCCCAAAACGGACAGCTACTTCGCGCCCGAGATCAAGCACGGTCAGCTCCAGGACAAACTCTTTATGTTCGGTGCGGATGGGTCTAAGGAAGACGGCAAGCACCTTGACCATGATGCTTTCGCGCAACTGAAAGCACTGCTGCAACCCAACCAGGAGCGTGCGGTCCGCTTCAGCCCCGCTCACAACGGGGACCTCTTCAAGAGAACCTGCACCGACAGGACTATTTGCGAGGACCCTGATGAGTGCGCGGATGGCTGTAACACTTGCCGCATCCGTACCACGAGTCACACCGTTGACGGAAAAGAAGTCCTCATTAGGCTTGGAGAGTGTCTGGCGTGAAGGTAGTCTCCATCGGATTGTTGTCGGGTGAGAAGACTTTGGATTTGGAGAAACACAGGGGTTCTTGGGCGCGTTTGGGTAGGTTGGAGGATATTCCCCGGTTGGGAGACCTCACACGTCTCTCTTTGATGTACTATTAGACAAAACTACGACAGTCCTTACCTCTCTATTGGCCAATAGATATTTGCCTAGGCCAATCTCGTCATCTGTTAACTGGCAATGTCCTCTCTGTGATGAACTCCCCCGGCTTGATTCCTTAGTATTGCGTCCCCAGCAACCACTCATGGAGACGACTGTGGTGCTTATGCATTTGTGGTTCGCTGTGTCCCTGGTTGAAGCAGTCAGCCGGTGCTATTCTCGACCCGTCCCATTGGTTGATCGATGGATCTATAGATGATTCGATGCTCCATAACGGCGGGAGCCCCCAAGTGGGACAGTTTTTACACCCAACATCACAATGTTCACTTATACATATCTCCACGAGGAATGAAGCTGTAAATACTGTCCCTATTGCCTTTGAATCATTTTTTCTTAATGTCTTCTTGGCGATTGAGTAATTAATTATTGATTTTTTTCTTAAGCGTTTGGCGGTGCTTTGAAGTTTGACCATGCCTTGCTCTCACCAAAAGGTCGGGAAAACCAGACCCACGGCAGCCCGGAACGTTAAATTTAGTAAGGGTAAAACTTCATGCTATTATAACTCTTGTTATAGCCATAACTTACTATGAGCACCCATACTTTACAAGTTTAAAAAAAAGAGACAAATATTCTCGCTCAAATAACTACGTCGTACCATTATTATCGGTCGAGTTATGAGGGTCGCAATAGTGACATTTTGGTGGGAAAACTGTCCCATTGGGGGGGCTGTCCCACTTGGGGGCTCCCGCCGTTAGTTACCTCCTACGAGTGCACCTCCGCACCACCCCCACCTGCGCACACCCAGCCATACATAAGCTTGAGGCTTGAGTTATCCGTGTGCTCGCCGAAGCAATCGGAGAACAGCCGACAGCACAAGCACTCAACTTCCAGATCACCTACCCGAGATCGAGGCGCTCTACCATGGCGGCTTCTCTCCAAGCTAGCAGTCCTGTTGACGCAGTGTCAGAGGTCGACAACCAGTTCAAAGGCCCGGTCGTCACGTCTCGCCTAGAACATGGGCAGATGCAAGAGTATCTCGAATCGCTACGATCCCTGGTCCAGGTCTGCGTGAACCCGGATCCTCCAACATCATCACTCGGCTTCTTGGCACCTGTGTCGGACGACGAGGCAGACTCGTACTGGCACTCCATATCGCAGAAACTAGCCGAACAACCGCCAACGCTGCACCTGTTCGTGGTGGCGACCGACTCCACGCCCACAGTCGTCCTCGCCACCGCTCAGCTCCACACTATCCCCAAGGTGACGCACCAGCACCGCGCCAAGATCGCGAAGGTGCTGGTCCATCCGTCGGCTCGTCGGAAGGGAATCGCCAAGGCTCTCATGCGGCACGTGGAGGTGTTCGCGAGGGACGAGCTGAAGAGGGAAATCCTCATGCTTGATACGGCTACTGAGACGCCGGCTCGGGAGTTCTACAAGAGCATTGGATGGGCGGAGTGGGGGACTTGTCCGGAGTATGGCCAATTTGCTGATGGGAGGAGGGCTGATGTGACCTTTTTTGTCAAAAAGCTACGGGGACTAGATGGTCGTCATCACAACTTCAACAAGAAAGGAGTCCGGCCGCAAGCCTAGCAAGGACGAAGATTCTTCCGAGGCTCGAGCTTCCGCAAGCAGATTCGCAAGCTTTTCCGTGATAACATGAGATTCATAGAGGAGCCGGTTTTACGTCGAAAGGTCTAACGAAAGGTCTAATATGTTCCAGGTATAATCGTGGTATGTCTAAGCTCAACGGTCCTCGGCATAACGATGCAAGAAAATGATGACATCAAGCGGTTGAGACGATTCAATACTATATTACTCCAGGGCGACTCACTGTATCAACTAACGGACCGTTCGCTATTACCCTCTAATGGCTTTGCCGACTACTTGCCCTGACTACTCTAGATTCTACCGTACCAAGCTTCTCCTACCTACACCGGTATGCCTGTAAACCGGCAAGCGATGGCCCGTGACTCCAATCAAGTTACCTTCCTTCTCTTGCGAGTCGAGACGGTTTCACTCTTGTTCGCGGTGTCCGTCTCCTTGGCCCGAACTCTCTTCGTCGACCTGGCACTGCTAGCCGGTTCGGACTCTGTCTTCGTATCACCCACGCCGTCTGGCGAACCTGTCCCTGTCCGCTCGAGTTCGTCCTTGCAGATGTCCTGCAGCCCAACGAGCTTGAGCAGGACGAGCTTCTCTTCGACGCCGCAGATATCGACTGCGAATGTGATGCCCGCAAATTGACCCACCTGGTCGGGAAGGATGTCTTCGGCTTCGATCAGATGCATTGGTGCTGGTGGCGCCAGTTTTCTCGGGGTGAGGGCGCCTTCGTCTAGTATCGTGTCGCGGAGTCCGCAGTAGCGACACTCGAGTGCCAATGCACCGGCGAAGGCGCAGTCTGTGTGCGTTGGCGTACGGACCTGTAAGTTATCGTCGGTCAGCGAGCTCGAAATGAAATACTGCGAGAGTAGCCAGACTGTCTTACCCCTTCACCCTCGTTCTTGGCGTTCAGATGGTCAGATGTCTCCCTCACGCGAGTGTAAAGCTGCTCCTTGTAATCTAGCCATGGAATGTGGAGGTCAAGACGCTCATGCAAGACCTTCAGGCCCTTATCTGCCTCCGCTGGATCTGGTTCTACTGACTTTTCCTCTTCGTCCTCTTGCGAAACACTTTGAGACTGAATCGTCTTGGTCTTTGTCTCGGCCTCTGGGTTCGCTCTCTTCTCTCTAGCACGTCTGGAAGGCTGCACCCTCGTTGGCGCCGCTGACCATTTACTTGGTTTCTTTGTCATTTGGGTCAGAATCCGGAGCTGGTCAGCCATAATTCTGAACTTCCTGTTCTCCTCGTCGTGGTATATGGAGCACTCCATCAGGAAATGATCTAGGCAGTATGCCTGGTACAGTGGTGGCGGCCATAGCCGTGCTGGAGACTCGTCGTTCTTCTCAAGGCTTTGACTGCCGGCGTCAACCTCGGCCTCAGTTGACAATGATAACTCATTGGTAATATCCGAGGCAGTGCCCTCACTTTTTGTAGCCTTGGATTGGGGCATGCCTCCCGTTCAAGATGCTAGTTCACTTAAGGTTGATAAAGAGGCTGCCGGCGAAAGGCTTACTTGGATTATCGTTAATTCTGCCCAGGGTTCGTCCGGTAACAATTGACCAACCATGACATACATTACTCTATTATATCTTTCTGGGATGTATTTATTCATAATTTGCTGTTTCCTTTGTGATTTTGGTTACGAGAGGCACGTCAGATTGTTACAAGTTGATTGCTTGAGAACAATGGAGCCTGCTTCCGGAAACCTCCTAGAAACTCCAAGTCATTACCAACAAAGAGACTAGAGTTCAAGGAGCAACCAGGGTCCGTCTCATTGACTGCCTACAATAATCTCGATCCTCCTACACGATATGTCGCTCCACTTCAGTGTGGCACATGTCAATGCCAGTGGTAAGTTAGTCCTCCCGCTGGCGTTCAGACGTACAGCGCAACCAGAATGATACGGTCGATGCAAACGCTTCGCAGTACACTGTGGGAGAGCCAAGAGGGCCAGCAGAGGGTGGCATTGGGGTAACTAACGGCATCGACTGGGCCGGTAACAAGATATCTATCGATGGTATTCCAAATCTGCCTCCATTCCCCGTGGGCTCTGCAGAATTTCATTGTCTCTGCCATGCGGCCGTCTGGCAGACCAAAGCAGGCAAGGTTTACACGTCACGAGCTGGATTCTTGTCAGGTGAAGCTCGTATGGTGCTACTACATACCGATTATGATATACTGAATAATCGGTTGAGTATATTTCATGGGGGGTTCGGTGCAATGTAACTTGCATATGAGTGATACCCACAACCGAAATGTCCAGTGAGCAGGTTTCCTGCACTGGCGATCCATCCACGCCATCCGAGGGTGGAGTGGCCGGATTCACGGCATTGAAGAGGAAGCAATACGTTGTGATGGAGCTATTTCACGCATGGGGATATGCACGGGACGTGGAGCATTGAAAGAAAGAGACAGCCACACGCCTCCGAGTCATGCAAGTCTTCTGATGCTAAGTAATCACCAGCCTATCTCATCGAGTACACTGTGCGCTGCGTCAATAACGTCTGTGTGATCTTCATCGCCGCCGTCCCAGTCGCCACCGTGTTCGGGGATCGCCGGCGTTGCGTGCTCGGTGATCTGCGGTGGTAGGGGGTCCAGGGGTAGGTTTACCATGTCGGGGTCTACCATGTCGAAGTTTACCATATCCAGGTTTACCATGTCGAGGTTTACCATGTCGTGGTCTACCATGTCGTGGTCTACCATGTCGAGGTTTACCATGTCTCCCAATTGGACATATTCACCATACGGCTCGGGGCCGTTCGCAAAGAATTCTTGCGGATCGGACATGGACTTGTATACGTCTGGCACAGCCGCTGCGTTAAGAAAGCCAGTGTCATCTTCACCGCTGCCGACCTGATCACCACCGTGTTCGTGGTTCGATGGCATCACGTCCTCGGTAATCTGCGGTGGTAGGGGGTCCAGGGGGAGCATCAGGTCAAGGCTTACCATGTCTTCTAATTGAACATGTTCACCATACGTCTTGGGGAGGTTCGCAAAGGATTCCTGCGGATAGGGCGTGGAATCGTATACGTCTGGTACTGCCGCTGCTGGTGCTGATGCTCCGTTCGCAGCCTGACCATCTGAGTATGCTTGAGATACAGGCGTAGGGGTTAGATCCGCCCCTGGGTTTATACCACGTAGCTGCTGCATGTCAAGAGACTGCATGTCAAGAGACTGCATAATCTGCAGGTCAAGAGTCTGCATGTCAAGAGACTGGGGCAGCGCCACCAGTGGATTGCGAGGGGGTGGTAAAGGACCTACTGGACCATCCAGATCCATGAGCTGAGCGGTGCCGGTCGACATTGTGGACTGCGGAGGAGCGAGAAGCATGTCCTGGGTCTGAGCAGGCGGCTGTGGGAAATAGCACCAAGGGAACAAGCTCGGGTCATCGCACAGTGACAGTTGCGATATAATAGTGGTTAATTGAGGCCACAAGCCGACGTGTACATTATAAGACCACGCGACAGTGCCTTTGTCATCCGAAACCCAGGGACCTCCTCGGAACTGCAACTCCTCAGGGCCGGTCGCGAGGCCCTCCGGGTACCTACCCCGTCCCGGTCGAAGCGAAAATCTCGGTGCTTGAAGGGTCTGAGGGCCTGGGTTGGCCTGCATATCCCAGTACACGGCGAACTGACCAAGAATAGCCTCGCCGAGCTTTCGCATGTCGACGAAGTAATTTGCCTGTTGTTCGAGGAAGGGCCGCTCGTTGGGACCTAGATCGCTGTACACGCGGTCGAGCCGTCTCTGTATCTGCGTGCGATACATTTCAGCAAGCGATGTCTCGACGCCGACCTTGAAGAAGTGCGCACAGAATACCAGGAAAGAGGGCGGATACTGTATGTATTTGTGCAAGAATTGTGTATCGTCGTCGTCGCCGTTCGTGCTGACATGATGATACTTGGTCCAGTTGGTGCACCTGCCAGCATCCGTGTGACGGCAGATCTTCGATTTCTCGAGCCTACAGCAGCGTCCGTGCCACAGACATTGCTCGTGTTTAGCTACCAGACCGACATAGCACGGAGTTGAACATTCCAGGCCGTAGGGATCCTGGAACGGGGATCAAACCGTGTAGCCTGTGACTATATTTAGCAAACTGAAGAGCCGGGTGTCATGCGTGGCCGAGGTGTTGTGTACAAACACGTGAATGCACATGATGCGTAGCGGCGATGTGATACTGGTTATGAATTGGAGCTGGTGACGACTTACTGTATCCCAAAGCTGTATTTTCAGTTCGAGGATCGAGGCCAGATTGCTCTTGAGAATTTGTTGTGAGGTGTGCCCGAGTGGACTGGGCTGTTAGTGTTATATGTGAACGTTAGAGGTATCTCCAACAGCGAACAATTCCATTCATCCATCTATTGAAATAGTCCTCGCCGGAACATTGACAATAAAGTTGTGCCGTGCTTTGTGTCTCCTTTGTCGCTGTTGTTTGTTGTTCCCACCCCATCCACAAACTTCCAATAGGGGCTGCCAGAACAGGAGTGCGAAAAAGGTGCGCAGGTAATGAGATGAGCATTATCTATCGATGCCGCATCTATCGAGGCAGTCCGGACCAGATAGGTTTCGTCATGTCTCCGTGTAGCAGAATCATGTTCTGATCTTGGACCCATCGTGGAAGGGTACGATGGCTGACCGTCGCATCGAGTTGCGTAAAGCTACTGCCACGACCACAAGCTCAATCTGCATAGCCGAACTGGACGCTCCAAGTGCGTAGTGCAGGCGTCGTCGTCAGATGGTGAGGCTGAGTCGCTTGCGCCATTAAGAGCTGCTATGATGAATTCGATGACAACGCAAGCCGTCGTCAGTGGGTTTGAGTCAGTATTGACTGATATGGCTCCTATACATGACCACGTCGACGCGCACTATCGTGCCGAGTGCCGCTCATCATGGTTATTAGGCACATCATGCTGGTAGGGGTCTCCAATATGCTTACTGTCTGTCATAAGAGGTTGCACCGGCGAAGTCGCTTGTATGAAACGCATACCTGCCCACTTCCGTATCCCGATGAATACCGAATCGATTATGCAAGCCATTAAACCGCCAAGCTGCGGTTAACCGACTGAGATCTGCCCGACCAAACCACTTGATTGGTATACACGGACTCCGAACGCTTCGCCACTTTCTCTTGGTTGTTGGGAATGTCTAGTGAGGCGCCCGACTGAGGCACAACTGGCTGTGCTCGGTGAAGGCAGAGAGACGTCAGATCACGCCTTTACGGTAATGCCCATGGCCGGCCATGAGTGTATGCCGCAACGCAACTCATCAATGACACAAAGCTGAGAAGCAACTTCAGACGCGCGTCAAGCATGCTCGACGTTATGAAGCCGAGAGGGATGAAGGCAACGCTTCCATGCCCAGCGCGGGGTGAGTTTAGATAGGTCTAAACTACCATGCTGCTCTGCCCGAATGCCTGCCGGCCAGATCTGTGTTCAACCAGTGAACCGTACATGAAAATGTAGTCGAGACGAGGTAACTCATCCGACTCGACTATCGAGAAACATGGTCATTACAAGGCAGTATCTGCTGTGGCAGCCCCAAGCAGCCAGTGCGTAAATGCAACATTTCAGAATGTGTGTGGTATCAATGCCGCTCCTGAAAACGCCGAACCTGAATCGTGTGGCGGGGCTGCCGTCCTAGCCCACCATACTGTCATCCCCAATGCCTTTGTCTTTCCGCTCGTCCTGCAACATGCGAATAAGCTTGTTGATGGTCCCGCCGTCGCGTAGCATCTCTACCTCTCGGACCGCCTCGGCCTCATCCATCCCTTCGGCGATGTAATCTTTGATCTTGTCCCATATCACCTTTCGTCTCGAATACCATGTTCGGCCTCGCGGCTCGGGTCGCCATCTCGAACCCCACTGTGCGTCTAACGCTTCGATGGCCGGCTGACCGTCCATGCCCTCTCGATACTCTTTCCACACCTCCTCCACCGTGGCCACAGTGCGGTAGTCGAACTGCGGAGGGCCGGCAGCTGGAGACTGCAGGGCTGGAACAGATGGCCTGGATACAGCATGTTGATGACTGGGAGAGACTGGCGGAGCCCGAGAAGGACGGCTTGGGGTCTGGATAGTCGGCGGTTGCGGCAGGGGTACAGCCGTCTGCAGCGGAGGCGGCGGAGGAGGTATGATACTTCGCATCACGGGTTCTCGGGATGTCAGGGCCTAGGGAGTGGCGGTGAGCAAATGCAGCGCGGCGGAGGTCGGACCGGTGTGTTCTTAGACTTACAGACGCAGCGGCTTGGTGGGAGGCCACCAGACTGCCCCTCAGCTCGTTCAGCTGCTGGTTGATGTTATCGTACTGGGCGTTGATCTGCGCGACATACTGTTGGTTCTGGGCCTGTATCTGGAGGATGGTGGCGATCAACTGCTCAGGTGACCGGCCTTGCAATTGATCCTCGGTGACGACAGCGGGCATAGGCAAGGGCATGGCAGGTTGGAACTGAAGCTGGGTCCGGGGCGCAGCAGCTGCTGAGGAGGAAGCTGCGGGCATCTGAAACGGACTCTGAAATGGAGTCTGAAATGGACTCGGATTCGGGATCGTTCGTGTGTTATTATTACTAGAAGCAGTAGCTTGCCTCTTGGATGGGGTGGCGCTGGCGCCGGCACTGCGCTGCAGGTCGGATGCAGCCGGTCGCTTCAGGGTGGGCTGGGTAGCCGCCCCTGCAACAGCTGCAGCAGGGCCAGGAGCTGGAGTGGTGCTAGTGGGAGTTGGGATGATTGGACTTGGACCTGGAGCCGTGACGGAGGTGGTAAAGGTAGATGGGGGCGGTCTGCTAGTGGTAATGCCGGTCGACGGCGAAGGAAGCATGGCGGTTGCGTAGGTTCGATACAACAGCCGGCAGGGCTCCGCAGCCTCCTGGCTGGCTGCTGGCTGGTTTGGTTGGTGGTGGTGGTGCTTGCTACAAGTAGACCACACCTTGCATACACGCAATAATACGCACCTAACGCGCTCACACGCACCGTCTGGCTAACACGCTGGCAGCGGGTTGAACTGGACAGGACTGACTGTGACGGGGAGGAAAGAGAGTGGGTTGGTTGGTCGAAAATAGTAGATAAAATAGAATAAAAAGTCCACGGGATTAGAATGATTTGAGTAGTAGCTGGAGGTTACCGGTATCTGGCGCGAAGGGAAACAGGAAAGCAGGGCTCATAAAAAGAAGGATTAGATCACACGGACCTCCGGACTAGCCGGGCTGCGCAGCGAACAGGCAGGTCTCGAGAGTAGTAAGTAGTAAGTAAGTAAGTAATGTGATAGAAAGGAAGGTAAGAAAGGTAAGAAAGGGCAGAAGAATACTGCGATAGAAGAACGTATTGGGAAAGATGAATGTGAGAAGCGAAGTAGAGTTATGCTGCTATGTATCGGACAGAGGGAGCCCTACTGCCTACATACGTAGATGCAAGATGCAGGTGGATAGAGACGAGACGGGACGGCACGAAGAAGATGGAGGGACGAGATAAGATGAATGGGCGGCCACTATGTCAGCGTACCGTGAACAGACAGACGCGGCTCACTCGTCGGACACGGAACCAGCCGCCACTCTTCATCCACAGATCATCGTCACTTTCTCTTGTCAACGTGCTTGTGGTGCTGGTGATGGTGCGTGTGCGGGTGCTGGTGATGTTGTTGGTGACAGAGGTGACATGGCCGCGTCGTTGGTGACAGACTTGTAAGTTGTATCTACCTAACGGTTAGGCAACTCGCGGGCATGAGACGGTCACTGGCAAGAGTGCGAGCCGTGCGTAGGCGTAGCACATAGTGACATAGCGCCAGCGTTGGCGAGCTTCGAAGGGCGGGCTGGCGGGAGAGTCTGAGCATCATTCAAGACACGGGTACGTGTCTGCGTGTTACATGGAAGGAGCTTGCCCAATGCCCAGAGCCTTGGAAGTTGGAGGGTAGGTACTTGCCTTCCCATGTACAATAATACCTGCCTACGCGTTCAGGCGGGCAGCGACATCACGTGCCTACCCCTAATAAAGTGTAAGCCCCACCACTGTCCGCCCGCTGGCCCGCTGCTTGGCGTGGTGGCTTGGGAGGCTGATACGTGGCGCACCTCTTTCTAATATTCATCCATACCTGACTTTCATCCTCAACACCGAATACCGTAGACACTGGACCTCCTCACCACCTCGTCCAAGACAACCAGATCACATATAGAGTGCGTGGGGATACTCTTTTTGCACCCATCTGAGCTCATGTGCGGTTGACAGGTACATCGAGGCTACGCCGGACATAACATCCTGCTATTATACCAGAGCTAGGTATAATGCTGCTGCAGCAACACCATGGATCAACTACCTACCATGCATGTAACATGCCTCCAATCTTGCTTCCCCTTCTTCTTACCGAACCCAGCATGACACGGGGAATTTCCATGCGAGCCGGGTTTCGCTGTCCTATGGCTTTGGTTTCTGCTTTTCCAAATCTTTCCCTGTCACATACCTACCCAAGGGCCAATACCCCGACAGACCGCTGCATAGGCCCGCAGACCCGTATGTATGCGCAGCCCAGCCGCATAGCCGGACTGTTACGGCTTACTGTATCGAGGTATAAATGGTATGGTGATTCAGCCGTGGCCGTCCCGTCTCGACCCTAATTCCAATTACTTGCGATTCCTTCAAAGACATCCCGTCTGCCCGCATTCCCTCGCAATCGGCAAGCGACAACCGACTGCGAAGTCGACATCCAAGAGCACAGGCGCTTCGTCGATATTAAGTGATGTCGCATGCCAATACACATGTTGCGTCAATTACCAGCTCACCAACCGAAACAACCTCTGGACCCCGGTCTTCTCGCTGCCGTCTTTTGACAATGCTCAACGCTGCGCAACCATTGGTTGTCCTGGTAGAGGACGTTCACCAACACGTCTCGCGAGTCGGGCCTGATGTCTTGGCCATGTGTGCTCTTGGATTCGAGGGCTGAGCTGTTCGGCGAATCGCCATTGACCGTCGGCTCGCTCCGTTCGCAAGGCGAAGCAAGTAGGATGCGGGTGGCAGGCCGTCCAAGTCGGCAAGCCGTTCCCCAGTACCTACACACCTTACGGCTTGATCAGGCATGTAATCAATCCGCCAAGGCTTGACCATGCATCTCTTCAATATTTCCTCCCGACTGGTTGGTTCATGGCCCAGAGTCAGCTGAGCTCCTCTGTTCTGTCATACATATCTAAGCAGACTGAGCTGCTGCGGCTTCCAGGGATCTCAGACGGACATGGCATTTGCCGCAGGTCTCTGTTGTTATTCCCGGTGGCTCATCGGGAGTCTTCAAAATCCCAAATACCGTCTACGGCCTGGAATGAGCGGCATCGCCAGCACCCAGTCGGTTGTCTGCGGCCTTTGCAATGGGTGACTTCAGATGGGCTCTGCACGAATTCTCCTGATTTGCAGCACCATTGGGAGGTTTCTGGACCGTCGCGTAGGGCTCCTCCTTTATATACCGCAGACCTCCGAGTCTGATCACTAGAGTCGACTGCAGCCACCTGCCAGCGAACGACACATAAGCTACATAACCTTAGAGGAAGTGCAAATCTTCAAAATGGGGCGCATAGTAAGTCTGGGTCCGCATTCGACACATATATCTCGCTTCCTTCCTGGTGTGGACGACCGAGTATCCAGGTTGCTTTCGTCTAGAGCTCCTAAAATTCGTTGCCAGTTGATGGGCGGAGCTCTAGGAGTAGCTCTGGATAGAGCCTCAAGGGAGTCAACACCACCCATAACACTGGTTTCCTTAATCGAAAGGAGGTAATTGCATACAGCAAGTCAACATTACAACTTGTTTATCTCACCTTGTCGATCTGCATTCGTAGAAACTGCCAGCTCTGACCGCCCTCTACTCGAGTCGTCCACGCGGCCAGGGCTCAGGGGCTAGCCAGCAGTGCCGGCTACCCGGAACCCAGCCAATAACCCAAGGCCTTGGCGCCAGGTTGAAGTTTCAACCGTCAGCTCTCACCCAGAAGTCTGCACGCGGCGCTCTCCTCGATGATGGCTCTGAATACAGAACGCGCGACATCAGGAGACGCATACGCCAAAGATCATGATGCCGGCGTCGACAACGAGCGCCATAGCAGCGCAATGGAGGCAATTACGGGGACTGTACAAGATGGCGGCCATATTCGCCTTTGTATCTGCTCCGATCGGTACGCCTTGTTGTCTCATGTCCAGATACCTTCACTCACAGAGAGGCCGTGACGACAGTGTTTTGGCTGGGACTCGGTTCATTCACTGCCACAAATCCCGTCGGCAACCCCTTGGACAGCATTCTAGAGAAGCCTAAGGGTGGCCCCATAGCCGACAGCATGCCGTTGCGCATCATGTTCATAGGAGCATCGATGACCCTCGGCGACCCCCCACAGGGTGCCTATCGCAAGCAGCTACGGGAATGGCTCGTGTCTCTGGGCAATCCCGTAAATTGCGTTGGTTCAGTAGGTTGAAACTCGGGTCATTTACAGAGCAAGCCGAGTCGCCAGCATATTCCTGACATATTTCTGTGTAAAGGAACGCTTCGGCGACTTCAAGAACAACGACGTCCAAGCCTTCCCTGCGACGCCAGTCCAGATCCTTCACGAAAAGGCCAAAGAGGCCGTTCCGCGCATGCAGCCGAACCTCGTCATCATCAACGCGGGGTCGAGCGACTGCTTCCAGGAGGACCACTGGGGCTCGGCCCACGCGCTGGACCACACGCGCGACCTGGTCGACTTCCTCTTCGAAGCCGCTCCCAACACCACCGTGATCCTGTCGACCCTGGTCATGAGTCCGGACCCGACCAAGGAGCGCTGCATCAGGAGCTTCAACGCGCAGATTCGCCAGGCGGCCATCGACCTGGAGCGCGAGGGCCGGCACGTCGCCATGGCCGAGCAGCACTACGACCAGGGGCTGCGCGGGCGCGTGACTGCCGAGTTCATCAAGTCCGACGACATGCATCCCACCTTTGAGGGATTGGAGATGATGGGCGATATCTTTAAGGAGAGCATTCGCGAGGTCGATGCCGAGGGCTGGCTGCGAGCGCCCGTCGAGAACGGCATCTGGGCCGATGGCGATGCGGAGCGGGATGCTGAAGAGGCTGAGGAGGCTGGGGCTAAAAATACGGGTACGGCTGTTACTGATGACAAGTGGAAGGGGGAGGGTGAGTTTGGGAAGTCGACAGCGCGTGATGCACATGTTCGGAGGCATGGGATGTGAAAGGCGCGTATTCGGCGGTATACTTTTGTACGGAGTTCCTCAAGCATTGATTCAGCCAGTATGGTCGGTGGGCCCTGGGTTCGCCGAGCGCTGAGAAGCATGCATAAAGCTTCAGAGATGCCCCCAAGAGCTCACGGAAAAGAAACATTGCTTAACGAAAGACCATATTGCAGGGCATCCTCAGTCCCACGACCATTGTGCTGACGTGCTGCCTAAGTCAAGCCTTCAGCACAATGTCTGAGATCTACGGAAGAGTTCTGACATTGAGCACAATACCCGTATCTCTGTCTCCTCTCCTGGGGCAATGGTCTCAAAGTCTCAAGTCACTCTTTTCGAGTCCGCCCCGAGGCATGCTTCAGTTCCGGGTTGACACCATGAGTATTCAGACATCATCACAGGTACGCAGCTTTGAATTCCCGACGACTTTCTGCCTCGTCTTCGTGCTACATCTAGACATAACATGTACATCACAATCGACAGGGTAAAGGAGGGATTCGGGAACCATTGTATGTGAGTTATGGTACTATAGTGTGTGCAATGTTCTCGAGTATCCTCTCATCAAACCCTGCAGATCAGGGCAGCCCGTACAAGAGCCTGTACATGGCCGCGTATAAGACAGACCTCCGAGGCAATCTAACAGACCCCGGAAAACAGAAGCTTGACGCCTCTGGCGAGAAAGGGTTCCCATTGCTCCGTGAGTTCACGTGGCCCATACAACTGTTCAGGATCCATACCTGTACCTGCCAGGCACGGCAATGGCAAAGGTCTGTCGGAGATGACGCGGGGTCCTCGGTCCAGAATCATTGAGCCGTTTGGGCAGTCGCGTACACGCGCAGCCCAATGTTCCACGTCGGCAGCACAAGGCAGGTATCCACGCGCACCATGCGTGAAATAATGACAGAGAGTCAGGCAAGAACGCGAGCGTGGTTGGACCAAAGCCCAGACTGTTCGGAGGTTCGGAAGTGAGAGTAAGGGGGGAGTACCACATTCTCGATAAAAGAGAAGGAAGCTTTGATTTCCAATGCGCTGAGATCGAGTGGTGCGGATACCTGCAGTTGAAGGTAGGGATTCATGGCGGACTGGATATCGAAGACGTCGTTGCCGGGGTGAACCCAATATCCAGGGGTTTGTGGATTCCCATACGCAGGACGGTGGGCGTCGATCTATCGGTACTGGCGCTCGATTCTGTGCTGCACGTGACGATGTACCAGAAGCAAGTTCATGATCGCCGTCCCGCGTATCTCCATGTAGTTGTTGTGGTTGCGCTGTATCGCATCGAGAAAGAATGGGCTGTATGGTTGCAGAAGGCGGGCTCACACTTGGCCATCTTTCCCGATGCAGAGTCCCCACAGGAATCTCCGTTGCGGGATCGCTTCCAAGGCGAGATCAATTATCTCGTAGATGATTTCGTTGGGGAGTTGAAGGTATCGAGGCGACTGGAGTTTGTTCTCGTTGGCCATGCTCGCGGCAGTCGTCGTCCAAGGGCATAGGGAGTGATCTTGTTGACAAGGTGACGGCATGAGAGAGATAAGCGAATGGCTTATTTCCAAACTTGAGATATTGTGGGAGTCAGGTCTTGAGCAGAGGCCCTGCAATCTATAGCACCTCTTCTATCAAGCTCAGCCGTGAAATAGAGTTTGGGTTGCAAAGGCGCGCCCATTCGCGTAACCTACAAGGTCCCCAGAGAGCACGTTTTGAACCATCTAAACTGTTTAGAGGTAAGACGGACCAATGAAGATTATGCGCGTGCGCCAATACTTTCAAGTTGCGAACCTTCATGACTGTCTGGATTTGACCCCTGTGGATGACGGTCAACTCTGCCAAATGACAACACATTTTCACAGCAAAGTATGCTATCGTTGACGCTCCGATGCATACACCTTTCAGAGGCAGCGATGTTTCTGCTGCACCTTAGAACCTGGTAAGCTAGGCAGGACAAGATGGATAACTGGAATGTATGATGTCGAAAAGGGGCCCAGGGGCGCGTTCCGTACCAGGTATTGCAAGTCTCAACCAACGACTGCTCTAGAATTTCTTATGATTTAGTCTAGATAGCATTTATGGACGGGGTATTGAAATCAACTAATGTTTATAAATTTAAAGATTTAGGAGATGCTTCACCCATTTACCAGCAGTTCATCAACCGATAACCAATCGTTGTTGCCCGGTTGGAAAATTCGTTAATGTTGGAAGGTACGAATTCTCGAGCACTCGTTGACTGGAGTCGCCAAGACCAGTTGCGAACTTGCAGCCGGAGTTCTGCCGGACCGGACACACATCCCGTCATTCACCCCTCCGACCGTTCTCTTTTCTTCCATGCCCGCAATCATGTTCGAGCCCAGAAAGCATTTATGATTCGTGATAGTGTCACATTCGTGCCACAACATCACAGCTCCTCGACTACACCACTATCAACCATCGTAGGATTCACATCGATGTTTGTTGAGTCAAGCGACCGACCAAACGATCATACCAGAAATCTCCACTTCCATGTGCAAACCTTCTGAACAGACACTTCGATGTTTTTGATCATTATTTGGAGTTCAACTGAACAGGTCAACTTGAGGAGTCGTATTGAGTTCCTACCGTTGATGCTCTAGTCCTTCTTCTCCATTCGCTCAAGTACATGTCTTGTTGCATCATACTTCAGTCCGAGGTTCGCATGTGCCATTGGAACGATGCCTGCCGATGTCCTTGGGGTTTCATCGGCAGTGAGCACCGGGGAATATGCCGCTTCGTCTGTGCCCCCCCACTCACATTCTGAAAAAGCGACCTCGGGAGGTGGTCGGCAGTCACTTTGTCAGGTGGTCAGGCAGATTTGGCAGGAAACCTTCCATAGCCACCAGCCACACCACCAAACGTTATTGGTGGGGATTCTACCACCTTTAGTTTTGAATGCTTCAAGATTAAATGAAGGAAAATTAAATAGATATCAGAACGCACATGTAATCGTAGAGAATTGCTTGCTCATTTAATTAGTATAAATTTTAGTAGTGTAAAGATGTTATATACTTAAGCATCTAGATTGAAGGCTATGGAAGGTTTTCTGCTAAATCTGCCTGGTGGTCTTGCATGTCGGGAAGAGGTTGATCGCTTTCCCAAATAGCAATCGGGGGCGATGCCGCGGGGAACGCCCGAGGCTGCCTGGCTGCGTGGTTGGGCGGCACATTCATTACCTAGCTCAATTGGCAGTGGCATGCAATGGTGCAAACAGACTCCCTCTCTTCCCGACGCATGGTGGGCGCATGGGACAAAATAACGTTCTGACCGAGTTTCACCCACGCGCAATGCGACAGACGACCATTGGCCCGTCGGCCAAGCTGAGTGACAGGCGGCCCAGGTGATGCTGCCGGACGTGGTCCATGATTGACGGACCTGCGCAGGGCCTCGTGACGCGCGGGAAGAGAGCCACGCCGCCACGCCACCGGCCACTGCCAAAGCGACACACACACCACACACACACTCTCTGAATTGAGATGGCACGCACGTGTTACACGGCAGCGGAAGACACAGCCTGGCACGAAGCATGTGAAAATGGGGGTCCCGAAGCAGCTGAAAATAGCCACATCCATATACACACTCCAGGAGAAGTTGGTTACAGCAGAGACAGATGGCGCAGCCCAGGTGGACGGACGGCTGCCATACCTACCACGACAGCTGATGATCAATGACGACCGCTGGTGAATAGGTAGGCATCTATAACGGGGTCGTCTGCTAGTAGGTCGGGAGCCGAGAGGCATTTCCCCTCTTTCTCATCTTCGTCTTGCTCGACCGCCTTGCCCCTCTCGCCCTCTTATCGTCAACGACCAAGTGGGTTTGGGGTCGCCAAGGGACCTCTATTGAATCTATCACCAGCGACATCGCTTCGCCACTCATCATCAGCGTGCCAACGTGCCACGACTGACGAGACTCCACCACATAGACACAAGCCCACCCTGGACTGCCTGGACCCCAGGACCACTCCAGTTCTCCTGCATGAACATTCATATGCAAGGGCCAGGGATCGGGTGTGCTCAGACACGGCCACGAGGGATCACGCAGCAGCCGTTGACGGCATGTTCTTTTCCAACTATCTCATACCTCTGCTTCCATCTACAATACTCTCTCTTGTCACTCTCGGCTCGTCCGATTGAAGCAGCAGCGCTATCGTGAACTTAGCGGTCACCCATACTGGACTACCTCACGCCACGGCTGCCAACACCACTCACCGTTGGACGACAACGTAGGGTCTGGCTCTACTAGGTGTGCAAGCGGGGTCACGATACTGCTCCTTGCACCTTCAGCCCAATCGAGTCAAGCGACACCAGACCGCCTCTTCAACATCGCCATTGCCCAACAAATCCAACTCTACTAGGTAGAGCCCGCACGCAAAAGACCACCAGATTGCAGGCAGGACCATCTCATTTCTGGTGTCTGGTGTCCGTGAGCCAGCCACTGCAACTGCACCCTCACCTTCACCTTCACCGTCAGCTTCACCCTCGGTTGACACCGATTCGTCTCTGCCGTGGGAGTATCCGCCAGCCGCTCCCGCGCGGTTCCCTCGTCCGATCTGATTATTTTGGGACGACATACCGGCACACTAACGCCACCTAACTACTGCAAGCCCTTGCCCTCCTCGTACGTCTTCCTGCATCGCGGTTAGCCTCAGGACGCTGCCCTGCCAATAAACCATCGTCAACGCTCGCTATCCTCCACTTGCGGCACGACGGGCGGAACGGGTTTGACGACCTGCATACATTAAATACTCTTTTGTACCCACTTGGACTGTTCTGACCGTCTCCTGGAAATTGAATCAAAACACATCATCTGTACGAATTCGCATTTTGATTCAGACCGCAAGTTGGTCTCCTCATACGCTTCTCGTTTCACCGCAGCAACGCGCTTTGTCACCAGCTGTTTCCCTGAACTTTAAAGAAAGCCAGACCCAACACTTGCCTTCGAGGTTTTTCTCTCGCTTCCTCCTGTGTCCCGCCGCCCAGAATTTCACCGGCTCTTTCTGGAACTACAGACTACGGTCCTCAAGCTTCCCATGCATCAAGAAGGCCGCACGACTCACCAGCATGTCTCGGCTCTCTCCATTACCTACGAACCTCCACCGATCTCAGTCGGCCCTCAGTGTCGCTGCATCTGATACCACATACTACAGCTTTCATGATGTCGAGCTACATAAACCCACGCGGCCCACAACTACCACAACTGTGTCGAGGATACCTGCAGTTGAAGATGATCAATTCGAACCCAAGCCCATATGTCGCCACGACTCAGGGTACGAGTCGATCCAGTCGAGATCGAGGTCTGGGGGCTCGCAGACATCCCGCCGTCGCAGTTCTATGATATCCAGCAGCTCATCACAGCTACGGTCTAGGACACGTCCTTCCATGCATCGTGCGGCAAGGTCCATGCCTACTCCACACGTGGGTCGTCTAAGCGGACATCCCGTTCGCTTAACCGTGTCACAGCAACAACCCAACACATACTTCCATTTTCCATCACCTGAGGAGATATCTGGATCTCCGAGTCATGATGGAGCGCTTCAGGAGGTGGAATTGGCACACCCTCCGCCACCCAAAACGACCCATTACTGGACGAGTGATCATACCAGACGCCTGGAGTATGCCGCTATAGACGCCGCCAGTCAAGGTGTCAAAGGATGGATCATCAAGCATGTGCTACCGGACTGCTTCGTGCCAAAGGAGAACCGACGGCTCAGATTCGACGACGACACCGGAAGTGTCAGGCGATACCGGCTGGAGCTCGACTGTGACGAAGCTGATGAGAAGGAAGGTCGCCGGGGCAAGAAGCTTGGGTGGCTGCATGGACGATGAATATTGAACGAAAGCACATGGACGAACGAACGTATGAGTGAAGGATCACTTATCGCATCCGCATGATCTAGGCGTTGTATACCCCACTTGATTTCCGTTGCCTTTCTGTTTCTTTTGTCATACACAGCGTACGGTCAGCATACATTTGGGCGGTTACATATCAGACGACAATAACAGCTTACGGGCGCAGAGTCGATTACATATAGGCGCGGCTGACAGGACACCATGAGAGATGACACACATTGGCAATACCATTAGAGAGACGGTTGCATGGGCGGAGGTTGAACATTGAGGCCCACTTGGGCATATCGAGACTAGAGATAATAATCGAAGCCTGAAAAATCGAGGATGTCATTGAGGAGCTACTCTTCTGCGTCCAAGTCTGTCACCCGCCGGCGATTGATCCAATATTATCACATGGAGACGGGTCATCTCGTTATTGACATAGTGCTGCATTCCTGGCGGAAATCGAGGAGCGAGTGGAAAAGTCCGTCGTCAATTGACCGAGACACCTTGTGTACATCAACAAGTTGATGTTCTATCTCAGTCTCATACAAATGAGTATATCACGGCAGATGGGCAATGTGAACAATGCGGTGTCCAATCTAACCAACACCCCAGCCTTCCAACCCATTCAGCGATCACCAACCAACCAATCAACCAAGTCCCTCCCTACTTTACGGCGACACCTTCCGCCCATCAAGCCGTTTGCTGGTCAACCTTGCCGACAACGCGTGCTCGCCCAACAATCATCTCCAGCGTCTCTTTCTCGGCGTCGCTAAAGTCCAACTTCTTGTCCATATCCGACGTCAGACACGCAAGATTGCCCTCGGATATCTGCCACGCCTCGGACTCCCGCACCTCGCGCGGCTCGATCAGATAGGACTCCATCGCGGCGAACTTGCTGCTCGACTTGTCGGCGAACTTGTTGTCTAGAAGCCAGCCGTTGAACCACAGTGGTCGGTTGTCCACGTCGAGGTGGAGGAGCTGGGGGGCGCAGATGGTGTAGCTTTCTCGGGTGGAGGTTGGTTGTTGTGGGCTTGTTGTGGTCGTTGTTTGAATCTCCTCCTCGTCGGTTGGCGCTGGCGTCTCGGGCGTCTGGTCTGCGGCCCGGGCCGGCTCGACTACGCCCATGGCGCCGGCATTGCCTTGGTGGAAGGCGAACGACTCGTCACCTGCCAGTAAAAACCCTATCCAGAAAGTTTCTTTATCGCCTGCTCAAACTGTCAGTGATTGTATGCTTGCTTCAGACTGAGTACCGTGCCAATGGTTTGAAAGTTGGTCGGACCATCGAGACTGCAGCTCAAGGACCGGAAGCAAGTTCATGCATACGACTTACCGTACATCATCTCATAAACGCCTTCCTTGCCGTCCCTTGTATCTCGGTCGCTTCCGTTAAAGCGGCAGATCAGCAGTAACGCCACGAAATGCTTCCACTTATCGACCTAGTTATTCCCAATCAGTCAGTCGATTTTCCCTGGACACAACTGTCAAGGACTCGGATTATTTCCGCTTTCTCACCACCACGACGCCACTCTCCTGCATATGGCCCGACTCCCCCGTCCACCACCGCGACTGCCTCGCAAGCTTCGGGATCGGCTGCGGCATGACCTGCTGCAGCCACCTCTTCTTCGATTCCGGCATGATCAGCCTGTCGCGGAAGAACAGCGCGCCCGTCCCGATGTAGTCGGGGCTCTCGAATAAAATCTCGGGGTTCTGGAAGAAGAGCGAGTCGGCATCGATGAAGATGACCTCCCGGAAACTGGACAGGAGGATCGCGTAGGGCTTCGCGGCCCAGCCGGCTGGGGCCGAGCCTGAGTCGTTGACCATTTGCGACATGTCGCGGGTGACGACACCTGGGAGATCCTGGGAAACGTGACGTGTTAGCTTAATCGCATTCCACTCTTCACTCTCGCGGGGCGGTTTTTGGTCGGGGGACTTCTTCACCTCTAGTTCGCTGCGATAGTCTTCGCCCAGATCCGAGTCGCCGAGGTACATGATCTCGATGGGAAGCCGACAGCCCAGCTCGCGAAAGGAGTAGATGGTCGTGAGCAAGTACGGCGCCTGATCGTCGCCGGCGGTCAGCACGATGCCCCTCCCGCCAGACTTGAAATGGGCGTGCAGGCTCATGTGGTCGGCGAAATATGGCGCGGTCCAGGGAAACAGGACGTTGGCGAATCGGGCCAGGAACGCCCTGAACGCCTCGTACGTGCGGATCGTCTGCGCCAGGTCCTGATCCTGGTGGTCGTCGCTCTTCTTGCCGCCGTCTTGGTCTTGGTCTCGGGAGGAGGCGCGCAGGTACTGGATTATGTCGTTTCGCACGTACGTCCCACCCGTCTCGTCGTCGGCATCGTCTTGCACGAGGTGCAGCTTCTCCCATGCGTCGAGGTAAGTCCGGTACAGGCGCGTGCGGAGGCCCAACTCCCGCATGCGCTCCTTGCCGCCGCTGTCGATGGGGCGGAGTAGCTCGCGCATGTGGACTTCGTCGGGGAGCAGGGATAAGACTTTGCTGAGCGCTCTGTCGAGGGATGGGCGTCGCCTTGTCCGGTGTAAGGGTATGAAGTTGGGCTGTGTCTTGCTTGCGTGGTGGTACTCGGCTTTCTGGTCTTGGAGAGCGGATGGCGAAAAGGGGGCTGAATGGGAGTCTTGCGTTTTGACAGGGGTCGTCTTGCCGTCTGCGTCGTCCTGGCTGAACGGTTCCTGTGACTTCCCTGCTGGAACCTTTGGGTTCTTCGGAATGTATTGATAGCGTACAGGGCCCGCGCCCTTATTCTGGGGTGGTTGCAAAACATGGACTTGGCCATCCACGCTTGTCATGAGTTCAAAGGGGAAACCAAACTGAAAAATCAACAGGACAACGACGAAGCTCAGCAGGGCAAACTTCGCCATGCTACTTGAACGCCGCTTGCTGTCCGGAAACCCGGGCGACAGGAGACCTGGGGGAAGGCGACCCTCTTTGGGTCCGTGAGCCATCTTGAGTAGCATTTTCCCTTGGCTTGCGGTTGTCGATAGCTACCTCTTTTGCTGCTTAGAGGGTTGTCAGCTTTACCAGTGAGAACCAGTGTTCCGCTGCTGTGCAGGTTGGCAGTCCCGAAGCATACTTTCCAGCTACGTGTCAAGAAAACAAATAATACTGCGTGGACGTTAAGCATTGCCGACTGACTACCTTAACAACCGACCGATCCTACAAGTCCATCACTGATCGGTCTAGATGCTCCTATTGTGGCGCGTTCTTATGTTCCTGGCGGCATTATCACAGGACGACATCGTTTCTAGCTTCGTGCTTTGAAAACACGCTCGCTCGGTGGCGCTGTGTATTTGAGTTTGAGGCTTGAGATAAGGTACCTATGTAGTTAACCTCGGCCATCTGTCACGCGCCAGATTACCTATGCAGGTATAGCCGCGCCTATGTGGCATTGGACTCGGGCTGGTTTTCTTGACGGTTCTAACATTTGAATTTCGGCTCAGCGAACGGGACGGGGGGCAGTTCATACAGCGGCGCGTATTACTCTTTATACCGCCGTGAGAAATTTACTTCTACCGTACAATCCCAACAGGCAGTGTTGAATGGCACGCAAGCTACGTGGCGTCCGGGAGGTGGCGGTGCACTGACCATGGGCCATTAGGGCATTTTTCGGCGAATTGGCCTCAACAACAACTTCGGAACAACACAATCGGCACTGAATAAACGATTATCCAGCATGTGAACCATCTACGCACTATTTGACAGGAAGCGTACATCCTTCCAGGCAACGTCCTGCCCGGCTCTTCCAGCTATCGGGCACGCCCGTACTGGCTTCCCCGAACTCACTGCATCATCACCTGTTCGGCTCTTCTCATTATTAATGATAGTCATGGCATCAGATAGTCAGAAGTGCCCGGGCGGCAATGGCCACGGAGCGGTACTGCCATGATAACACTTGATTGGAGCTGCGACCAAGGCGGTCGTGAAACATGCTCACAGGCATACATGGTTTGACAAATACACACTGATTACCCGTTATGGTGACTACACTCTTGCCCCTGTTTCTTTGAGCAGTGGAACTGGTACTGGACACAGACCTGTGAAGGTATCGATCTTTGAGAGAAATGGCATAAACCAACCCTTGGATTGACCTCTGGCGCTTGGTTCGAGGCCTGACATTGACCAGCTCCACTGTTCAAAAAAACAGGGGTAAAAGTGTAGTTGACAATTTCCCAGTAGACCAAGACATCAAGCTCGTGACATGAAGTTGAACCGAACTCATCCCTCCCTCAATCTCCATCAGGACCTACCACCGGGTTCGGACATTCTTGGTTTCTGTTGTTTTACGCGGCCGCTTCTTATTCGCCTCCCCAGACTTTCTGTGAGATATGGTATTAGTCATCGGATCAGAAATCCTGGCCAAGTTGCCAGAATATCCAAAGCCTTCGGTACTCACAACATATCGCTTCTCTCGTGTTGCTCGTCGTTGCCTCCCTCATCACCGCCCTCATCACCGCCCTCATCACCGCCCTCCAGAAGAGAAAGGAGCTCGTCTGCATGGCACGCAGTCAGTATCATACTAAATAGTCAATCCACAACCAGGAGGACCACTTACCACCCAGTCTCGCACCAGCAAAGCGCTTGCAGGTTTCGGAGCCGTTCTTGAGGACGTTGACCTGTTTTTTCAATTGGATTCTCTTGCTGCGGCTTTCCTGCGACTCGCCGGCAATGAGGGCCACGAGGTCTTGGGACATGCCGAACACCGACACGGGAGAGAGGACGGTGGCGAGGACGTCCAGCAACTTTCTCTCGACTACTTCAATGGCAACATCATCGCTGAAACGCTCCAAAGCGACCTTGTAATATGCGACCAGAGAATCAAGCGCATCTGAAGCGGCCAATCGCTCAACCTTTGGCTCCGTGCGTTTCGATACGGCCTCTACGAGCTTTGTGAGGTCCCAGTTTTGCGAACCGAGGTTCGCCGGCTGCTCAAACTCGCGGGAGGGGCGATTGAAGAAGGCTTGAATCCCCTTGCTGCATGTGTTCTTTCTTCGCTCATCACCGATCTTCAAGATGTTCTCGGTGTACTAACCGTTGTATGTGATCGGGTGCATACGCCTGTGCGAGTCCAACAGCTCTGAAGTCTTGGCCTCGAGGCTCGAAAGCAGATCGTTGCAGGCTGGCGTCAAGACCTTGCGAACCAAGGCATCGGAGATCCCGCTCCCGGCGACGTGCCCGATGACCAACTTCAAGAACTTTTGGGCAGCGTCCCAAACCTGTTGGTTGTGGTATCGCACGATGGATTCCCAAGGAGCTGATTGCTCATGGAACAGGGGCGCAACAATCATGGAGCTGAAGCGTCCTGGCAGTTCTCGACCTCGAGTTCGTTGCATCTGACTCTCGATATGGTCAATGAATTCATCTCTAGATCCCACGATACGGTGCTCCTTCTCGATTTCGTGGAGATATTGACTGGAAGGCATGGCCACATCCGGGGTTACACGATAGTGACCACGTTCCGCGAGTCTGTCTGCGAACTCCTTATTCAGATTCTGGATGACAGCCCGGATGCGCTGCTGGTATTCCTCCTCGGAATCGGCATTCTTGAAGAAAGGATCGCTGCAAGTTCCATCCACCGATGCCTTCACAAGCAGCTGAAAGTCCTAGCTGATGTGCACAAGCTGGAGCCGTTGCTCTTCGAAGCTGCTTCGAGGCTCGACAAGCGCCTCAAGCTGCATCAAGCACGACTCCAGCTTTGAATCGAATTCGCGGATCAGACTGGTCAGTTCAATGGCAATCTGTCGGAGCAGAACATTGCTTAGCTTGCTTCTGAAGTCGCTGATCCCCAGCATCGATGACGGAAGCTGCTGCCAGATGCCCTGAGAGAAGAACTGGGTCTCTTCCTCGGTGCGTCGATGCAGTAGTGGTGGTAAACCTGAAAAACCTTCCTCCTTCTCCGAGTCCCGGTTCTTGAGCACATGCCATCCAAGGCCCAATTCGAACTCCTTGTTCTCGGCCAACGACACATACGTAGCTTCACTGTCCGAGCCAGGGACCAACGTGTCAGGCTTGGTGATGACGCCCATGGTGCGCTTACCAGCGGGGTCTGCGGCACGCGCGAGCTTCAGCACTATCTGGTTTGCGAAGTCATTCTTGGCGGAAACCACGGCGAGGATGATACTTCTTCGCTGGGTCATGTAGAACTTAACGACATCTTGGACCAGTTCGACATCTGACGCGCTCTGCTGATTCATCTCTGAGTGGATGAGGCCAGGCAGATCGACGATAGTGAGATGCGGGCGATCAGGACCAGTGATCTCGATTTGGAGAATGTCCTTCGAGAAGCCCTTGCCTTGCATCGAGATGCGATTTGCTTTATCCATATAAATCGTGATGGCCTCTATCAATTCCGGGAGTTCCTCGATTCCATCAAACCTTTCCTTCTCCTCTGACAGCCCGACAGACTCTTGACAAGCGAAGGTCCCGACAGACTCTTGAGAAGCGACCTTCGCTTGTCGAAGTCTCAGCTCGTCCTCTGACAGCCCGACACACTCGTGAGAAATGACGGTAACCGTGACACCGGTCCGATTCGCTCGTCGAAGTCTCAGCTCGATGGGGAAGCACGTACAAAGATTGCTCTTGACGGGGAGGGGAATTCCGGAGATGGCTTCGAGGACCGAACTCTTGCCCGACGACTGATCACCGCACACGATGATCTGGGGTAAGGAGAGGTAGTGATCGATACCATGAAGGCGTAGACGATCGACAGAATCGAGGAGCTCAAGCTGGTCTTCCGGGCAGAGCCAGTTGAGGTACTCGGTGTTAAACAAGTCCGCCTTGTTGGCTGACGGAGCAGACTCTCGTAGGAATGAATGGTCGAATGGGTATGATGTTGTAGGCACGATTGTGGGAATACTTGAGAAGGGTCGATCAGCTGCTGCAATGCAAGATGATCGATCAATGGGTCAACCTGGACGGTCTGTCCGGGCGAAGGTCTGTTTATCATCATCATCATCATCATCATCACCATCATCATCATCATCATCATCATCATCGAAAGAACCATTTCTGTCTCTGTGCTTCCAAACGGAGGACTTCCAATGTTGACTACAAACGCGATCCCAAAGCATTGACACCAACAAGCAAAGGTACATCAAGGATGAACTCTCTCACTCCCTTGGAGTGTGTACATCTGAACGGCATAAGAATCGAGGCGCCTTGCACTGTGCGGACTGCAGTGCCTAAAAATCTCTCCGTTTGTTCACCTCGGTGGCTGGCAGGGTCCAACCGGTGGTCAGTCTCATCAAGCCGCGCGCCAGTGTCACTACAAGGCCAACAAGAACACGATGGATGCAGTCAAGAGTTTCTTCTCGATATCCCAGCTGTTCCATGCATAGTACCAAGCTCGATGCCATTGATCACAAATCAGAGTTGTCAGAGTTCGGGAATTCGTTTGATCCGTCTCTGTCAAACGACCGCGTACGGCTACCAGCCTCACCGTCGTAGCCGAGTTGCCACGAGTCCCTACTAATTCCCGAGAAAGTCCATTGAGACCTGCAGAGTTCGTCCTGCCCAACGACTTTCGCCAGCCTAGCCGCATCCCGTGAACAATATCGTCAAGGGTGTGGCCGTCATCTTGCCTCCATCTTGCAAACGACGAACTCATCGACTGCCAGTCTGCCACAACCCCCTCAACATTCCCTGTTGATCAAAGTACCGCTTCCTGGGTTGGCGTTATTCCAAACGCCCCCACCGGCGGTGAGATCGTCCTGCGTCAATGCGCGGTCGTAGCACGAACACTGCCACAGAATGTGATCCGGCGGGTCTCCTCCGGGAGTGTTCACTATCGCACCCTGGTAGTAGCTCCCGCTGGGCAACCACGTCCCCGGTATGTCCGTGTCGTTGCCCGACAGGCAGATTTCGCTGCAAGTGTCGAGGATGAGTTGATGGTCATTGTCGAGCCAGTCGTTCTCTCGGTAGTTGTAGAGAAGGTTCAGGTCTGTGGCCCCGACGACCCAAATGCCCTCACTGCCTCGGTTGATAGTGACTGTCGTTTCGAGTGCGGAAGACGTGCATTCTGTTGCTGTTGCTGTGTCGCGGACTCGCTCTGGCTCGGGTACGTGGAGGTGCCTGGTAGCCAGGACACCCGAAGAAAGGAGAGCGGCGAGAAAGATTGAAGTATGCATGTCGGAGATTGATGGTCTACTGTATTCAGCTGCAGAAGATCCCCCGGGGATCTTGGTCCTTTATATTACCCTCCAGCTCTCTACTGGAGCGGACTCGATCGCCCGAGGCTGTTCGGAGCTGACATTCCACCTGCAGCACTGCAACGTCGGGTAAAAACAGGGCGCATTTTGATAGGGTGAAGGAAGCCACACCGGTTAGACTGCTTACATTCATCCTTGGATGAATATGCGAAAGACCACATGATGCCTGAGTTGGTATGACACATCATCTCAGCATCTCGTATTTGTTGCCAGATTTTACAGTGAATAAGCTGCAAGGATCTTGACACGGGTGCGGAAGAGTGGGACAAGATTTCAGGCAGTACTTTATATCAATATAACTGCTCTTCTGTCTATGCTCTAAAACTTTTGCTCCGGTGTCTTTGCTCGGGTATCTAGGCTCGGTAGAATTTGGATCCTGTGACCGCCTTGTCTTCCGTCAAAGCCGGCTTCTCCCAGACCTTCGTCCCCCATTTGGTTGCAATGAAACTCCTTACGTCCTCGGCGATATACTGATGTACTCGTGAGGTCCTAAGATGTTTGTAAGTATTTCCTCTCACTGCCAAAATGAGAGAAGTACACGACGGGGCGGTTGCTTACAATGTTTGTTTGTTTTGTATTTAACGTGGGGGGTAGCTCCTCAGTAGTGCAAACCACGCCTCCCAGAGCCATTGCATCGCAAGGTTGTAGAGGTGTCAAATTAGATACATTCAGATCCGCGCACGAGCCTATCCTCGCTGTAGCGGTACCAATCTGGAGTGTTCAGATGGTTTTAGTCAATACCCAAGCACGATTCCGTCAGAAAAACCTCCTATCTAGCGACAAAGCGACCCAGTGAACCTCAGTTCTCTGGTGTACATATCGTTCCAGTAGCCGTTCGATATATGTCGCATTGGTGGGTGAAGTAGGTGTTTGTTATCTGCTGGCGAGGGAAACCACAAGGGGGAAAACCTCGCAGGAGTGGGTATTGTGGAGACAAGCTGCTTGGCTATCGGGCTCTGCGATAAAATGGGGCCTCTCCACTGTCGTGTGCTGGTTATCGACTCGCACAAGCCGGGTCAGAAAGGGGGCCATAGCAGGATTCGAACCCACTTGTTCTCGTCGCCCACCGCACAAACGAGAACACAACCAGGCGCATTTGACCATTGCGCCATACGGCCTCGGTTGCTTACAAGTGTACTTTATCCCACCAATAGTAGCTGCGCAAGAGCTCGAGGTTCGTGCTGCTGTCTGGATTGAAAGCTTGGGTTCTGAACTGCTGGTCGGGTCCTTTCGTGTTCGTGAACCCATACTTCGCAGGGTTCTTAGTCATCTTCGTGAGGAGTGAATTTACATCGTAAAGCTCGATCTTCGCATCCTTGAGTTTCTTGTTGTACTCTTTCTTGAGTCCATCGAGCATCTTGTTCACATCTTTTATCTTTTCCGGTGTTGGCGATGGACTCTCCACCTTGCCTTTTCGCTCTTGGTTAGAGGGGCTCTGGTCGAGGGGTTGCAGGTTGAAAAGGACGAAGTTCTTGAATCCTTTCTCGTACATAGGCTGTATCGCCTCCGTAAATATGGGCGTATTTACTCTCTCCGCAGTTTCCAGAAAGTCTTTACCGTTCAGTTTTCGGTACTGGCCCATGTCGTTGAGGCCTATCCAGATGAACACTATGGCCTTGTCCTTGTTGATACGAGGGCCCATGATAGGCTCGAGCTGTGTCAGGTACTGCTGTACCTGCTCCACTAGGCTCAATACATCGTCCCAATTATTTTTATCGGGAGACATGTAGATGTCGGATATGTATGCAACAGGACATGCCAAGTTCCAAAGCTCAGTATCGCACCCGAGGGGGAAATGGGTGCCGCTTTTCACACCACATCGTGTCAAGTACTGGGACCATGTAGCTCTGTCAGAAAACGTTCTTCCGGGTCCTTGGAGAATCTTGTCTTTGGCGATCTTGTCCTCCAATCCCGAATCGGAGCCGGACGCTTCCTCCGCTTTATAGAGCTTTTTGCTGCCAAAAAACCTTTTCCACTGCGACCCCGGGTTGTCAGTGACTGATGTTTCTGCTTATGATGTCTTTGTGGTGCTTGGATCGGGATCGAGACCGAGATTTTGGCTCATGGAAAACTCGCAGGGTATCTCACGTTAGGATCCAAGGTTCCGCTGATACTTGACCCTGAACAGCCAAAAACAAAGCTGTTCCGCGTCGAGGTTTAGCGTCAGACACTTGAATACATGCTGGCTCAAAGGTAGGAAACATAGGCTCGATCTTTGTTGTATTTCAAGTTGTCCGAAAACTTCCCGCAGCAGACCACACTGGCGCATGCCAGAAATAGGAAACAGTGACAGATCATGACAGGCCGATCTGAACACGCTGGAGGGACTCTGAGTCAAGGACTTCTATTCGAAGTTTGGGTTTCTGACTTCGATGGTGGTTGTCTTGTCCTGGGAAATCATCAAGAGGTTGTTTGTTTGTTTGTTTTGTATTTAACGTGGGGGTAGCTCCTCAGTAGTGCAAACCACGCCTCCCAGAGTCTCTGCATCGCAGGGTTGTGGAGGTCTCAAGATAATAAGTACAGTCAGTCCCGCTCACGGGCCCATCCCCGTTGTTGCGGCGGTATGACCTTGGGGTCATCCATCTGGTCCTTCAAGGAAGGCTATCTATCGGGGGCAGATTGTTGAAAAGAACTTGCTCTTCTCCACGAATTTTGCCCATTCTGTGCTCCTCTCCCCTAAGTATTATAAACAAACTGTACTAGGCGAATGCCTAGGCAGTAGCCGATTTTTCCCCAGCTTCTTACAAAAGAAAATATGTTGTGGTGTTTTTTTCTCACCATAGCTGCAGTGATCATTTGAGTCTGTGTGCCCAAAGCGTTCATGGTATCTGGCAAAGTCGCCATGTCCAGATCTGGCTGCTAGAAGTCTGTGTAAAGTACTCCTCTTAAAAGATATAAGGTCTCTTTCAGTTACTGCATGTGAGTATACTTCTTGATACCTAGATTCTGATTGGTCTTTCCACCATTGGTTGAACTCTTTCTTGTCCTGTTTTTTGAGATCTCTCTTGACCCAAGAGATTGTAGGAAGATTTGTTGTGTCTGTTTCTAGCATGGCACCCTCTTTTGTTAGTGTGTCGGCAGCTTCGTTGCCATCAATATCTCTGTGTCCAGGAATCCATTTGACGGTCACTCCAGGAGTGTGTGCTGTGGCAAGTTCTTGAAATCGTAGAAAAATGTTTTGTGATGTCTTGGGTGGAGTCCCATTGAGCCAATCTATCACTGACGTGTTGTCCAGACAGACATATAGCTGTTTTCCGTGTCCAATTGCCCTGGCTGCTGTAAGACCTTGGAGAGCACCATGGACTTCAGCATCTATTATTTCTGCTTGGAGAAGTCTGCCCTTTCCCCGGTATACTTCTTGTGTAGTGCCACCTTTCCTGATGGTATAACCCCATCCAGTGTGGGTTGTGCCTTGGTCGTCCAACTGTGATCCATCTGAATAGATGACAAGGTCAGTGTTCATATTTCTTTCCTGTAGCCATTACTTGAAGAGCTTTATTTCTTTGTCTTTGTCTTTACGGATTAGGGGCTTCTTCCATAATGGCCTAGTAAGTATTGGTCTCTGGAAATCAGGGACTAACTGGAAGCTCCTTTATAGCCTTATTAGATTTTTGCGAGCTTGTATTTGGAGCCTGCCAACAAAAGGGTGTCTCTGGTCTATTCGTCCTAGTCGGAGGCCGTGACGTCGTCTTATTGACTCTGCAAGAACTCTTGTTGGGGGAATCTACGATTCAAAGTGTAGGATATGTCCAGGGTGTGTTTTTTAGACTGGCAAGATAGCCCTGATCGCTGTTCGTAGTATGGCATCTATTGTTCCAAGAAGCCCCTTAATGCGACATGCTGATGTACCACCTAAGCTCCCGACTTTCTCGATTCCTGGGTACCAGGCCTCCAGGCCATGTGTAAGAATAGGAATAACACAAGCTTTCACAGCCCTCTTGGTTGACTTTACTGGAAGTCCTTTGACTGTGTTGCATAGTCCTCGAAGGTGATTTGCTACCTTATTAGCTTTCTTGGCCCAGTAGGAAACGTGATCTTTGAAGTTTAGTTTTCTATCCAGGAAGACACCCAGCCATCGTATGGAGTCCTTTGCTGTTTTGTTCATTGTCCCGTGGCGGACTGGAGGGTTGTCTGAGTTCTTTTTCCTTGAGAAGTGCATAATCTCAGTTTTGTCAGGGTCAAATTCAATAGCGTTGTTATGTTCCTATTGACTGAGCAAGTAAAGATTTTCAGAAGCCTCTGTAGCTGTTTCTTTAAGGTTCTTTTTAATGCAGAGAGTCGCTAGGTCGTCTGTATATTCAAAGCGTCTCTTTTTCATACCAAGTTGGGCACAAATTGGCTCTATATACAGCATATAAAGGATTGGAAAGGCCAGTAAGCCTTGTGATAGCCCATAAGTGAAAGCTTTTATATCAGTCACAATACCTTCAAACCAAACCCTTGCGGACCGCTCGGACATGAATGACTGGACCCATCTTATGAGAAAACCCGGCCAGCCCTGTTCTCTCATGCGAACCACCAGCCGTCCCATTAGGGCAGCATCAAAGGCCCCTTTCACATCTGACGTGACTACTGTTGCAACGAGGCCTTGGTCAAGGGCCTGCTCAATATTGTGTATGAGTGCAGCTACCAGGTCAGTGGCAGAGCGCTTTGGTAGAGCTCCAAAATGTTATGGAGCTAGAATTCCAAGTTTGATAACAAACCAGGTAATTTTTTCTGTGATGAGTCGTTCTAGGCCTTTGCCAAGACACGATAGTAGCGATATTGGCCTGTAGGCCCTGGGATTGGAATAGTCTTTCTTTCCTGGTTTTGGGATTATTACCATCTCAGCTATTTTGAATGGTTTAGGGTGGTATCCAATCTGTAGACAGGTCTGGAAAAGGGCTCTGATATGTTCCCTAATGACTGGCCAGCAAGCTTTCAGAATCCGTACTGTGAGGGTGTCTACTCCCGGGGAATTGCTCTTGGTCCCTATAGTGGACCCTTCAGTCTCTTCTAGTCCGACATGGTATTCAAGGGGGATGTGTGGCTTGGGTTGTGTGATCTGAGCGGACCAGGGGTCGATGATATCGTTATCTGGGGTACTTCGTTCAAGTATGGCTGAGCATAACGTATTTGTCTTGCTCTTTTGTGACTCAGATATTTGATCTCTTATAATGATTAGGGGGGAACACAATCCTACAAATAGCTTGTGCCAAAAAACAATTCTGTACAGGTCCTTTGGTTCAATCGCTAAATCAATTAGAGTTTGCCAGTACTCTCTCCTAGCTTTCTGAACCATGCGACAAAAGTCCTGTCGGGCTGAATTCTGCCCTTCTTGGTTTGTGGTCTATTTAGAAAGGGCCCTGTATGTCTGAATAACTGCTTTGTAGTTATCATTCCACCAAGCAGTGGGCCTAGATTGACGGGGCTTCTTGCCCACTGTCCTGATACAGCCTTGGACATATTGATCAAGCTTTGTGTAAAGGCATCTACCTGGCCAGGGGATACACCCACCCGGGGGAGTTCATGGATCCTGGTTTGGACATTGTCTGCAAGCTCTTATAATTTATCGTCCGGTACTATCCAATGATTGGTCTTGGGGACTCAGTCTAGATCTCCCTAAATTGGGACAACTATTCGTAATGTCTCATGATCTGAAGTGCACTGGAGTGCATCATTCACTGAGACTTCGGCCATGGGGACATCTGAGAACACCAGATCTAGTACATTTCTGTCATCATGTATTGGGACATCTGGTTCAGAAATCAGATCCAGTCCGTGGTCTGCCATAGTCTGTGCAAGTATGACACCACCATGATATCCTGGATTGCTCGAGTCCCAGGATGTGTCGCCAGCATTGAAATCTCCAGCTATAACGCAGCCAAAAGGTGGAGTCCATACTTCCAGAATGTCATCCACTTCCTGTGGGTTGTCACATGGCCGGTAGACACTGGCAAATGTAATGCCTCTTGACCCAGGTGATGTCTCGTGTAACATAGGGCCGAAGTTGATCCGCTTAAAGGTGTTTTCTCACATAGATGAGAGATCTGGGCCGTGTACTGTCGCTGTCCCAAGAATCCACTGGGGAGTATATATCGTAATTGGGGTGTGTCTTTACTCTCATTCTTTTTTCTGGTAGTATGCCAACCCAGGGCTCTTGCATCAGAATGATGTCTGCTTGTTCTCCTTTGTAGTCAGCCAGGTTGATGGCTAACTCTGTAGGGCCTGCACTCTTTTGTCCTCTTGCTGTATTCACAGAATGGATGACTAGATGCCCGTGTTGATGTGTTTCGTTTGATGTACCTAACATTGACTGACAACAATGGTATCGGCATCTCTGGGATGAGTTGTATCTGTTGTGTCGATTTGCATTGTGGTGTCTTTGCTATTGTTACTAGGTGTTGACCCAGCTTGGTTTCTGCCTGCTTCGTTGAAGGCCTTGGATCTGGCTCTTTCTCCGGCTAGCCTTATTTCCTGGATTTGCTCCCATGTGTGCTTATGGATGGTACCTTTCACAACCTTGGGGCGGGCAGGGCATTTGTCGAAGTTGGCAGCATGAGGTCCTTTGCAGTTGACACACTTTGGGATTGGTTTTTCGCACTCTCCCTGGTGTACTGTGTTGGCGCAGTGTACACATACTTGCTTTTCGCATCGGTAATTCCTACCATGGTATCTGAAGCAGCTTGCACACTGGTGAACCTTAGGGGTGTGTTGAATATGCCTTGAGGTCATTGAGTGGGCAAAAAGCGTGAATGGTTTCCTTGCTGCACTGGGCAGAGAGATTATCCATGTAGTTTCTGGATCAGAATCAATCGTGTTCTTTGAGAGTATGCACCTCAGAGGTCTGTCGCCTGTTTGGGCTTCAACTTTATCAGCAACAACAGTGTCGGTAATATCGATTGTGAACCCTTCTGCACTGATGACCTTTCTTGGGCATCCATTGACCTTGTAATGATGCCAGACTGTGTGGGTCTCAATCTTTTGTGCCTTAAGAATGTCGGCAATTTCTTCTTGGAAAGCCAGAAACTTAGCCTGAGTTGGCTTGTCCCTTGGGTGTAAGGTAAAACCAGAAGGACACCGTGTCACTTCTCTAAGCTCCTGAGGGTGGAGCTTAAGTCTTCTGTTCAGTGTAGACTTGATTCCATAAGGCTCTAAGTGGCTATTATCCATGCGGACAAAGACCCGGAAATCATCCTGCTTCTTTTTCAGTTGGTTGGTAGTGATAAGGGCGCCAGGCTGTGTTTTCTTCATGGTAGTGTTGACTGTCCATGGATGCTGTCGTTGGCCAGAGGAGACAGCTTGGGCGAAGGTCATGGTGGGCTTCCCTATCCCTATCCCGCCAGGAGTGGTCTTTCTTTTGGGCAGATCTCGGGTTTCCAGCCACTCGTTCAGGCATTTGGAGAAGAAAGCACTGAACTCCTTGGCATGAGAGTATAGTTCGGTTCCAGCTTTTTCCAGTGTCTTATCGACTGCTGCAGCACACTCTTGAAACATTGTCATCCTGGCTTCATAGAGATGCTTGTCTTTAGCCAGTATTTTGGCTACTTGGTCCTGGCACTTTGAGGAAGAGACCTTGTTCCCTGTATCGCCTCCAATGGCTTAGTCTGTAGAGATTTCGTTTGATTGAGGTACTTCCATATCAATGATGCTGCTAGTATTAATATTTCGGGATTTTCCTTTCAGAGGGGAAACAATGGTGAAGTCAGCCTCAGAGACCTGTGACGGGCTGCTGTTGATGTCGTCGAGCAGTGCCTGGCGGAGCTTGCTTGGGGTTGCCGGGCCATATGTTCTTTTAGGGACCAGGGATTTGAGCACGCCGCCAGTAGTCGTCTTTGGGACGGCCACTGGCGTATTTGGGGGCCTATCGTGAAGGGGTGCCATCCAGCTTGTGAGAAAAATTTTCTGCGCCTTGGCAAGGATAGTCAGGTACTGAAATAAATGCCTGTTTTAGTGCAGATATAGAGGTTGCGCCCTAACAGCGGGGCGCCAAGAAAAATAGTTGTTTTTGGTAAGAGTGTTTGCATCAAGAGGTTGGAAGACTTGAGAGACGACTACTGTAGAAGACGGCAACAGCCTTTAATATAGGGCAGCTGCGTGTGACAGGTGAACACGTCTCTGCCGGTTATCCTGTAGGATTATTTATTCTGCCAGACAAGCTTATGCTAGAAGGCCAGTCGCATCAGTTCCACATTGCATCTGCCATCCATCTCTGGAGCTTTACATCATAAATCCATCCAACTCAGGAGCGCTGCGTTTTAGCTTCATCCATCTACGTCAGTTTCATTGCCTCCTCAAGTTAGTTCCTGACCGGGCCCATAGTCTTAGAATAGATCTCGCCATCGCCGAGAGTTCCTTCGAGCTGTGCCTCTGGAATGACCCACGATGGTGCGTGGATACGACCATTCCTTCGCCAACGCCGAAGCCTATCATTAGAAACCACGGCCAAATACTCCGCGCCACCGCCAGCCGGGACAGGGCTCCATTGCTGCAACATGAATATGGTGAACTCAGTCTCTAATTACGTGTGTCGCCAAGTCTTCGCTCCCATATGTGGGTTAACATGAAATTTCGGACGCGCGATACGAAAAGTCTGTACTAAGATGCTTTAAGCGCCTCGAGTTAAGTGTTCTAGGCCGAAACACCTGTTCTTAGAAGTTGGAAGTTGGAATTAGCTTGTATATTGTACCAGAGAGATGTTTCCCGGATTCGGCCTTGGACCGATAATATCGGCACATTGAGTAAGCGGCGGACTGCTCCAGGAACGTCAAGCGATGCGCGCTCTCATACATAGGGTCTTCTGGCGACTGTATTAACCACTGCTCTCTACCTAGGCAACACTTCAATTTTGGGGTGGACGCCTCTACAACTCTGCAAGTAGATGGAATCATACCATTTTGTGGCAGTCTCCTGGATGTTGTTGCCGTCCTCCCCCCTTTACCTCTCTTCTCGTGATATAACCACTAGGATGTATTGGACCTCATTCGAAGCCTTGACGCTATTCGGCTGGTGTCTCGGCCGTAGGAGTCCCGCCGCTTAGATGCCCTCCAGATCGCGGTCGCGACTTGATCTGCGGGTAAATCTAACGACATGGACGCATTCTCACTAAAGGGTGGACACAGCCATCTTGGACCAGAAGCCAGCTCGAGCGCAAATCCTCACCAATTACGATTACACATAGCCAATAACTGAGAGAGGAAGTCTTCCCGATTAATCAAAAGATATTTGGGGAGTTTGCAAGCACGCACCGTCGTCTTGAGCCCAGGTTTGACACAGGATGAACAGGGGACCTTCAATGCTCGATCAACCGCGACGATGTTTCCAGCCTACCCAACTGCACCACATGCAGTTTCAGTGAGGTATTCTTAAATTAATGGACATCAAACACGCTCTTCCACGCAAGGAACGTTCTGCTACCGCGTGCCGCACTTATGCAGTCGATTTCTGGACGGGTCTATCAGTGGCGTGTCTGTGTACTACTTCCCCGAAAAGGTCACAACTTCGCAGCCGCTGAGTCTCTGCCTTATTCACGAAACGCTGAACACAACCCTCGCTGCCCCAGGAGCCTCGCATGCCTGTGAGACGTGTCGGCTCCGACGCAAGAGAAACAGTTGCCTGAGAATACTCGAGCGGTAAAGATCCGGTAGGTGATGCTGGAAGTCCTTTGGGACGCCGGCGAGTCAACGACCTTGCACGATGGCATGAGGCCGGCTCATATCCTATCAATTGAGCACTGACGACACGTAAATCCACACGTGCTCGACTCAAGTCCCAAGCGAAGACGGATGGTGGCTGCTACTTACGCGATGTCCCTAGTACTGACCATAGCAAGCGTGACGAGTACGTCTGGGGACGAAAAGGGGATGCTCTCCAGCCTGGCAGAGAGCTATGAACTGGACTGACTATTTTGCCACCAATTGCACCAAGCTGGCCACTTCGCGGTATGGCATGTTTTCTTTGCACCGTTGATGAGTAAATTCTTGCATGTGAATATCGCAGTTTGGTATAAAGGCAGTCTGACGCTGACGGTGTCTTGGAGATGAACACGCTGCCTGGAATGACCACTGTAATGCTCATGTGATCCAAACAGCAGTATGATTGATTCCCTCGGTCGAATCGGTGGCTACCTAGGTACCTGGAGGCGGTAGGCAAGGAGAACCGAAGGCGAGCGGAAAGTCGTCCAGGTGGTTCAAAGCCAATACCGAATAGCAGCTCTTGTGTCATTCATCCTCTTGTCGAGTGGCTCAAGGAGGGTTCCCGGGTACGATGTTCATAGAGCTTGTCGCTATATACGGTAAATTAGTTCTTGCAGGTGCAGAATCAGAATGATGGAGGATGATATGCTTGGTACCTCGTCCAAAGAGGATGATCTCTTCCGAAGAACTCCTTTCATGGAAATCTTCTTGCTGTCTGTCGCCAGTTGGTGCCCTCAACGGGGCCCAATGACAGCCTTCACCGACATCAACCCGTTACCTTCGACACACTCATCTTTGTACCTAGGTGATAGTGTGTATGTGGTAGCACTACCACCCCCTTCTTTGCGTGTCAGGGTTACATCGTTTAGATTTTCTCATTCCCCTATGCCTGCGTATCACATTCTGTACCATTCTCGTGGGACTGATGGATCCAATCTTAACGAACCGACTTGAGATTGCGACTCATAGGCATCGGTGGCTTACCCCTATTCCTAAGAAACAATGGAAAGTCATCAACGGACAACGAATAGATGCTGCCGACTGGCAAGACAGCCCAGGCGAAGTCTCTTTGTCTGCACCAGCCGTCGATGACTTAGAGTAAGGTACTGTTAGGTTTGGTTCAGGGGATGCTCATCAGATGTTACCTACCTACCTTATGAATCTTGGGCGAGGCACAGGTGATGGAATGGATGTCACATGTGGAACTGTCCAGTAGGCTCGTTAGCGCTGTAGTGGAGGCTCCAGTGGACCTCGCCCGCTAACGAACAGCCCGTGTCGGCAATCAGCACGCTAAGCGTGCAGTACAATGCGCCCGCAGTGGGTAAGGGCGTCTCCCCGTCCCCCGGGTTGACCTTGTTGATGTTGACATGCCCGCGAGCTAAGCTCACAATGATCTGTCAAGTGCCTCCTCACAACCTCGCATCCACGAGCACACGAGCACCGCAAACGAGGCAGTCTTGCTGGCAGACTTTGCCGACATCCATGACCGCCTGGTCTGAAACGTGAGGGAGCCGGTGCCATAGCTCGCCAAGATGAACGAGAAGCGCCCAGCCGCGGGTCAGATAACTGGCCAGAGAACCACGGGCATTCCAAAGCCCTCGTCCCGTCTCCCTTTGCCGAGATCAAGCATACCAATGCCTTCTGCCTCTGCTGCTCCCCGTTCTATACAACCAGCCGAAACCCCACGTGTCTCGACCCAATCACTAGCCGCCAGTACCATACGAAACCCTCGCTTACGCACGTCTTCTTCAAGGGAACAGCTCAATACTTCATCCAGCCTACGTCAGTCGCAGAGATCGAACGCGCCTCCTGTCAGTTCCCAGTCCGCTCTTCGAAATTCACGGACTAGGAGTCGGAGCACGTCACGCGGGTTGCAAACAAGCAGCTTGCAGACACACCAAGAGGCTGACCATGTCCCTCCCACGAGGCCCTTGGTCCCCAGAAGACGCCCATCTGTACAGTTCGTCCAGCCTGCTCAAGAGGTTTCGATAGAGGAGGACATTCCACCTACGCAGGAAGGCGAAGACGACCAAGCCACGGCACTTCCGCCATTGCCCAATTCTCCCGAGGAAGGCCTTACTTTCGAAGCCCTGTTATCCCGACCGAAGAAATCCCGGCTGTCACTCGCAGAGAGGACTATCGAGACGCTGTCACAACTTCCTTCCTCCCCGGCCCCCAAGCGACGTGGTAGCAACATGTTCGATTCAGATGGTTTCAGAAGGCCGCAGTCGAAAGGAAGCACAGAGTCACGGCCAGGATCAAGTTATCAGTCAGATGGCCCGGGCTCGCGGGCAAGATCGTTGAGCCGTCCTGGATCGTCGTTGAACCGTCCTGGGTCGTCGTTAAGCCGGCCTGGATCGAGCTCCGGCCCATATGACAGCCTCTATAATGACTTTAGGGCCTCTACAAACACCTACAAGCCGCCACTGACCACTGTTTATGGCACCCCTTCCAGGGGAATCTCGGGAGTTGGCTCCCTGACGACCCCTGTTGGCAAGTCCACACCAAAATTCACACCACGATCTACTTTGAGCAAGATGCCATCTTGGACTTCATTATCAGCTTCCGTTGGACCCGGTACACCGAGTCCAGAGAAGTATGCTCAGGCCTTCTTGCCAAGGTATGGTTCCAAAACAATAGCTCCCCGGTCTTTGAAGCCGCGAGCCTCGATGAACAGGCTCTTCAAGAAACCGTCCATGCCATCTCTCGATAAACCGACAGCTGCCACCAAAGTCCCCGGCAGCCACCCACGCAAGGTTTCCCTTGCCTCTGCCAAGTCATTCAGTACATCTGGCGAAGGCCGAAACCTATCAAGCGCCTCTACCGTGTCGACAACCCCAACCGTTGACTCGGTCGATGACGCGCCCTCTTCTTCAAGTCTCAAGTCGTCTGCAGCACTGCGGGAGCAGATAGCAAAAGCAAAGGCTTCAAAACGGGCCGTTAGCCGACAAGTATCGGGGGCCACGGCGACAGAAGCTGAGGCTTCCGTTGTGCCCACTGATAACACCTTTGATTTCGGTTTGTCTGATGATCCGTTTGGTCAGCACAGTTTTGAAAGCTCAAACCGCAAAGTTATGCAGTCTCGGATCAACACGGCACGGACTACTGGCAGGCTGAACATCGCTGCCATGGGTCTGAAAGAGATCCCCGAGGATGTGCTGAATATGTATGATATGGAATCCATCGGTCGAGCCAATGGTTCCTGGGCCGAAAGTGTGGACTTGAGCCGCTTTGTGGCGGCGGATAATGAACTCGAGACAATTGATGATGCGATCTTCCCGGACATCGACCCCAATGATTTTGAAGAGGAGGACGACAGAGGCCGGATATTCTTGGGTCTGGAGTCTGCAGACCTTCATAATAACATGCTAATCGCGCTACCCATGGGGCTGAGACGTCTACAACAGCTCACCTTATTGAATTTGGTAAGACTCCGATCGTAGGATTGTGGTACATCACGGACCTGGCTGACATAATAGCAGGCGTCAAACAAGCTGACAAATAATTGTCTTGAAGTTATTTCGCAGTGCACTGCCTTGCGAGACCTCAAGCTAGGAAATAACTTACTCTATGGTGCGCTGGAGGATTGTTTCGTGCTCGAAAATCTGGAGATACTCGATGTCCACGGAAACAACCTCTCGGCGCTGCCTTCTGGAATCGGTAACATGAAGAGGCTTCGCATTCTGAACCTCGACGAGAATGCTTTTGAATCGTTACCGTTTGACCAACTTTCAAAGTTGCCACTGACAGAGCTGCTGGTTCGGAAGAATAAACTCAGCGGGACATTGATCGAGTCTGGAGTCCAGAGCCTTCCCCAACTTCAGCTGTTAGACTGCTCGAGTAATCAGCTCACTTACCTAGTGTCTCCCGATGTGGCCCAACCACTGAGCTTGCCTTCGTTGCACCAACTGACGGTATCGATGAATCGGTTAAAGTCCCTCCCGGACATGAGTTCCTGGACCAGTATACTGACGATCAATGCCGAGGACAACAGCATCGCTGCTTTACCAGATGGCTTCACGACGTGTGAGACGCTCAGACACGCCGGATTCTCCAGTAACGACATCCGAACAATACCTCCGGATATTGCCCACATGGATGGACTGGCAATGCTACGACTCACTGGAAACCCTCTGCGAGACAAGAAGTTCACGTCACTTACTACCGAAGAGCTGAAGGATGCTTTGGCGGCGAGGCTACAGCCCTTGCCAGCCCACGACATAAATGGCGCGGCAGAGCACTCGGGGAACGGGCCCAACCGTGCCAGAGCAGCCAGCTCTTCAGTGACTAATTCCTTGGGGAGGATCACCAATTCAGTAGGTCTGGAGGAGGATGGTGACGGTGATGACGACGATGGCCGTTCAGACTACGATGACTTTGCCACGCCGCCAACCTCGGCTCCCCAGTCGCCGGCTCGATCGCGGTCCCAGACGCTGTCAAGTCAAACGTGGCCCATGAAACCGGGTGGTGTCCTTGATCGATCTAATACGCAGTCGTCGTCGCTGCACCCAGTCGTTTGCTCCAAAATTGCGGCTGCCCACACTGTGCGCGAAGTGCGGCTCCAACACAATACGTTTACGCAGTTCCCGAATTCACTGTCGTTCTTCGCCGACACGATCACGTCGCTATGCATGTCGCACAACCAACTGACGGGAGAGAGCTGGTTGACGGAGCAGATGGATCTCACGGCGTTACGGGAGCTGCATCTACAGTCCAACTTCTGCACGAGCCTGACGCCCCTGACGACGTATCTGTGTGCGCCCAACCTAGAGAGACTTGATGTGTCGTTCAACCGGATCGTGCGGGTACCAGCTCTGCGAGACTTCTTCCCGAGCCTAACGGTCCTTCTGATATCTAATAACCGGCTGGAGGAGCTCGACCCGGACTCGGTGCAGGGAATGAAGATTGTCGACGCCAGCAACAACGAATTGGCACACCTCAACCCTCGACTTGGGCTGCAGAGCCTAGAGAGGTTGGACGTGATGGGAAACCGCTTCCGAGTTCCTAGGTGGAACGTTCTTGAGCGTGGGACCGAGGCGACTCTTCGATGGCTGAGAGGGCGTGTCCCCGTTGCCGAGATGGCGGAATGGCGAGCAAAGGCGGGCAGGGGTGAGTCGGAATCAGCTGGCGAAGTCGACTAATATTGGCGTGTCGGGTACTTCCTATCATGGTGTTCGTGGTGTCAAAAATCGTGGTTCTTTGCTGGCGTACTATGGAGATATATATAGCTGTCTACGACACGGGATTGTCGGATTTCAAGGGCATATGGGTGTTGAGTCGATTCAAGATGCCGGGGAGACAAGCGTTGGAACGACAGGCGCATGCGGCGTACATTGTACGATAACGTCCCAACTACGCGGCGGACACGCCTCTGTGAATACCTATGTATAATTTGATACCACATATCTGTACACGTGTTTCGCATCTGGGGGGAGAGAAGGCACTGGTATGTGAGATGCGCAAGATGCGCAAGATGCGCAATATGTCCCTAGTCTTTCTCGGGTGGAAACGCACGTCGTGCCAGCCACGCGTTTTATGGGATAATGGGGCCATGTGGCTGGGCTTAGTGGGACAGGGCCAGCAGCGCCAGCTCAGCCAGCCGGCCCAGAAGCCAGCCTTCCCCATTTCCAGCTCCACTGTCCACCTCAGGTACCTGCTGCCGCAGCCGGTCGCTTGGTGGGCTCGCACAGCAACCGCTCTTTTCTCCATCATCATCATCATCCTCCTCCGATCACCCACTTCGTTCGGCCTGCCGCTCTCGATTGCGATTGCGATACTTTGCGATACCTTCACCCGCCTGGATGCGACCATCTATCTCGCCGGCGCTCTTTCTATCTCCACCTCTCTCACCTTCCCACTCTCCTCGCGCTCTCCGCACCTCCGACAGTCTGCGAATCCCCTCTTCGTTACCGCTACCGGCTGCTATCAACAGCTCGTTTGCGTGCCACGACACCTTGTGGGCCGCTCGACAATCACGACAATCAACGCGCGCTCCTCTTTGCTTAGGGTTAAACATGTCTGCCGATATTGAGATGCCCGCATCGCGACCCAACGGCGTGGTCGACACCGATCGTGACCACGACCACGTACCTTCGACCCCACCTGCAGAAGCAGCCAACCGCCATGCATCATCACAGCAGTCCATTCCCTCTACCGAAGGTCCGGCCTCGCCTCTCGACCCCTCTGCTTCCTTCAAGTCTGACCTCAACGACGACCGCAACTCGCCTCGCATCATTCCTTCGTCCTTGACCCCGCCTCCGTCATCCCAGGTGCCCAAGCCCAACGCTGCCTCCGGGATGCCTCCAGGCTACATCACCAGCCAGCGAGCCAACATGTTCTCTCCGCCCACCACCACGCTCCGACGTCATGGCCGTGACAATACCAACGCCGACGAATATCTCGCACCTACTTCAGACCAGCTTGCTGATGCCTCGGCCGACCAGCTTCGCACAATGGTTGCGTCCTGCGTCGCAGAAAATGCCAGGCTCAAGACGGAAACTGCCCATCATAGGTTACAGTATAGGATGATGAGCATCCAGGCCACAGAAGAAGCGAACAGGGCTGCCGTCGAACTCGCCATGGCTGACCGATCGGTCGACTTTTACCGAGAGAGCCTGTTTGCCCTTCAGGCTCGTCGTGAACTCAACTCTCCTGTAGACACCATTCAGATCAAGTATCGCGAACTTCAGAACGTGCACGAGGCCGCCCGGAAGAAGATCGAGACGCTAGAGCGGCGACTGAAGGCATCAACCAAAGTTATCCGACAACGGGCAGAAGAGATTGACAGCTTGGTCGATGACCGCGACATGCTTCTAACCCGAATCCGCGAAAACCGGGAGCATTTCCACATGCTTTGCAGCCCCGGTTTTGCGTTCCACGGTGTCTTGACGCCCAAGACCCCAACCACAGCCTCACCTCAGCAGTACCGAGGTACGCCTCGGCAGACACCAAAACCCCTGGGTCGGGGTGCTTACCATGGGCCTGATCCCACCAACATTGGCCTCTTGCTGGAAGCTATGAATCAGAATGAGAACAACAGCGCACCCTCAACCCCACTGACGAGTAGCCGTCCTGCGCCTCGCATGCCTCCCAGACACACCCGCGGCGTCCAATCCATGTCCTCCCTTCCCACCACGCCGAGTTCACGCCCCTCTGGTATTCACACCGGTCTGCTGCCATCGGTTGATCTTGTGCCTCGCACGGAGCCACCACGCTTTGTAGGCAGTGGTCGATATGGTCCCGAGACACCGATGCAGAAGCGAAATCACAAGAGCCGAGAAAGCACCATCTCGGCCGATGACAATGAGGAACTTGCCCGCGCTGCTGTCGCAGCGGCCACAACTTCGATCATATCTCAGAGTTCACATGCGTCGCAGCGTCGCGAAGCAGGTGAGGAGGAGGTGTATGAGAGCCAAGCTAGTCAGGCCGCATCTGAGTTGCTACGCCGTGATCCCCGCGAGAGCTTCGAAGTGGCGAGCTCTGTGGGGTCTCGAGACGGCACGCCAGCTCCAGCCGAGAAGACTGCGAAACTTCAGTCCAAGCTATTCGCGGGCTTGAACAAGGCGGGTCTGGCTTCGGAGAAGCGAAAGTTCAGCGGAGGACTACAGGAAGCAGAGGAGGTGCAAAGAGGACGCTTCACCAGCCCAACGAAGAAAATGAAGTTTGGAGCGGACGGAGAAGCAACCAACCACCGGGTCGGCCTCGGGATTCGATATGGCCATGGCCAGGGACGTTGAAGACGTGTCTCACTCACCATGCCCTCTGGGACTTGAAGACCCAGTTTAACGATTTACCACGATAGAAGCGCATGAGTTTGATGAGATTTCGGAGGCTTTTAGCATGACTGAAGTTCAGGATCGGTCTTGAGCTGTATACCAGATACCCCTTTCTGCTGTCGGTTGCTAGCATGGTTGCTTATCACGGGGCCGCTGGACTCTCTCCTCATATGTGGACAGAGTGCCATTGGTCTCATCTCTAGCCATTTTGGGCATCGGCGTTTTGCGAGGTAGATAAGATTGACTCGACGAACCAAGATGGTTGGTTCCATGTCGTCGACCAGCATCAGTGTAGACTTGATTCCTTGTGAACTTCGAACCTTGTAGTTGGCGTGACATGAGCACCACGGTTACATGACTCGAGCCAACTCGCCCACCTAATACCACCTGTATCGACGACACGGCTGTCTGACACCTGGTTTGGCAGGTGGCGGCATCAGGTACCTGCCGACATCAACTACCTGGGGAAGTTAGTTGGACCGGCACGCGGACGGGGCGACAGGGCGACAGGGCGACGGGGCCCAGCGGGCGGATGTGCATTTATCCCCCGCAATCGGAACCCCCAGCCGGCAATGTACATACAAACATGCAAACATGACGCCCGACGACCCGTGCGTTTGCCTCTTCTGTGGTATTTTAGGGTGTATTTCTTCTTCTTCGCCCCTGTAACTGTCCTTTTGCCTTTACTCTATACGAATTGCCGAAGCAGCTTGATCTCGAGCTCTGTCGCTCTCTGTTTCGCAGCCGGTCTCTCTTCTCCCCCAAAGCCCTTCCTCCACGAAAAGCCGACAACGCCCCGACCACCATGGCCCTCCCCAAAGGCCTCTCGGCCGTCCTGGCCAAGGCCCCCTCCGACACGGTCATCCTCTCGGCCCTGCGCACGCCCATCTGCCGCGCTTACAAGGGCCAGCTGAAGGACGCCTACCCAGAGGAGCTGCTGTCGGTGGTGCTGCGCGCGACCCTCGACGCGAACCCGGACCTGGACCCCAAGCACATCGACGACGTGGCCGTCGGCGTCGTGCTGTCGGAGCTGGGCGGCAGCAAAGCCGCCCGCATGGCCATGAACCACGTCGGCTTCCCCAACTCGACGTCGCTGTACACGGTCAACCGCGCCTGCAGCAGCAGCCTGCAGAGCGTCGCGGCCATCTCGGCGCAGATCCGCACGGGCATGATTAGTGGTGGCATCGCGGCCGGCATGGAGAGCATGACGCGGAACTACGGGAGCAGGGCCATACCGGAGGACCTGTGGCCAGAACTCAAAGAGAGCGGCTCCAAGGACGCGCGCGACTGCATCATGCCAATGGGGCTGACGAGCGAGAACGTGGCGGCGCGGTATGGTGTGGGCAGGAGGGAACAGGACGAGTTCGCCGTCGAGTCGCACCGCCGGGCCGCGAAGGCGCAGGCCGACGGCTCGTTCAAGCAGGAGATCGTCCCCGTCAAGACAAGGTTCCAGGAGGTCGACAAGCAGGGCAACAACGTCGGGGAGGAGCGGCTCATCACGGCCACGCAGGACGACGGGATCCGCGCGAACGCGTCGCTCGAGGGGCTCGCGAAGCTGAAGCCGGCCTTCAAGGGCGACGGCGCGAGCACGGCGGGCAATTCCAGCCAGGTCAGCGACGGGGCCGCGGCCACGCTGCTGATGCGGAGGTCTACGGCCACGGAGCTGGGGCTTAGTGGGAGTATCATCGGCAAGTTCGTCGGCGCCGCGACGGTAGGCTGCGCGCCGGACGAGATGGGCGTCGGGCCCGCGCTGGCGATCCCGAAGCTGCTGGGCGGGTTCGGGTTAGAGACGAAAGACGTGGATCGCTGGGAGATCAACGAGGCGTTTGCGAGCCAGGCTATCTACTGCGTGCGCGAGCTGGGACTGCAGGCGGCGTGGGAGGAGGGGCGGGTCAACCCGGATGGGGGCGCGATTGCGCTGGGGCATCCGCTGGGGGCTACGGGGGCGAGGATGACTGCTACGACTTTGCATGGCCTGGGCAGGACGGGCGGGGAGGTGGGTGTGGTTAGTATGTGTGTGGGCACGGGGATGGGGATGGCTGGGCTGTTTGTGAGGGAGTAGCGAGGGTAGACTCATGTATATAGCGAAGCGCAGATGATGAAGAAATAAATTCTTGTTGTACTTTCTTGGCAGTTATGGGCCCCCGCCTCATGTCGATGATCTTTTCAGGGTGGTTGTCCTGCCTTGGGAACTTGGTGAGTGCCATGTCTCGGGAGATGTGAGTAGTGGGATGCAGGCAGCATATGCTCAAGGGATGGCACATGCCCCCCATGATTCTGGACGACAGCATCGACGACACTCTCAGAGTGGAGTTTCAAATCTTGCGATGCTTCGTTTGATACATTCACGTTGCTCGAGAAGCAGTCATAGTGGTCTACATCCATAAAGGTGGGGGACAAACGAGGTCAGGGGGGGAGCCTTGACCGTTTCCGGTGGGAGGCTCTTCTCAAAGATATGTTAGACAATCCACTTGCGAGCCCAATTGGAGAGTCTGAGAGAGACACCAAAGCGAATTATATTTCGTGGCGTTCAAATACGTCCTTCGGAGTGCTTACGCTTACGCTTACGCTTACGAGGCATCGATGTTCTGTTCCGAGACCTCACGACCAGTTGCCTGACCTCCGGTGATCGACCGCTCTACGGACACGGCGTACGCGGGATATCACCACTTCGCGACCAGCCCACCCGCCTTCCGAACCCGCTCGTTCGTCCAGTCCCGTCCCGTCTCGTCCACCAGAAAGCAAGGAACGATGCTCCTCCTCTTCCTCCTCACCACCTCCCTCGTCTGGACCACCGTACTCACCTTCTTCATCGTGCGCGACTACCGACTCCTCCTCCACGTGGCGCGCTGGTCCACATCCATCTACCTAATCGTTTTCGGCATATTCGCCGCAGAAGTGTTACGCGAGGGCCTCGTCGTCAACGGCCACGCCCCGCTACACTGGGACGTGCGCATCGCCTGGACCTCGTGGTTCGTGCTGGTCGCGTGCTCGGTGTTCGACTGGCGCTTTTTAGTCCCCGCCGTCGTGTGCCCGGTTTGGTTCTTGAGCTTTCCGGAGGTGAGGACGCTGCTGAATTATGGGCTGGTACACCCATCGAATGTTCATACGAAAAAAACACGGCGGTCTTGGTGCCAGGAAATTCATGAGGACAGGTCTTGCTCGTGTCGGAGCTGCCTCTGCTTGTGATTGCTCGTCCATGAACGTCGCATCTGAAGTCCCACGTACTATATACCGGGAGATCAGAGCTGTGCTGCTTTCACTGTGGGAATATACCATTCGGAAACTGGGGACGTTGCTAGAAGCAGCAGTTCCACGTTATGGACATCGGCTTGTTTACAGCAGAAATATACTTCCAAGGGATGCTGGGCATTTCGGCAAAGTCGGCTTGAAGGGCCCGCTGGGCAAGTTGAGATGGGAGGACTATGGGAAGTTGGAGTGAAATATCACCCGGATGGCGACACCCTGACCCTGATAGGACGAGCGGTCAAGCGGACATTCAGACGAGCATGATCATATGATGAGGCCCAGTCAGGAAGCAGGCAGAAGGCAGCAGCATAATGAACCCATGCGGGGAACCATGTGACCTTTGAATTTGACATCGAACTCCTTCTCTCATTCTCATCTTCAGCCATTTCATTACAGCAGCTGCCCTGCCTAATCACTCGCCGAAATGAACACTACACCATATATTCTATCATTGCCCGAGAACGTTCGGCACAGCATATTCGCCGCCGCCCTCCCATTGGTCGAGTCGAATTTGGCTTCGATAAGCAAGGCAACATCCTCGCAACCGGATGCCGACTCTTGCGCGTCTGCAAGCGTATGCGAGACGATGTTATCGACGCCTGCAAACAAGGGACCCTGCAACTTATCTACACATTCAGATATCCGTCGGCGATGGCCACCTACTTCTCCTACATCGCCTCCGGTCATGACCCACTCCTGCCTCCCTGCAAGACCATCCGCGTGGTCCTTTTAGCCGAGATAGACGGCGACGGACCCTCGTCTCTGGACGAGAACGAAGAGGGTGATCGTCCAGGCCCCAGGATATCATGGTGGTGCTATACTCGCACAGACTATGACAGATCACGGACTGGATCTGAGTTCTGAACCAGACCTCCTGACATATGATGACGGAAACGTACTAGATCTGGTCTTCTCAGATATCCTTATAGCTAAAGCCTCAGTGAATGATGCACTCCAGTGTACCTCAGATCACAAGACATTACAAATAGTTATTCCAATTCAGGGAGACCTAGACCGGGTCCCCAAGGCCGATCGTTGGATAGTACCAGACGATAAACTACAAGAGCTGGTTGATAATGTCCAAAACAGGATTCACGAGCTCCCCCGGCTGGGTGCATCCCCTGGCCAGGTGGACGCCTTTACGCAGAGCTTGATCAACATGATCCAAGGCTGTGTAAGGACAGTGGGCAAGAAGCCCCGACAATCTAGGCCCACTGTTTGGTGGAATGATGAATGCAAAGCAGCTATTCAGACATACAGGGCCTTTTCTAAACAGACCACAAACCAAGAAGGGCAGAATTCAGCCCGACAGGACTTTTGTCACATGGTTCAGAAAGCTAGGAGAGAGTACTGACAAACTCTAATTGATTCAGCGATTGAACCAAAGGACCTGTACAGAATCGTTTTCTGGCACAAGCTATTTGTAGGATTGTGTTCCCCCCCAATCATTATAGGAGATCAAATATCTGAGTCACAAAAGAGCAAGACAAATACGCTATGCTCAGCCATACTTGAACGAAGTACCCCAGACAACGATATCATCGACCCTTGGTCCGCTCAGATCACACAACCCAAGCCACATATCCCCCTTGAATACCATGTCGGACTAGAAGAGACTGAAGGGTCCACTATAGGGACCAAGAGCAATTCCCCGGGAGTAGACACCCTCACAGTACGGATTCTGAAAGCTTGCTGGCCAGTCATTGGGGAACATGTCAGAGCCCTTTTCTAGACCTATCTACAGATCAGACACCACCCTAAATCATTCAAAGTAGCTAAGGTGGTGATGATCCCAAAACCAGGCAAGAAAGACTATTCCAACCCCAGGGCCTACAGACCAATATCGCTGTTATCATGTCTTGGCAAAGGCTTAGAACGACTCATTACAAAAAGAATTGCCTGGTTTGTTATTAAATTTGGAATTCTAGCTCTATAACATTTCAGAGCTCTACCAAAGCGCTCTGTCACTGACCTGGTAGCTGCACTCATACACAATATGGAGCAGACCCTCGACCAAGGCCTCGTCGCAACGGTAGCCACGTCAGATGTGAAAAAGCCTTTAACGCTGCCCTAATGAGACGGCTGGTGGTTCGCATGAGAGAACAGGGCTGGCCGGGCTTTCTTATAAGATGGGTCCAGTCATTCATGTCCGAGCGGTCCACAACAGTTTGGTTTGAAGGTATTGTGACTGATATAAAAGCTTTCACTTATGGGCTATCACAAGGCTTACTGGCCTTTCTAATCCTTTATATGCTATAAACAGAGCCAATCTGTGCCCGACTTGGTATGAAAAGGAGACGCTTTGGATACACAGACAATCTAGCGACTCTCTATATTGGAGAGAACCTTAAAGAAACAGTCATAAAGGCTACTAAAAACGTTTATTTATTTAATCAATAGGGACATGATAATACTATTGAATTTGACCCTGATAAAACCGAGATTATGCACTTCTTACGAAAAAAGAACTCAGACAACCCTCCAGTCCGCCACGGGACAATGAACAAAACAGCAAAGGACTCCATGCGATGGCTGGGTGTCTTCCTGGATAGAAAACTAAACTTCAAAGATCACGTTTCCTACTGGGCCAAGAAAGCTAATAAGGTAACAAATCACCTTCGAGGACTATACAACACAGTCAAAGGACTTCCAGTAAAGTCAACCAAGAGGGCTGTGAAAGCTTGTGTTATTCCTATTCTTACACACGGCCTGGAGGCCTGGTACCCAGGAATCGAGAAAGTCGGGAGCTTAGGTGGGACATCAGCATGTCGCATTAAGGGGCTTCTTAGAACGATAAATGCTGTACTACGAACAGCGATCAGGGCTATCTTACCGGTCTGGAAAACACACCCAGGATATATCCTACACTTTGAATCACAGATTCTCCTAGCAGGAGTTCTCACTGAGTCAATAAGACGACGTCATGGCCTCCGACTCGAATAAATAGACCAGAGATACCCTCTTATTAGCAGGCTCTAAATATAGGCTCACAATGAACCAACAAGGTTATAAAAGAGTTTTTAGCTAATCCCTGACTTCTAGAGACCAATACTCACCAAGCCATCATAGAAGAAGTCCCTAATCTATAAGGATAAAGACAAAAAAATAGAGCTCTTCAAGAAATGGTTACAAGAGAGAAATGTGAACACTGACCTTGTCATCTACTCGGATGGATCACAGTTGGACAATCAAGGCACAACCCGCACTGGATGGGGTTATACCATCAGAAAAGGCGGCACTATACAAGAAGTATATCAGGAAAAAGACAGACTTCTATAAACATAAATAATAGATACTGAAGTCCATAGCGCTCTCTAAGGTCTTATAACAACCAAGGCAGTTGGACGCAGAAATAGCTATATGTCTGCCTGGACAACACGTCAGTGGTAGATGGGCTCAATCGGACTCCACCCGAGATATCACAGAATATTTTTCTACGATTCCAAGAACTTGCCACAACACACACTCCTGGAGTGACCGTCAAGTAGATTCCTGGACACAGAGATATCAATGGCAACAAAGCTACTAACACATTAATAAAAGAGGATGCCATGCTAGAAACGGACGTGACGAACCTTCCCACAATCTCTTGGATAAAGAGAGATCTCAAAAAAAAGGACAAGAAAGAATTTGATTAATAATAAAAAGACCAATTAGAACCTAAATATCAAAAAGTATATTCATATATAATAACTAAAAGAGACCTTATATCCTTTGAAAGAAGCACTCTACACAGACTTCTAGCGGCCAGATCTGGACATGGCGACTTTCCTAGATATCACGAACATTTTGGGCATACAGACTCGAATGACCACTGCAGCTGCGGTAAGAAGAAAACACCATAATATATTTTCTTTTATAAGAGACTTGGGAAAAACTGATTACTGCCCAGGTACTCGCTTAGGACAGCCTGTTTACAATACTTGGGAGAGAGAAGCGCGGAATGGGCAAGATTTGTTGAGAAGAGCAAGTTCTTTTCATCAATCTGTCCCTAATAGATAGCTGTTCTTAAAGGACCAGATGAATGACCCCAAAGTTATACAGCCGCAACAACAGGGATGGGCTCGTGAGCGGGACTGACTGTATTTATTATCTTGATACCTCCACAACCTTGCGATGCAGAGGCTCTGGGAGGCGCGGTTTGCACTACTGAGGAGCGATCCCCCACGTTAAATACAATCAATCAATCAATCAAAGACAGTATGACCTAAGCTGCAAATCTGACCTGACCACAGACGACGCGGTAGGCGAGGAGTGATGATCGAGAAGTTGGTGAATTAATGTAGGGTATGCAGCCTCAGTCGTGAGATGTTGCCCCAACTAGACTGCAATGTTGGCAGAGAGCTTAGCAGGCAGGTACCGCGGTACGATGTGGCGTTTGCTTAGTGCAGCATAAAGGTACCTATTGACTGGAGGTTTCTGCTCGAGGTCAGGTGAGGGAAGGCACGAAAAGTTAGGCCAAACCGTGGGTGATGATTATGGAGGAGGATGATGATTTTGATTGATTGATTTGATTTTGATTTTCTTTATCGTGGGTGCAGTCCCTCAGCAGGGCAAACTACGCCTCCCAGTGCCATTGCATCGCAAGGTTGTAGAGGTGTCAGTCTAGATACATTCAAATCCGCGCACGAGCCCATCCTCGCTGTAGCGGTACCAACCTGGAGTGTTCCAGATAGTTTTAGTCAATACCCAAGCACGATTCCGTCAGAAAAACCTCCTGTCTAGTGACAAAGCGACCCAGTGGACCTCAGTCCTCTGGTGTACATATCGTCCCAATAGCCGTTCGATATATGTCGCATTGGTGGATGAAGCAGGTGTTTGTTATCTACTGGCGAGGGAAACCACAAGGGGAAAAACCTCACAGGAGTGGGTGTTATGGAGACAAGCCTTTGGCTATGGGGCTCTGTAATAAGAAGCCCTCTCTACTGTCGTGTGCTGGTTGTCGACTCGCACAAGCCGGGTCAGAAGGGGGCCGTAGCAGGATTCGATCCCACTTGTTCTCGTCGCCCACCGCACAAACGAGAACACAGCCAGGCGCATTTGACCATTGCGCCATACGGCCGTATGGAGGAGGATGGAAGGTGGTTCGTGGTGTTGGGAGTGATTGATACCACTCCGAACCCGAAGCTGTCGCTGTTTCGCTCCTAATATGATATGGGCATATGATAGGTGTCAGCTCTTTTATCACAGAGTTCGGAGTCTCGTGGAGGATATGCAATGTTGTGACGTGAGTGGAGAGGTATGTTGTGTGGAGTGAAGGGGGTAATTGGGGAGAGGTGATCTGGTTACCTCGGTGAGAAGAGCAGACAGCTGTACCAGCGAGTCCGCTTTGGAGGAAGACGCAGACTCTGCAGTCAAGTATGACCTGTGGTATATGGGCACTCCGTATGCTCGGGTGGATTCAAGACGGTGTTAGCGTGATGCGATGAGAAGATAGGGGTTGAGGTGTGATGGAGGAAGATGGCGAGAGAGGATGGTGGTGATGCGCAGATGTGGGTTCAGTTGACAATACCAGGAAGGTGCGTACCAAACTCAAGAACCCAATTCCAGCATGGAGATGAGGGAGGCGGAAAGGTTAGTAAGGCCGGGGCATCAAGAGATGTCCTGCTATTTGCACCTTGTTTCCACCCCTATCTCTCCAGGCAGCTAGCAGCGGGCTAACTACTAAACTTACGGCTTATCGGAGCAATTATCGGAACAGTTATCGAAGCAATTGTCGGAGCAGTTGTCGGAGCAGTCACGGTGCAGCTGTCGGTGCAGTTATTGTTGTAGTTATTGCAAATTTTAATGCAGTTATTAGCGCAGTTGTTGGTGCAGTTGTGCTGAGATAGGGGGCTGTATTGCAGCTGGCTAGTAGCTAAAGTGTAAAGACAAGGTGTAAATAAACAGTTCTAACAAAGTGCAAATAGCAAGACTTATCAAGAGATTGGTTCATGTAAAGGGAACCAGGGTGGGCCACGATAGACTGCATCAAGATAACCTGCAGGCACGTTCAGTTGACTCATGGACGATGGATATGTACGATTGTATTCTTTATCTACAAAATGATAAAACTCGCTCCAGGTGTCTGTTATGCTAAGACCTGGTCGCATGAGCAGCGCCCGCTAACCCAATCCAGTACACCCTGACTATGAAGAAGAGAAGTACAGGGGTCACAAGACCAAGTAAACGCATCTGAAGGGCAATGAAGAACTCGAGGACCGCCAGCGATCCGTCACTCTCCATACATTTCTTCCACAGACCCCGATGGTCGTTCCCGCGGTTGTGTCGCAAGCCATGCTGGAAGCAATAATCGCAGCATACCATCCCGCTCTCGGGGTGGCCACATGTGTTATACGTCAAAGCTGTATCGAGGACATACTTCGTCTTGTCGAGATCGATTGAGTAGTTGCTAGAGGTGAGCAGTACTGGCCGGGGTCTTTTGGACTTGGGTATGATTAGACGTAGCTTGGGCCTCGGACTTAACTTGGGCCTCATGGTGGCGTAATCCTTACTCGAGGAAGGCATGAGAAGCGGTGTTGACTGCGAAGGGGCAATGATGGTAGCCGACATTTCAATTCTGGATTTGGATAGCAATTTCAGGACGCTGTGCCAGACTGGTGCTGGAGTACCCCTGAAACCTGGCCAGGGGATGAAATAAAAATTTGAAGGAACGGCTTAACGAGTGATTGTGATGTAAATGTCTGGATGGAGAAAAACAAGTACGCCTCTTATGTGCATGGGTAGACAATCACCTTTGTGATGATTGTTGCTATAACAAGAAGAGCGGCTACAACGCCTTGTCCTGGAGAACAAAGCACAAAAGATTACGCGGATGCGATGATCAGGAAGCCTTTGAGATGCAAAGAGGACGCCTTCCGTTCTTTTTCCACTAGGGAGACCATCGGGAGGAGAAACGGACCGTGTCTGAGAGGCAGCTGTATCATGCAGTTGCACGGAAGGCAAAGGGCCCGCATGGCTTTCGATACCCAAAACTTGCACAGGAAAATTGGAAGGAAGACGTAATGAAACGAGGTAAGCAGTATAATATGTACATGTATGTATGTATGTATGACAGATATTAGTTATACGCGAAGAAGGATTTCCCAAATTGACGCTCTGAGAGGGGCTTATGTATATGCCCTCCATTATATACACGCAAGGAGACTAGGTATCAATGCGAAATTCTCGAAGACCAATATTTCTTTATAGCCTTCCACGCGTCCTCGTCATCCTCCACCTGCTTCTTCGGGTGCTTGAGAGCCTCGTCAAATTCGCCGCACCGGTGCTTATCCTCAAGGTCGAGCACAAACTCTTCAATCTTCGAGGAGCCCACCTGTCGCTGAACTTTGAGGTTTCGGTCCAGGAAACGCCACGCCAAGTCGACGCACTTGGCCTCGTCGCTCGGGTCATCTCCGAACCCAGACTGCTTCTTCATATATTTCAACCAATCGCGGAAGCTACGGCCATCCGCCAGGTCCGCGACGGTGTAGAAGCACGTGTCCTCGGGCGCGAGGTGGTTTGTCCGGAGCTCGATATTCACCCAGGCCTTGATGTTTGGCTCGCTCTCAAGCTCGAGTTTAGGACTCTTTCCGTTCTCGTCGGATGTCTCGCGCGCTTGTCGTCGCCAGTGTCGGTCTACGAGGTATAGACGCTGCCATATACCCTCGGTTAGATGTTCAATCTCTGCGATTTCGGCCTCGAAGTCTACGTCAGCCCCGTCGGTGTTGCTGCGATCATAATTATTGTCCTGCACCGTCGCGTCGAGCGTTTGCCGGATCCCTTCCTTCGTGGCTTTGCCTGCGCGAGCTTCGAGCTTAAGCACGAACTGGGATATTCTGGTTAGGTTGCGGGAGGCGATAGATAGCGAGTTGGTGATCCCGTCAAGAGTGTCCTCACTGTTGTCTGTGCATTGGGATTCCTCTGCCTCGGGTTTTCTCATGCTTTCTTCGCTTGGTGGCTCGCTAGGGGCCTTGCTTCGAGTATCACTCAGGGGCTTACTTGGACCGGTGTAGTCTACATCGCGGAAGTGGCCAATTAGCGGTTCGTCGCCGCTGTCGTACGGGGATGGCAACTCTGGGCCGTCTTGCCATACATTTATGTCGTCGTCCTCTCCCTCCTCTCCGTCTGATGAGCATAACGCGTGCCACGGCCGGTCATCGTACGGGGTTACTGAGCTGTAATCTGTTCTGCCCATGGTGAGTATAGTTATAGTTTCGAAGTGGAGGTCCTAAGTGTGTCAAAGACCCGATATGGAATGAATGAATAAGGGATATGGAATCAATGGATAAGGCAAATGCAGCTATCTCGGTTTTATCTTCCGAGGTGATATATGCACGTTCCCGTCAAGCCGTAAGAGCTGCCAAAAGCCTTCTTTGTGAATCCGCTTTGTCTCTTCTTCCTTGTTCTTGAACGATGCCATATAGTCTCGGATGCCTCCACCCTTACGCCAAATACATTGTTACGAAGATACACGAAACACTTTACTTTGAAGCTAAATCAAGTTCTAGGCCTGCTCGTTAGCCAGTGTGGATTAAAGAGCAGCGTTTCCCTAGTCTGATAGGCACGACCATGTCTATGTCAGCACACCAGGAAGAACTTCCGGCGCATGCCTAACAAAGGATGATAGCGTATTTCTGGAGCACACACAAGATGTACAGGGACGTGGTTGCGGCTGGACGACAGGAATTGAATTGAGGGGATATGCACATGGCGATATGCACAAACAGAGAAGCATCTAAGTGCCAGGGAACGCACCCGTGTTGTATAATCAAGTAATGCCCTGTCGCCAGTGACATAGTCCAATTTGGACAGAATTGAGAAACCATTTGCTCTGTCTCGTAAGTATAACTACGGCAAGAACCCTCATTCCTTCAGGGGCACTAGGTCTTTTTGGACCTTTGCTGAACTGCTGACATTAAGGTATAGGTTTATACCGAAACAAAACAAAGCCAGGCAGCATAATACTTGAACTAGTCACGAGGATTGTTGACATCAGTCCACAGGTGCATGTAGTTGAGGCGACAGACTTGAAGCGTCAACAAAATCAGACTCCAGACTTCGAAGTAAAATTATCCGGGTCAAGTATTCGTGTACGAAGTTGTTGACGACAGAATCCCAGTCTGAAATGAAACTATCCAGTAGTCCAAGCAGCAGCAGAACTGGACATCCTGCTGGCATGAACAATGCTCCAAATCATCAACGTGCCACCCTACTCGCCCAAGACATCAACGGAGTCAGCAGCCTCAATGTCCTTCGAATACCCAACTCCAGCGTAGATGTAGATATCCTTGACGGTCTCGTCCTCCGGTGCTCGCTTGTCTATCATGCTCGTCAGCCCATGGGTTCTCCACGAACCCAGCTCATAAGTGAGGTACTGTCTACTTACCGACGTCGGCCTTGATGACCGGCTGTGCAACAACAAAGGCTGCCAGTGCCAGTAGAATGGCTGTCTTGGGGATAGAGGAGAGCATGATGAGTTTCTGGATGTGTCTGTTGAGCGGTTCTTCTCTTTCTTTGCGTCTGATGGGTTGATGATGGCGAGTCGTGCCTCCCACTAACTTCGCCGTATGCTTGTCCTTCTTATAGGCGTGCTGGAAACATCTGCGTCCTAAGCCTCGGCAGATTCGAAGTTTCCAAATGCCGAGCTCTTCATCAGCAAGAAGGAAGGCTGCTGTAAGGATACAGATGCATACACACTGGTGAGCGACTCTACGGTCACTAGATGCAGGAAGGCGATACGTGTGACCTATGCCGTTCCCCTAATAGGCAGGTCACAACTCATAGCTTATTACTTTGATCCAATTCGGCCTACTGTGGTTGCAGGCCAAAGTTTCGTCCCTTGTCAAGTATTTCCAGCCCTGGTCTTGCATAACTAGCCCAAGATACCTGAAATACTTCTATGAACAAAACCCTTGTCTAGCGCGAAGAACTTGACAAGGGACGTTACTTACCCATATGACCACAGTATAGACTTCGAGCAAGCCAATAACCTTCATCCTACTCCTCACACCGCACACGCAGTCATCATGCTTCTCTCATGTAAGTTAGCAGCGGGCATATCGCCAATTGGGTCATTATACGACTCCAGCTAGTTTGGAACTTGATTTCATGCAGAATGCCTCACGCAAGTAGCCGGAACTAGCTATTCCGTGATCCTTCAGCATGCAGGTGAAATCACGAGCCTTGCTGTGTTCAGGGCTGATTGGATATTGTTGGAAAGTTCCGCCAGTCGTACAACCTAGGACTTTATACGGCTCGTGCATATAGGTGCTTTAGAGGTAACGAAGCACGCCTACTGATCAAGGGAGCCGAGGTAACGATCCGGATAAAGTTCCTGTAGCTTAATGATGCCTTTTCATTGCCATCCAGATCACTGCTGACTCGGTGAGGAGTCCAAACGTCCGCAGGTGCGTGAAGACGCCACCACCCCTCAACGTGCCAACCGATACATTCAACGCCATACTGGCACAAGCTCCGCCTGATTTGAATCGTTCACGGTTATACACTGCTTCTCTTCGACATCCTCATGATTGTCCTCTTTACGTGAACACCATCGAAGATGTTTAGCACGCCCAAGTTCGAGTATTCCTCACTCCCGTCTGCAGGGGAACAACTCACGCCAGACGACGAGCGGCATCACTTCGTGGATGACTTGGAAAAGCTTGCTGGCGAGTCACTAAGACCAGGACTTTTCCACAGGACTATCCAGCGAGCCAGGATATACACACCTAGTGTTGCCATCTTGATACCATGGAGTCTAGTCCTTCTATGCGTCTGGCGCATCCTGTACTGGGAAGCGCAAGGGCCCAACGAGCTGGAATGCACGCGGCTGCTCAACCCATATTGTATGGAAGCCATTCTTACGAGCATAGTTCTCAACTAACTGGGTGTGCAGCTCCGCTTATCGAAGAAGGTCTCGTTGAGTACTACGACACAAATTTCGACAACGAGTTTGCCCACAAGACCGAGTATCGCGGTCCGCCTACCCCTGATATCGAAGTAGCCTGGAACCGGCTTTGGAACAGTGAGTGCTGAACTCGCCTCGTAGTACTAGAGCTGACGTTCTTCAAAGGGGGCGCGGTAGAAGTGCCGGTCGAAGGGCTGGCCAAGCTGAATAAGTCGGGCGATTTGCTGAAGCACGCCCACTTCGACCCAAACAGAGGGTACAGCTCAATCCTCGAAGCCTTCCACCAACTGCACTGCCTAGTAAGAAGCCCGAAGCCTTGGCTGTGGAAATCATTCTGACAATCGTGGCTCAGAACCTCATCCGCCAGTTCACGTGGCGAGACTACTACTACGAGCATCTACAGGAGTGGCTGGCGATGCCCGAGAACCAGCGCATGGTCGACCTGAACGTGTCGGACCACCGGAGCGTGGGCGATCGCATGCACGTGGACCACTGCATCGAGACGCTTCGTCTGCAGCTCATGTGCAATGCCGACGTGACGCCCTTGCTCATCCTGTTGGACGATAGCTCCGAGCATGGTACCGCGGCGGACTTCAATACGCACCACAAGTGTCGGAACTGGGACAAGTTACTTGATTGGCAGGATAAGCATAACACTGATGATGAGCCGGAGCCAGAATGATTGCTGCGTGAGCTGGGGCATGGTTTTCGCAATGATAATCATCCTTACCGTATCCGATTGTTCTTGCGATGAATGCTGTGTATGAGAAAGTAAGCCGCCTTTGATCTCGGATATCGCGGCCACAGCACCAAAGTTGCCCGCGTAGCTGTGCTGTGAAACTCCTCGTAAATCCGCCAAAGCTATAGGCTCGCCCTATGCGACAGGTGACATCGTAGCCAACGGCAATAATGAGGGAAAAGGGTCTTATCATCGCAAGTCAACAGCTCACCCTGGGCGAGTGCAGCCGGTATGGCAGTGGCGCCCGGATGCAATCTGGAAGACGCATGGATGTCGTCACAGTCAAACGAGTGTGCCAGCGCGGCGTTCGAGAGCCTCGCATAATGTGGCGAGAAGCTCCGGCCCTTGATGGATACGGTGGAATTGCCAGACTTGCCTTTTGAGGCGATGGCGGCCCGGAGGAGGGGCTTAATGGATTTCCGCTATACCGATCAGGTCGGCGGTGAGGTCTTTGAGCTGGGTGATAAGCGCGTCATCCAGCATGTCGTACTTGGGCCGACTTGGCCAGATTAGCTTGATGGGATCACCGCGGATGCTCTTCCTGTACTGAGAGGTGTAAAAGAAAGTGGCGCCAGTCTACGAAGGTCATGGGAGATGTCAAGGGCTGTTATACGTCGAGTTGTTCGCCAGAAGAGTCGTGTATACGGTATTCGTCGGACTACACCATGTCGAGACCCTAAGCCGGGCTTGACGATATCAACGTTGAATGCAACGGCGTGCCAGAGAGATGCGGAATACTTCTTCGATGACGCTCGATTGTTGCTTGCCACCCTTCCTCCGTGGAGAACTCGGACACCTGTGTGATCTACATATCTGATTTCGACTCCGTTATTGACCTGCGCCCGAGCGTTTGGTCAAGGCGAAGCCGTGGTAGGCAAAGGAGCTGTCACCAGCACCCAGAACATCCATATCGATATCCCAGTCGGTCCCTTCGCAGTTCAAAAGCGGCCTAATAAAGTGAGGTTGCCGGTATGTCACGTAGAGAAACATGCCGTCATCTTTCAAGACACGGAAAACCTGGGGGTTGTCAGCAGAGCTGTCGCGGCGAGCTGCATGTCTTCGTAACCGGCGGGTGGGCGACCAGGGGAGTGGAAGCTCCAAACTAGATGAAATCCACAATGTCAATTCAGCTGGCGCATACTCACCTCTCGGAGATATTCGGAGGTGTTTTTCTTCACGTCGTCTGGGGGGTTCCAAGGACTGCCGTGGATCATTGCGTCCAGTGTTCCCTTATCAAATGCCACATCTATGGAGCTCGGAGGGATATCGTCCATATGGCGGACATCCAGCTTCTTCCACTCGATACCTTTGATCTCGGCATGGCGTTTCGACATGAGGTCTACCACCACGGCGGAGAAATCGACGCAAAGTTGATGGTTGTATCCCTTTTCGGCAAGCTCTTGCGGCACGGTCTGCCGTCGGTCAGTGAAATCGTGGTCGGAGGGAAGTGCAGGCAAGCGAACGCACACTATCCCCTGATCCTAGATGCAGCAGTCTCGGGGCTGTTTCTGGCGGACGGGTGCCAAAGAGTTTCTGGTCGAAAAAGGCCTCGAGGTCTTGGAAGGACCTGAACCACTCATGGGTGGGCTGGTCTCCTTCGGCCTCGGCATAGCGCTGGTTCCAAAAGTCGGCATGCGAGAGCTTTTCATTCTCATCGTCCGAAGGTGCCATGTCGTCTACAGCCGCGAGGGCGACTATGCCATAACAAAAGTTGTGATAGTGGCTGAGTTGAGGGCTGGCAAAAATGGCAAAAATGGCAAAAATGGCTTGGCTGAGCCCCGTCGACCTAGCCATGGAGGTGAGACCCGCCCCTTGAAGCTTATGCAGGTACAGCGTCCCCACCGGCACTTATCATATCTTCATATGGTGCAGGTTCGCCCCGACGCGCGACTCTTTCACGTACCGGCTTCGTGACTTACCTTACATACTACAACCTGGAATACGGAGTTGGAGTTGTCATGGCATGCGTGGAAGACAGTGTTGGTGGACGGACCATTTAATGTCTGGGGAGGTGGAATGCCGAGGGGCACGAGGGGTTGCAGCTGTACGTGGGGTGTACCCATCCAGCGCCAGGTGCCAACTGCCACACGTTTGGCCCTACGTCATCGTCATTCACCAGCATCAGCATCCATCCGCGGGCAGGAATATTGATACAAGACACGGTGACAAGGTCCAGCTTCTTTGTTCACTTACCATCGAAAACTGTCTATGACAAACTTCCAGATAATCCAACCTGATCACACCCACTCAATTGCCTTATCCGAATCAGCCATTCAACAAGCCGGAGCCGCATACGTTCAGCAATAGAGAAGTACGAACGAACGCCGAACAACGAACACGAACACAACCGAAGATGGCTGAAGTCGCAGCCGGTTTGGTGGTCGCTGAGGAGATTGTGTCTACCAGCCTTCAGGCCGGGGCAGCCACCTATGCCGTTGCAAAGCCTACCATGCCTCTGAAGGCCACATTCTCGCAGATTGGATCTACCGACGACGATGCCTCAAGGTACGCTGTCACGCCGTGTCGACCTTCTCTCGTGTCTTCTAACTAACAGACCCCAGATCGTCACTTGCCCGTTCCCACCACACCGTTACCATCGTCGACAAGAAAGCATACATCTTTGGTGGCCAGACGAGCCCTGATACACTTGCCACCAACAACATACACGCCGTGGCTTTACCTATCAAAGGCGCCGCAGCCACGACCGAGTATCAGGTCTTGCCCGCCATTGCTGCCGAAAAGGACACTGGCGCAGTTCCAGAGGCACGTTCCAAACACGCAGCTTGCGCGCTTGGCACCCGCGTCGCTGTCTACGGTGGCTGCGACGAAGCCGGCAAAGTCATCGACGAAGGCTCCAAGGTCTGGCTCTACGACACCGAGAAGTTGGCCTGGGAGAGTCTGAAAGCGGACAGCCACCCAGAGAGAGTACCTTCGGCTCGAGCTCAGGCAAGTCTGCTCGCCCACGACGGCAACCTCGTCCTGTACGGTGGCGTAGACTCCAACGGCTCGGCCTTGACCGACGTCTGGCATTTTGACTGTTTGACCAAAGTCTGGAATCAGCTACCGCATGCGCCCGCCGCCACCACAAGCGCTGCCATTGCCCAAGACACCCTATATCTTGTGGCCGGTACAGATAATCTCAGTAGTGAAGTGCATCATCTCGATATCAAGCTGTTTGCCGAGCAGCCACCGACATGGGGCTCCACTTCGTTCCCGACGAATCCCTTGGCCCCGGGCCCCAAGGCACGCGATAACGGTGGGGTGGTACCAGTGTCCACGGGCTTCGGTCGGAACTATCTTCTCTACTTCTTTGGCGATCGTCAAGGAGATGCAGCGAACGGTGATCTCTTGCAGTGGAGCGACCTCTGGACCTTCCAACTCCCCTCCAGCCAGCCGGAAATGAAGGCGTCCTGGAATATGGCCGAGGCCATCAAGCCAGCCAAGATCAAGGACCAGATTCGTACCGCGTTTGGTGCCGACACGGGAGGCTCCAGCTGGGCCGAGGTCGAGGTGCAGGTGCCCGGTGACCTCCAAGCAAGCGAGGGCAAAGCACATCCCGGGCCTCGCGGCTCTTTCGGCTACGACGTGACAGCCGATGGCAAGAGTGTGGTGCTATGGGGTGGTATCAATGCCGAGGGAAAGCCCGCGGGTGATGGCTGGATCATTGAATTGTCTTAGTAGCGAACCGGCGGGCGAAAATAGAGGGCATTACCATTGGCGTACTGGAGGCGTAGGCGTAAAGGCTGGGTTTGTGCAGGACTCGGTTGACCGCAGCTGCTCGATGACTGTAATCAAAGACAACTTGATCGTTATCTCAGGAACGATATACCTGGCTAGCACTCAGATCCATGACTGGGCATTTGAGTCCGGCTTGTCTGTCGACTGGGGCCATATGATACATCGCTGGCACACAACGGCCAGCTGAAGATTCCGAGTAAAGGGAGCAAATTGAGCATCCGTTCATACTTGGTGATACCGTTAGAAAGACTGTGGCATATCTAGCGAGGGCTCCCGCCATATGGTCTTTGACTCCTGCGTTTCTATTCACCATATGGGCATCTCAGTTGATCCAACCATGCTCGAGAAAACACTGCGACGTCAGACGCGACTGATTACTACGGCTCCCTTACAACCCTCAGCGTATTTCCCACCAGGGCCCTCCTACAGAATCTTCATGTTCTTCCTGGTCTGTACCGCTGCTGATTGCTTCGGAGAACGAGCAGTACTCGGAGATAGGGACAAGCGGTGAACGAGATATACCGTGGAAGATGTCAGATGTCTAGACCCGGCCTGCAGGATCTGATAAGCAAACCCCCTGCCTCACTCTTCACGCTTGCTGGGTTATCAGATGGTGCTAAGCGACGACCGTGCTATGCGCCGCTTCCTTGCATGCATGCATTATGTCTATGTGTGACTCAGTCACCATGCTCTCACATCGTCAGCCGTAAGTGACCTAGTCCAGTGACGCGTCAACAGGCCCAGTGACTCGTCAATAGACTCAGGGGCCATCCGGAGTTGAAGAACTCGTGTTCCTTTGGGTCATGCTTAGGCGAATGGACCTCTAAGTAGGCCGCTTGAGTAGAACCCCTAGCCAGCAGCAGGCCTGGGGGTGTCATCTGAGTTGACGTCCTCGGAGATCCGAGCCATCACAAACATATAGTACTGCCCCCCACCTTCACCTCACTTTGCGTCAAGTCAAGTACCGTTCCCAGACTTGTCATGGGTTGAATCGAAGCGGTGGACTACGGAGCTGCTGATACCATTTGATCTACTATATGATAGACCCTGGTTCGCGACAATAGCGAGGCCAGCATTGAAAAAGCCGCCGGCACTGCATACACCTACCTCACCCAAAAGAGACTTCAGGTCACCCAGGTGTCGCAGACAAGGTACCCAGCGAAGACCCTGACGACGGCGAGATGGAGCGGCGCACCAGCCTAAGTCACGACGTGGTTGAGAAGCAGGTAGGAGATGTCTATCCCGCTACGCATTCCGTGCCCGCAGAAGACGCGCTCCTGGTAAGTCCCCAACACAACCTCCCTCACCCTCACAAATCACCCACACAAAACGACTGACAAAGCCCAAACCAACCAGGTAACATGGGACAGCCCCTCGGACCCCCAGAACCCCAAGAACTGGCCCAAGGCCCGCAAGTGGTTCACCACGATCCTGCTCTCGCTCGGCAGCCTCGTGACGCTGATGTCCGGCGCGATGCTTGCCCCGGCACTGGGCGACATCTCGGCCTCGCTGCACCTCAGCCAGGCCGAGGCCCAGCTGTCCCTGTCAATCTACGTGCTGGCGTTTGCGTTCGGCCCGCTGCTGCTGGGGCCGTGCTCCGAGATCTTTGGCCGCAAGCCGGTCTGGGTGCTGAGCAGCGCTTGGTACGTGGTGTGGAATCTGGGCTGTGGATTTGCGAACGGCAAGGCGGCTATGATTGCTGGGAGGCTGTTCGCTGGGTTAGGGGCGAGCGCTGATTTTGCGGTATGGGAACGTTGGTCATGCACTCTGTTAATGGCACAGACAGCGAGGGAGCTGACGCATAGACTAGATCTCAAACCCTGTGCTCGCCGATTGTTTTCCGCCAGATGAAAGGGGCCAGTCTTTCGCCATCGCGAGCTTCATCCCGCTGCTGGGTCCGGCTCTAGGGCCGATCGTAGGAGGTGCCATCACGGAGACTATTGGCTGGCGGTGGCTCTTCTGGGTGCTTTCGGTATTCGAAGGGCTCCTCGTCATTCTGGCCATCCTCCTCCTTCGTGAAAGCCACGCACCGACGATCCTGAGACGAAAGGCCAAAGGTCTACGCAAAGCCACGGGGCGGGTTTATTACACCGAGTTCGATGTTGCGCGCCTTGGTCTGGGCGAAAGGCTTCGCATTGGGCTTGTCCGGCCCTTTCACCTACTCGTGCAGGAGCCAATCATCCAGGTCATGGCCGTTCTGCTGGCGTACAACTTCGGCGTGCTGTACATTGTGCTGTCGACGTTTGCCGACCTGTGGATCGACATCTACCACGACTCGCCGGCTCTGAGCGGAGTCCGGTATCTCGCGCTCGTTGTTGGATACACCATGGCTGCGCAGCTCGGCGGCCGCGTTACAGATAGGGTATGGAACCATCTGAAACGAAAACGGAACGGTGAAGCAGCGCCAGAATATCGCGTTCCCCTCATGCTTCCCGGCGTGATTCTGATTCCAGCAGGCCTCATATGGTACGGCTGGTCAGCCGAGAAGCACCTGCACTGGGCCATGACGGAAGTCGGTGCCGCCATCTTTGGCTGCGGCATTATCGTCGGCACGCAGGCCATGCAAGCGTACGTGCTCGACTCGTTTGCCGAATACTCGGCTTCTGCGCAGGCTGCTGCTCAGTTCCTGCGGAATTGCTTTGCGTTTGTATTTCCCATCTTCGCGCCGGCCATGTATACAAGGCTCGGCTACGGCTGGGGCAACAGCTTGCTGGCTTTCCTCTTCCTCGCGATAGGGGTGCCCGCGCCTGTCGTTCTGTGGAAGTACGGCGCCAAGTTGAGGGGGATGGGTCGGCGCGGCAATTGACCATGTTTGGTATCGTTGAGTTATCCTTGGTGATACACTAAACCCTCATAAATCTCCGTACATGACCCTTCCAGCAAACTACGGTAAATTTATCAATTCGGCATAAGCATACCGGGATAAGCAGTTAGATCCTTATTAGCCATTTCTAACGCTTATTCCAGAGTGCTTATTTTAGTATTTTTAACTAGCTTACTGGTTTGCTAGAATCTTGCTAACATCCGCGTACGGAGACTTATAAGGGCTGAGTGGACAGAGTCCATCAAGAGAACCCATTGCGAGCAACTTGCGGAAGTCTATAGCTCATCGTTAAGGTCCAAACCCAAACTCAGAAACTCAGAAGTTGATTCTCTATCGCGATAGTCCGTGAACGACCCCCTTTAACCGGACAGACATTTTCTGTTTCTGGTCCGTGTTGAAATAACCAAGTAGCCTAAAGGCTTGATGTGTATGTAGTACACAGCCTCTCACGGCTCGCCACAGATCTCATCAGCAATTGTCCGCACCAACCCAAGCTTCTTCTTCTCGTCGTCGAGAGTAAGGGGATATCCGCTCTCGTGAGTGCTAAAGCCACACTGCGGGCTAACGGAGATGCTCTTGAGGGCCTCCTCGCGGCTCTCGCCGCGGCCCTCGGCCACGAAGTCGGCGGCCTTGTAGATGCGCTCCTTCATGGCCTCCTTGTCCTCCAGCTGCGGCAGCTTAGTACTAATAACGCCGACAACAACGCTCTTGTCCTTTGGCAGGAACTTGAGCGGCTCGAACCCGCCGGCGCGCTCGGTGTCGTACTCGAGGTAGAAGGTGCTGACGTTCAGTTCCGTGAAGAGCTTCTTGGCAATAAGGTCGTATCCGCCCTCGGCGAAGAACCGGCCGCCGATGAAGTTGCCTCGGCACAGATGGATGCCAAAGTGCATGTCGGCCGGGCTCTTGCTCATCGAGTCGTTGTACAGCGCGATGTAAGCATCGAGCAAGTCCTCCACGGTGCCGTCGTTGTCCTTGTCCTCTTCCCAGCCCTGGCGGAACTTGGCGGAGCAGAAGTCTGCATACCAAAATCAGCGGTGCCTTCACGATCAACCAGGATGGGGCATCTTATTACAAGCCATGCCCGGGTCGTCGAATTGCACGTTTCGGAGTCCCGCCTTGTATAGCACGTCCAGCTCGGCCTGGTAGACCTCGGCGACATCCTTGAAGTACTCGACATCGTTGGCGTACGCCTCCTTGGTATATGCGTAGCCCTGCTTGTATCTCATGTGGAACCACGCAGGCGTGATCATGGTCAACTTGATATTGCCCCATTCGCTCTCCGGGACAAAGGCCTGAGCGAGCCGGAGCTCATGCAGGTTCGACGTCGAATGCGTGGGGTCGTGCGACAGCTTGCTCCCGGCAATGACCGAGTCGCCCGGCATGACCTTGCGGTCCCGCTCGATCAGGCTCACGACGTCCGGGTGGTACAGGCGGAACATGCTCGCCTGGGCGTCTTGCAGGCGGACGGTGCCGACGAATTCGTCCCACATGAGGCCCCAGAAGCGCGTGCGGGGGAACTCGCCGGTCGTGACGGCCTTGAGGCCCAGGTCCTGCTGCATCTTGATGACGTCCCCGACGGCCTTCTTCTCTACGGCCGGCAGACCGGCCTCCGAGGGCGAGACGCCCTTGTCCCGGATGGTGGCTCGTACCTCGAGCAGGTCATCGGGTCGCAGAAGCGAGCCCATGTGCTCGGCTCGGAACGGTGGCGCCATTGTCGCACACAGATGGAAACCCCCCGGTCGTCAGTCTGCCGGTAGCCGGGAGAAACTAGTGGCCTGCGGAGCCGTTGCTTGGTTTGGTCCGCCCTTTTGAGAGATGGCGTCCGTCCACACTACTGGTTCGACCGAGTTAAGGCCGCGGGGAGAAACTGAGAGGACCTTGAGGAGAGCGCTTGCAAAACAACCACTGTATGGAGAATAAGAATTACGAATCACGAGATGCGCGATGAAGGTAGAGATTTTGTCAGGTGCGGGGAAAAAGTCGTACGGAAACGGCACGGCCCTGGCTCGGGATATTGTTCATTATGGGCTGGTGTCCCGGTGGGGTTGGCGGGACCTCATCGCAGGATTACGCATGCTGTCCGAGGTAGGCAGTCCTCGCCTTCTGTACGTTGCCAGCCTGCATTGTAGTCCCGGTAGTGAGTATGCAGGTAAGATGTCGAACGCCCACAAGCTGTGGCTGTACACTTGGCGTAGATTGGGGGCTAATATCTCCCACTCCGCAGCCGTCAGTTGTGCGTCTGATCCGATGTTGGACAACCACATACCACGGACAGGTGCAGATATCAAGGAAATAGGTACATGGAAAAATGTCACTTGCTGAACGAGATAAACAGAACGGCTCAGTAACATGATCTTAACTGGCAAGCAACCATGAACATAAATGTGTATACCCAAGCTATTATATCATTCCCTCGCTTGACAATGAGGCATTACAAATTAAACAGGCCGCCAGGGTGTGTTAGTCCTGACCCTAATCCCGTGCACATAAGTACCTATATAGTATCAACCAAACCCTTACATCAGGGCAACGGCAGCAACGACGACGGCGAACATGCCGGCGACACCGCTGCTGACACGGCCTGCACCAGCCTGGACCGGGGTGGTCGCAGCAGGGGTGCTAGGGTAGCTGCTGGTGGTGGGGAGAGTCACGCTGGTGGCAGGGTAGGTCATGCTGCCGCTGGGCTGGTACGTCGACATGGTTTGGGGAGGAGCGATGGTGCTGTTGTAGCCGGCCGGGCCAGTAGGGTAGGCGGGAGCGGTCGGGTGCGGGACCGCAGTCGTGGGGTAACCGGCAGGAGCGCTGCTGGAGGAACCGGCCGGGGCGCTACCGGCAGGGTACGAGGCGGAGGGGCTACCGGCGGGGGAGCTGGCAGACGGGCTTCCTGCAGGGTAGGTAGCGGAAGCACCACCAGCGGGGTAGGTAGCAGTGGAAGCACCACCAGCCGGGTAGGTCTCGGAAGAGCCGCCAGCAGGGTAGGTCTCGGAAGAGCCGCCAGCAGGGTAAGTGGTAGTAGAAGCACCACCAGCCGGGTAAGTGGCAGTTGATGCACCACCGGCGGGGGAGGTCTCGGAAGGGCCGCCAGCCGGGTAGGTCTCAGAAGCACCACCCGCCGGGTAGGTCTCAGAGGCACCACCAGCCGGGTAGGTCTCGGAAGAGCCGCCAGCAGGGTAAGTGGTAGTAGAAGCACCACCAGCGGGGTAGGTAGCAGTGGAAGCACCACCAGCAGGGTAGGTCTCGGAAGAGCCGCCAGCCGGGTAGGTGGCGATGGAAGCACCACCCGCCGGGTAGGTAGCAGAACCAGCCGGGGAGGTAGCCGAAGCACCACCGGTAGGGTAAGGCGGGGTGGGCACGTTGGTGGGAGGAGTGAAGGTGGACGACACGCTGCTAGAGCAAGGGGTCATGGTAGTAACAACCTGGGTGATGGTGGTCAGGCCGGTGTGGCCGGTGGCCGTGGGAGAGGGCGTGGCCGTGATAGCACCAGTCATGGTCGCCGGGCACACCGTGGTGTACGAGGTGACGTGGATGACAGTCTTGGTGGTCTGGTATCCGGCAGGGCAGTTGGGCACGTTGGCAGCGCAGGCAGTGATGGTGAAGGTCTCAGTGTTGGTGTAGGTCGATGTCATCTGGGCGCCTCCGCTGGGAGCCGCAGTGGTCACTGGTGAGCCGCTGGTGGTGGCATAGCCGGATGAGCCAGTCTCGCTGCCGGAAGCAGCGGAGGTCGCGGCAGTACCAGTGGCAGTCTCCGAGGAGCCAGCACCAGTGGAAGAGCCGGAGCCGGAGCCGGAACCAGTGCTGGAAGCAGAGCCAGAGGCAGAGCCGGCACCTGTGGAAGAAGCGGCGCCAGTGGAAGAACCAGCGCCAGTGCTGGAAGCAGTCGAGGCGGTGCCGGTGGCAGTGGCAGTACCAGTGACTGAGCCTGATGAGCCGGCGCCAGCGCTAGAGCTAGCGGCAGTGCTGGAAGCAGTCGTGGCAGTGAGAGTTGACGCTGAGCTGGTGGCGGTGTACGAAGGCACGCACAAGGTCGAGGTAGGAATGCTGAGGACCGGGATGGAGACGGTGGGAGCAAGGTGAAGCGACAGGAGGTTCTCCACGTCGACATCGAGCTCAACAATGGCACCGACGTTCAGGCCGTAGGCCTCGTTACCCAGCGGGCACTTGGGAGCAGCGCAGAAGAGACCAATGTACTCGAGGAGGTTGACGTAGACACTAAGCTCAAGCCCAGCACCGATCGTGGGGAGGTCGAGACCGAGAAGTTGGTCGAGCGGGAGGATCTTGTCAACATCGACATCGGCCTGAACGCCGAGCTCGACGCGCAGACGAAGGTCGGCAAGGAGCTTGGTGCAGCCGATGCGGACCTCAATGGGAAGAACCTTCACGGCGAGGCCAGAAAAGGCAGCGTTCAGGATCTCGCCGCTCAAGATGTCGGTCTCTAGGACGGCCTGATCGACCAGGTCGACGTAGATGCCAGCGGACAGGTCGAGCTCAGCCTCGACGCCGAGGACGAGGTCCAGGAAAACCATGGCCTCGACGTTCAGTCCAGGCAGGGGAAGCGAAAGCTTGATGTCGGGAGTCACCAGGTTGACGGCGATTGTGGCGGCAGCACCGATGAAGACATCGAGGTCCAGCATGGCCTTGATGTCGTTCAATTCCAGGCGCAGGGCCGGAACAACCTTCTCAAGCGAGATGCTAGCGTTGATGTTACCGCTGACCTTGCACTCTTCGCAGGTAATGGCGACCTCGGCATCAGCACCAACGCCCACGATAGGAGGGACAACAACGTCGGCAAGGAGGCCGGCGACAAGGGTCTTGCCGCTCAGGTCAACATCGAGGTTGACCTGAGCGGATATGTCGGAGAGGTCGGAGGCGTCCAGGTTGAGGAGGCCCCTTTCGGCGACGGGAGATAGGGCCGGGGCCGAGGCACTGACGAGCGATGCTGCGACGGCGACGGCCGCGGAGCTGCGGGTTGAGAAACGCATTTTGAGTATTATTAGAAACGACTTCGGTCTGAAAAGAGTGGACTGGAATAGTGAAACACTGATTCCTATTAAGAGAGTGAATGTGCTAAAAAAGCACGAAGAGCGAATGTCGTGACCGGAGAGGGATGAGGGTGAAGAAGGGAACCAAGCACAGGAATCAGCGGCACGCGGTGGCTTTTGACCTTCTTCTGTGCCGGTGCCTAGAATAGGCTCAGGGGAAGAGTCTGACGGCCTTCATGTCCATCCGATACCCGTGATTGGGAACACATTGAAATTTCTTACTGTCTTTTTCTGGATTTCCAGTCAGCCGGCTCAGCCCCATGGACCGTAATTTGGATCGTCAATAAAGAGGCTGGGTTGGCGTCAGCTTGTCTCCAAATAGGGTGAGCTGTGCGTGTTGTGGTCCGGAGCAGTCCGGAGACCCAACGGTGTCTGCCAATCGGACTGTTTTTCGTCTCTTTAATGCCTGTCAAAAAGTCCTCTGTGGGGTATGCAAGGGCAGGGTCATAATAATCAACAAGGTTGGCTCGGATGCAACCCTGCGATGCCGTTTGGGCTGTGGGGTTGGGGCAACGGGATAGACAGGAGAGCTTGACCATGACTGTCAGAATTGGCCCTGTTGTGCGAGATGAGCAGTCCCCTGAATGCCCATCATGACCCAATACTACCTACAATAGAACGAGATATGCCAAAGGGCCGTGGATTGGTCAAGCGAGAAAAGCTACATCCCTGGCGAAGACGCGATGATCGGAACTTGTCAGCGGCCATCAACAAAGCATGCGACTGCCGGAAGCGGAATCACTCGGAGTACCTATGCAGATGACATTCGACTCGACTAAGGGACCTCTAGGGTTCACGACGGGCTGACTGGACAGCACATGTGGCTGTCATGCGATCATGTCACGTCTATAAAATGAGGTTCGTCGTCGGACCATGTAAGGCTTGGCATCATCAGGGGTCGCGTCCAACCATTCATTTCTTATTAGAAGCCAGCATCCATTCTAGAAGAGGTAGGACAGAGGAAATACGAGACTACGCGGGCAAATGTGGACAGCCTACTATTATCATCAGATGATCCTCGAGAAGGGGTGGATACAGTCAGTAACCCTTTTCTTGAATCATGATGGAGACTCGTGGCAGTTGGGGGTAAATGCCAAACAGTGAACAGACAACCTGACATTGTAAGCCCGAATTGATCTCATGGTGCAATTTGACGCGTAGCTTTCACTATTCCAATACTCTTACGTAACTGTATAAGCGAATTTGCTGACTGCAATTATCATTGGGCAGGGGGGTTACCGCATATGGACCTCTCCAGGAGTCCAGCCTCTCTCCCTGGCGTATGCAGGAAGAGAACCCAGTTCCTTGGTTCGCTTCATATCCGCCTTGGTTCCCAATGGCTAATTTCTCCCGTCTCATCTCTGCTGTATGCGGTACCTGCATCATTTTCCCGTAACGTAGTATTGTCCCGTATTTGGAGCATCGCGATCGGGCCTTTCTCCGGCTGGCTCGGATGTCGAAAGGGATGTCACCCTAATATGTTAAGTACCGAGATCCCCAGTTTCCTCTGCCTCCGCAAACCAAGGAAGCCAGCTCCTTGGTTCATCTCATTTCCCGCCACTGCACAGTGAGATGACATGAGATGTGTGCTTGATTGAATACGAGTATCATTAGACTGATCGCGGTACGTATTGGCAATTACCGTCACCAGGTGACCAGGCAAACCAACAAACAGTGCCGGGCGGTGTACCTTTTACGTTTTTTTCTCCTTACATCTACATACCGACACATACCGACAGTGTGGTAGTTTATCGCCGTGGCCCCTGACATATATCAATACCAGCACAGATGTATAAACAAGATCCAGTTCGCGAGCAGATAATTGCCCGCATGCACGGCAATTTCCAAGTCAGATCTGGCTGGCTGCTGCGCCGCCATCATCCGGCTCTTCTGAATCTATCTCGTATGTAAGGGGGAGTATTTCCCCCTGGATCGATAGAAGGAGCAAGCAATTCGAACTTTCGAGTTGCACCGATTCAATTTATTGGGGGCCAGACGCGTGGTCGACATCTTCATGCTGGGAATCGACCTCAAATCAGTCACGGAGACCTTGGGGCCAATTGGTCAAAATAAGAAGTTTCATAAGCACATGGGATAATCAATTACTTCTGGGGGGTTCTAATCTCAGTAGAATCAGCACCGAATGGCTGCTTCTACCATCCTAGGCTATGCGTTCAAACTTCACGCCCTCATACCATGCGACCAACCGACCTAGGTATTGACCAAACGCCTGCTCTATGTCTCCAAGTCCTCAGTCTTCCTTTTCTAGGTCGATGACGCCCCAGGTGCGTCGCTGGACGGGGTCAATGCAGAAGCTCGGACTGTCGCTATCCATGCTTGTATCAACGTCCATCTCGTCCGGTGAGGTGTCGGAATCAGCGACAGTGATGCTTCCGCTGCTTTCGTTGCTGCCACGGCGCAGGGGGCGGGAGCCGGTACAGACCACGTCGCTTCCTTCGCTCTGTGCTCTGCGTGCACGTTGCAGTTTCTCTTCGTCGACATCGTGGATCACGACTAGATACGGGTCGTCCGGGTCGATGTGATCGTTCTCAGGAGAATGCACGCGGTCTATCTCCTGAAGGTGCACCCGTATGTGCTTCAGGAGGGCCTTCACGATCATGGGCGGAAATGCGTTGCCGATCTGCTTCTTTCTAAACCTCTTGTCGAAGGTGTAGTCGATAGAGAAGGTCTGGAGGACGGCATACTCTCGTTGGGTGAAATCTCGTAGTCCGCTCGGGTGGTAGTTTCCGAAGCCCCCGTTAGTGGTGATGCACCGATTGAGGAAGACGTTGGGGTTCCAAGGTGCGTGGTTCTTGACGGGCAACTTGGCGGGGTTGTGCATGTCGTCCCGTTCTTTGAGATCTGGGGGGATCTTATCCAGCATCTGTTTGACCGTGACCCATCGCTTGGTTCCATCGCCTGGCCGGGGATTCTCCGAGTGCGTAGTCGCGGGATAGGGGGGCAGGTCCTCGCCAGGACAGGCACCGATCATGATCAAACGCTGGCGTCTGGCCGGGAGGCCCCAGGTCTGCAGGTGGACGACCTTCCAGCGCACCGAGTAGCCGTACTGCGTGAAGCCGTGGACAAGGGCATTGAAATAATGCTCGAACTTGGAAGACAGGATACCGAAGGTCTGCTCCAAGGTGAATACGCGGGGGCGCAGCTTCTTGATAAGGGGTGAGCACGAGAACAGGGCAGCGACGTTGGCCTCGTCGTTCTTGCCGGCAACGGTGTGAGCTGGAGACCAGAACTGGCAGGGAGGAGATAGGTGAAGGGCATCGACCCGTACGCCCGCATCATCCGCTCTCTTGATGAAGTCGTAGATGTCTTCCTCATACAATGTGGCCTCGGGAAAGTTGTGCTTGTAGGTTCTGCACGCGGAACCCATATGGTCGCAACTCAGCTTGATGCGGAATCCAGCCTTCCTGGCACCTAACGAGGCACCTCCAGCGCCACAGAACATATCGCCAAACGTGTACTGTTGGCCGGGTTGTATGGGCATCCAGCCTCCACCTGATTCGGCGACATTCTCATCCCCGTCCAGGTTGATGACGACCTGGGTATCGTTCGGCTCTTGAGGATTGTAGGCTCCTCCGCGCACCTTGCCGCCACGCCAGTCGTTCAGTCGTGTAGCGGGAGGCAGCCGGAACCGGCTTCTGGGGACCTCATCTTCTCTGACATGCTCGAGGATGAACTCGACTGGGGGGCCTTTCTTCAGTCGGGTGGCAGCGTCCTTGTAGATGCGAATGCTCTTCCATCGACACATGAGCAGGCCCTTTGCCTCGACCTGCTCCTCACTCTTGTAGATGTAGGGATCAAAGCGAAAGGTGGGGAAGTCTGCGTTTGTGAAGTGGCAGTCTCGGATGTTCACAATCTTCTCCACCTCGATATCAATTGCCCCCTGCGCCTCCTTCTCACGTCCGTCGTCCGCATCGAGCTGGAAAACCAGACAGAGTTCGTTGCGCAGCCTTCGAAGCTGGCCTCGGAGGTTTCTTAGTCGGGTCATGGGAAGACCACGTAGTTTAACCCCTGTCGGAGTTTGGATGATGAATTGGATCATGAGGAATGAGGCCTTGTACAAGTCGTCACAGGGCTCGATCTCGACAGTGATGCCGGGCTTGAGGAGGAGATCATTGTGTTCACATTTGTTGAGAACAAAATTCGGGTCTCGGATAGAAAGGTTGCGGACTTTGTGGACCTTTCGTTGCCGTCCACCCCGCGGCTTGTCGAATGCTGTAAGGTCAATGAAGGCCGCGATCTCAGGTCGGAGTGCTTCTTCCTGCTTCTCCTCGTCTATGTCGTCAACCTTGACTGGGGCTTGGCGGGCAGGATTTGCTGCCATTTCATGCAGACGGCGCTCGACCTGGGCTTGGCCCAGGTCCTCGGCAATTTCCTCGTCCCATTTATCTTCTTGCGCCTGAGCTGCAGAGTTCGACCTCGGACTCATGATATCAGACCTAAGCCATGCACAATCAGAGATGGTGCCATTCAAAGTTAATATTGTGGACGTACCTCCTGCGCCGAGATATCCTGTGTAGCTCTGAAGATGGTTGGCGGAAGCAGAAGCTTGGACTGAAACTGGAGCGTGCTGCTTCGGAGAGGTGTAGGTAAGATCTGGTGCACACCGAAGACGTTGTTCGGAATGAACTGGCAAGCGAATTGTCAATTCGACGTGAGGAAAGTGGCTGTCGGTTCAGAACCGATAGATGATGGCGGTTTATAAATGCAGTTGCGGCGGGATACCTTTCAATCGGTTCTTTGTCTAATATGATCTGTGAGAAAAGGAGCCTCCGCAGGAACCCGTGATAATAAAGAAGTGTCCTAAGAAGGATGGAAAGTGCAAGAGGAGTGCTGCCTAAGGTCGATCAGCGACAATAAAGGGTAGTAGTCCAGACGGTGGTTGCCCTTGAGAGAATATTGTAGATAGCAGGTATCAAAGGAGAGCCAGTAGGAGGTTGCGCCGTGTTCGAAAGACGCTTGGTCCAACGTCTTGGTACGTGCAACGACGAGCACGAGGGATGGTGGAAGGGTGGTATCCGGTGGACGAGTTGATTGCCGGCCACGATATATGGCTGACGAGTGGAGGGAAAGTGGAACTGTGCAAGCCCTGGAGAGGTGAAGACACAATGGATGGCGATAAGGGGGGGCTATAGAGGCTGAACAATGGGGTAAAAATCCGCTCTGCCTTCGGGGGTGATGGATTTGTGGGAGAACGGAGCTAAGCGAACTTGGCGGGACGAAGATAATCGTTGTGAGGCAATCATATCCATTGGTGAGGAGGGTCACCTGAGGCCGCAATGGAGGACGTGTGGCATCAAAGGACACGGCTGCAACGACTGGTAGTGCTGCACGCCAAACCCTTCCTAAGGCTGAGATCACAGTATCACAAAGACCAAGCTTGCATGAGATGAAGAAAAGAGAGCGATCCGTTATCCAGGTACATACCGACTCCGTGGCTAGAGACCAAAGCATGTTTCCTGTCATGATGGAAGTGCATACAGGAACCTGAGTGCTTTGAACTCGGAGAACTCCGGGCTTGGTGATTCTATGCAATCACCATCGCGGACGAGCCCTTCATTCGGGCTGTACGCAAGGACAATGAACCCATGGTGGTCTCGAGACCCCCTTACGGGCGAGCTGCTTGAATTGTGCTCTAGTGGTGAAACTGTCGCCAAGATGGCAGTTGTATGAAGTGTCAACTGGCTCGGTGTTGTCGAATATGAAGTGGAGATAACTGCCTGCCTGCTGTACACGTGACCGTGCATATCGCCTGAGGCCATGGGCCAGGGGTACGAATCCCTGTAAACTACCTACTTGTCACTTTTTCTTCTTCTCTTTCTTCTTCTTCTTCGCAAAGTTCAAACTCCGTAGACCACCATAAAGCTCCATCTACCAGGTAAGGAGATTTCGATAGGCAGAGGCATCGCCTCGTGGATCTACACTTAAGCGCGGGAAGAGGGTCTGCTTTCACCCTGCAACCTCGAGCAGGCAATCAGATCTATGAAGGTCACAAGGTTAGGTGGGAGAGGTCGTGGCGCTGCTTCGTCTTCCTTGCTCTCATCGTGGTGCTCGGGCTTCATGGGACAAGGGAGGCTATTGGGTGCGCATGCCACTGTCTCACGAGGCTCCAATATTACGGATATGCGAAGCTGTATAACCGGGAGAGCTGTCACAGACACACCGCAGCCATTGCAGGCATGCTGTTGACACTTCAGCAGCAGCGTAGGATCGCTTTGTCTCCAGTGCTACATCCAAGTACCACCCTTCCATGGATTGCCTTGGCCAAAACAACTGTGTTGTGCTCAGCTCATCTTCACAGTGCAATGAGATAGGTTGGTGAGGCATCCATCCCTTGCCACTTGACAACACGTCAGTAAGGTAGTCACTGTGGTGATATTGAACAGCGACTGGTTCAATTCGCTGTCGACCACGGTACACCCTTATTACCCGTGTTGATTTTGACTTGACCAGCAAGGCCAGGGCGATGATGCGGCGAAGCCCAAGGACGCCATATTTCACGACCGTATAGGCTAGCTCATTGTGCAGACCAGTCTACTTCAGCAAATAATTTACTACTCACGTTCGCTCAACTGTCCAAATTGCATCATATTCTCCTAAGTGTAGTGCAAGGTGCAACTTGTATCTTTGCAGGCCCAGAACTGACGCAAAACCCAAGCCCCTATCCATCCTAGGTCCAATACAAGTGACGGGTCCTTTGGCAGGACAAAGCCTTAAGACTAGCCCCTATGCGGACAACGAACACCTTCAATATCACCATGTCTTTACCGAATTCTTCGCCCTGAAGGCCTTACTTCTGCCATCCGTGGTCGTTATCTGAAAAGCGTTAGACGCGACCAACGGTCAGGTCTGTGTGCGCTGTCTCTACTACTAGAGACATACTACTAGACACAATGCGATGTCATATTTCCGTCAGCATCTTTCTCGTAGCCTGCCGTTTTCGGCGAATGCATTCCAGGAGTCGAGCTCCACGAGCCCAGGAATGCATTGGTGAGGCGGAACGCAAACACCCGCACCAAGTTCTTGGGCACGCGGTAGATAGCATAATATGTTGGGGCAAAGATGTCGAGGTGACGACGTGCGAGGGCCCATCATCTTACAGATGCCCAAGTCGTGTTCTTCATTTGCTGGGTCGATCCCTTACCGCCTCCTCCTTCTGACCTTCTCGAATTGCAGCGAGACGTTCACGAGCTAAGCCCATCACATAGCGAAGCGCTAGGACAAGACGCTGGATCCCTCGACTGTGTATTTACGCCATCTCTAAATCTACTGGGCTGGTAACTATGAAGCCCCTCAACGGTGAGACCCCTAAGTATGACTGGCGAGATGGATGGGTAGAAATGGGTCAAGGCCTTGTTCGCGAACATCTCTAGTGGTCAGGGCAGCATGAATTTCTGGATCAATTAGCCAACATTGGACCCATTATCTACGAGGAGATTGTTGCTGCCCTAGGTAACTACCCAGGACATATGAGCAGAATTAGGAAGAGCTGTTGCTCTGGTTTTATGGAATGCTATATACATAGTGCTGGTACCGTTATGCAGTTGCCTTAACTTTAAGGCTTCCCGATCCGGTAGTAACTTTGCCTTTTGAAATCAAGGCTAAAGCTTATAAGGCATTACGTAGTTAAGCGTTGTTAATATTAAATAGTTATTTATATAGTAAGTAGGTTTTTTAATATTAAATATTTTATAAAAATAGTTAGCTTTGTTTATTAAAAAAATTAAGACGCTTTTTAATAGTTTTGTAACTTAAAGGCTAAATAATTAAAGGGTTAATTCTTGAATCACTTAGTATAAATTTAATACCGCTTTATATAATATATGTATCTAGTTGTTATATTAATTATATATATCTTTCAATTTAAGCCGATTTAACCTTTTATACTTATTAAAATAAGTAGTAAGAATATAAGTTAATATATTAATTATAACGTTACAAATAATATCGAATTTAATTATTCATAAATGATTATAAGTTATACTATTTTTTAGTTTTTGTATTAAGTACATTTTAATATATCGTAATATCAACGATAGTAATAATAAATGTATTTTATATTAAAAAGCGATATAAGTTTAAATTATTATTCAAACATATAAAGTCAGTCTTTTTCGATTTATTCATTTTAATTAATAGAAAAAAGTACATTTTTTAAGATTATAAAAAATACCTTTATAAAAAAAGTTACGTTAACGAATTATTATTTATATAAATTCTAATAGCTATTATATCAAGTATAAAAATAATGATAATTTGATAAATAAGGAATATCATAAATTATATCGGTATTAAATTTATACTTAAAAGATAATATCGTTAAAGCCGTTAAACCCTCACTTATGTATAAACTATCTGCGTTTTACATGGAATTAATTATATAAGTATAAAAATATAATATTGTTTAAATTTTATGTATTTTAACTTCTAAACTAATTCTTTGCCCTTATTTTTAAATTATTTTATAAACAACTTTTTAACGAAATTTATCTTTATAAAAGAAATTTGAAATCGGATTTATTATAATTGAATTAAAGCTTTATTTACTTTTTAATTTATAGCAAGTAGCCGTATATGTCACGGCGAGCGTACTGAGGAGCTGGGACATGGCCAGCAGCAAGCAGCTATTACTCTATTGACAAGAATATCAAGACTAGAGAGGAAAGGAAGAGAGAGAGAGATAGGTACAATGGGAGGTTGCCCCTTTAAGGGGATCCTCTGGTCAGATCCTTCCCCTATTAGGAAGTATCCACTTGTCATGTGGGAAGGTCTGTGCAAGCCGTCACACTATTCCCCCCTTTATCAAAGTCAGTTTATGACAATGGTTTCTTCCGAGTTCTTCTTACTCCTTGTGCAGAGCCTTTTACAGGCAGGTTGTCTTCCTCAAGATCAGTTAGGTCCTGATCATCAGCAGCAGCCTCTATCCATTGCTGTAACCTTTGAGGGGGACCTGGCGCCTTGGGATTTGTGTCATGGAACAGAGATATTGATGGCAATGAAGCTGCCGACACATTAGCAAAAGAGGGTGTCATGCTGGAAACAGACACAACAAGCCTTCCTACAATCTCTTGGGTCAAGAGAGATCTCAAAAGAAAGGGCAGAAAGGAGTTCAACCAATGGTGGAAAGACCATTCAGAATCTAGGTATCAAGAAGTATACTCACACGCAGTAACTGAAAGAGACCTTATATCTTTTAAGAGGAGTACTTTACACAGACTTCTAGCGGCCAGATCTGGACATGGCGACTTTGCCAGCTACCATGAACGCTTTGGGCACACAGACTCGAATGATCACTGCAACTGTGGTGAGAAGAAAACACCACAACACATTTTCTTTTGTAAGAGGCTGGGGAAAAATCGGCTACTGCCTAGGCATTCGCCTAGGGCAGCTTGTTTACAATACTTAGGGGAGAGGAGCACAGAATGGGCA